CGGGCGTATAAATAAATTAAAGGCGGAAGAATGCAAAGCGAGACGGCAGAAGCGCTTTTCGAGGGGCCCGCCGCGAAAGGAAAGGAAAATCGCACTAACTACCCAATTATTTCATTCAAGCTTCACTGCTCCTCTGCCGAATGGATGGAAAAACAGAAGCGGAAAGCTTTCAAACAAACAAAAAAGCAGGGGGAAAAAGCAAAGGAAAACACGGCTAAACAACAACAGGGAAAAAGGCAGAAAATCAGCTTGAAAATCGAAATACAATACACAGCAACAATGCGTCAAGTGGTTGGGTGGGGGTTTTTGGGGGGGGAATGCCAAGGGCGGGGTTTTTCAAGGCGAGTAAGCAAATTTAAGCACAGCTCGGAAAATCAATGGCTGCAAATCTGCGAATAAAAAAATAAAAAAATAAAAAAAAAAAGACACCGAGAAGAAAACACCAGCGAAATTGGAAAATAAGCGTAACACAAAACCAAAGCCGGGAAAAGCCCGCGGCCCCCCTTGGCAACCCACTTTTCTCACAGCGCTTTTCTTTCTCTGTTCAATTGTCATTGTCTGATTGTTGCTTTTCCCCTGGCACTGCTCCCTGGCAATGTTTTTGTTTGAGTTTTCACAAGGAAAAGGAGTCTAGGTAGGTCTAAGGATGCAGTAAGAGTCTAAAGTTAGTAAAAAAAAGATGTTTAAAACATTCTTGAGAAGGAAAATCCTGGAAAAACTAGCACTTATTGGTCAAAGAAATGATTTTTCCAACTATATTTAGTCTCAATCTGATCTAAACTAAACCAAAAACCGACTTTTTCGCCATGCAAATTGCTTCTACTACCATTAGTTAGACTTCAAGTGAAAACTCTCTCTTTCACGCACCCAATGTATCTGTCCCGCTTCCACACACATACACACGCACACACATTAGTCCGCCATCTTGGAAAAACAACGCCTTTTCGTATTTATTACAACAGCAAAGGCAATAGGAACGGCAACAAAGCAAAATGCGAGCGCAAATCGAGTTAACGAGCTAACTGCGGGACGTCCAGCCACCCACACTCCATCCGCCCTTCCAAAAAATCCTCTAAAAACCTCTAAAAAACCCCCTCCACCCCACCACCCACCGCCCAACTTCGAAAATTTCACTTTGCCCCGCAGCGACACAAACAACCACCCAGAAAACTGGGAGACAAGCCGAAAACGCAACCCCAAAAACAAAAAGCAAGTCCCTCGGTTGTGTAACAACTAACAAGTTGGGTGAAAAGGCAGCCAGCGAAGGCAGAACCCCCACCATCCCACCATCCCACCATCTTGCCACCCACTTGCCTTGCCATTTTTCTTTTACCACTTTGCTTCTTCAACTTATTTACGTCTCCATTACAAATAATTGCGCGTCATATTGGCTCAGCTATACTTAGCCCTCGTCGGGCGTCTTTCGGCCCAGACGAGAGAAGCCAACCCCCAGTAGCTTCATCCCCCTGAAGGTACCCCCAGAAAATCCACCCAATGGGGCAATGTTGCCTTGGCGCAAATAAATACGTTTCTCAGTTTTCTTTTTTTCTTTTATTTTTTTTTTATGGTAGAGTAGTAGTAGGGGGAGGGGTAGGGGGACGAAAAGAAAAGGAAAACCCACCCAGTTTTCGCCTAGACAGCCGCCTCTCCTCCTTGGAAAAGTGTAAGTAGTAAATACGCTTGAGTATTATTAACGTAAATGCAAAATTGCCAATTTCGAGTGTATTTCCTGTCAACAGAAATTTTCCTCGTTTTTTCCCGCTACAGTGGAAATAAAATTAAGTGAAAAAAAAACGCGAGAAAAGAAGGCGATTCTGGGCAGAAGTCGAAGTTTAGATACCCTTTGTTTGTCATAGATTTACAAGGCTATATATCTAATTCCATATAAACAGACTTTCCTCTCAGGTTTTTTCTAAGACTGAAGCCCAATTCTTGTCATCTAAGAAAGTAGCAGAAGTCTACTGCATATCTTATATAGAAAAAAAGGTTTATTTCCTTAGGAGGTTGATGCTGATCAGGAATATATATATCTTCCTCTGCTAGAGTACTTAAATAAGGGAGGAGGAAAATATAAATCGCTTGTAAACGGGGCGTCGGTTTCCCTTGGCCGCATCTACTGCTTCTATGGCCTGGTGGCACCCATGTGGCCCATCCACTAAATCGTTCAGCTACTACGCAACGATGCACTGTAAGAAATTGCTTACCTGAAAGGTAAGCTATTTGCATTTGAAAGCAGAAAGGGCAGGTATACTATGCCCAATAAAACTCTTTTCTAATGCAAAAAAAAAAACGCTTTTAGTTTGCATTCTAAGATGGGATATTTTTCCTATAAAAGTTGTTATAGATATATCCTGCATACATCCCCCTTTTTAGCCCAGTGTAGCCGCATTAGGAAACGGCCCAAGACAGGCATAGATCCACTCCACTCCACTCCAATCCACTGCTGATGCCAATGGCGAACGGTGGTGCCTCTCAATGGCGGTGGTTGGTGGGCTTTTATTAATATGTCTGGCAATTTCAATTTGAGTTTATTGGTAATTTTACATTTCGTCTGTGGCGGATGGCGGGGGGTCCTTTTGGAGGATCTGCTACTTGGACGGCTGCCATTTACCAGGAGGAGTTCCCGCGGAGTCCATAAATCCCTTTCGCTCGATGGGATAGGCTATTCGAAAGAGCACAAATTTTCTGCCAGAAACTTAAGCAATAAAGTAGGAAAGTTAAAGGGAAAACTACTAATGAAGCTGCTATATTAATTAATCTACTAGTTATACCAATTAAGTATAGATTACCGAAAAGGTAGGTAACTAAATTATGAGCCCAATAAATTGGCATTTCACGGTGGCCGCTTCGCTGGGCAGTTAATGAAATTCATGGAATGCCGCAGAGAACAAAAGCCATTCGATCAAAATATTGCTTAATTGAACAATTAATCGAGGCACAAAGGGGCCCAAAAGGATCCACGTCCAAAGGGGCAGGACACAAAGGAGTCCCCTTGCCGTATACATTTCACTCTATGCTTGCTCCTTCCCCACCCACACACTCACCACAAAAACCAGAAAAAACCAAGGAAAAGAACTACGAGTACATATCAAATGAATTTAGGCGGAAAACGAGCCAGGAAAAGAGCCGGCAAAATGGGAATGAAAATGGAAATGGATAAGGAAAATGGCAAATGGCAAAAGAGGGGGCGGGGGTAGGCCGAGAGAGGAGGTTTAGGGCACAAAATATCGCATGACAGAAAACAGAAAATCAAGCAACTCATGCCCCGATTGACTTACCCGAGTGGCAAATTAAATTAGTTGACGAACCGAACGGAGCTGAACTGAACTCGACGGAAAATAAGTGAGCTGGACCAGACCGGGCTGAACACTGAGAGAAAAATGTGAACCTAGATAAAGCAGCAATACATTTTCATTATAAAAAATAATGCCTATATCTATATCTATATTGATGAATATTTTCCTCTTAGTCTTACTTAGAAACATATTAAATTTAACTTAAACTTGACTTTTCGGAATAGCTGGCAGCCTTTTCTCTCAGTGCAAACGACATTGATAGCTGGCCAAAGTGGCTGACCACTCATCGCCCTCTCCTACATGCTCACACATACACATTTATATATATAGATGTATCATTATGATGGCTATTTATAGGTGTGCGAGTGCTTTTAAGCATTTCTGCGAGGGTCTGACTTTGGTTTCGATCTGTATATGCTATATCTGCTGTACGTATATAGGGGATATAGTGGAGGGCTGGTCAGCTGTCGTCCGCTGACCAGCTAATTGCTAATTGATGTGTGTCTAATTGTGCCACCAAAGTAGCCAGGCAATAAAACCACCGCTCCGAATATTTATAGAGACCTGAATGGGGGGGCATGCCCTGGGCGGTAGAGTCAAGTCCAAATTGCTGCCTAATTTGATGAAAAGTTGAACGGTTCTTTATAGTTTTCTACTAGAAAAATATTAGTTCTAGAGCTTCTAGGATTCTTAGACTTCTAACAACTTGACTAACTAACAAAGAATATGATAAAATACCACCTGAAATTTTCATTAATCTTCATTCAATTATCTCCAGAAGACTATCGTCCATTAGCAGATTGGTCAAATTAAGTGGCCGGAAGCGCAGTGAAGAAAGGATATACCTTTCATCATTATCACTATTAATATCCTTAAAGATCTGAGAGCTCTTTCCAGCAATCACAATAGAACGCCCTGCAGAACACGCCTAAGCCGATTCGCGTTTAATTTGAGACCGAAAAAAGGGCTAAACCACTTAACACCCTAACACCCTAATTGTCAAAACAAAGCCGGTACACGAAACCATTCGTCGTCCTCTTTCCTCCATTTCCCTTTCTTTTTCCTTCGATTTGCTCTCCTCCTTCAAGAGCCCTGTGCTATGGGCCAAGAAAATATTTGCCAGCTGAGGGTGTGCTGCTATTTTGTCGATTTTCTAGGAAGGTGCAAACGCAAACACACAGGGTTAACCCTTCGCTGACATTTGAATAAGAATCCAGGCAACTTGTCAAAATCTACGCGACACGTCCTCGTCGTTGAGTTGAGTTTGAATGGGCATGAAGCGATTTTCCAGCTGCCGCTTTATCGTGTGCGAAAAATCGACTTCTCGAATATCTGCCCGCCATTGTCTGCCGTTTAAAGGAAATAGGATTTGCCACAGGGATTGGGTTTTGGTTTTGGTTTTGATTATGGTTTTGGTTTTACTTCTCGGCCAGGGTTTTCTTTTCTTTCTCGCCACGGAATCGGGGGCTACATCCTACGACATGTGTTCAGCAAGCGCCAGGAATTCAGGCAGAAGAGACGACACTGGTCCGTCCCTGGGAAGGGGTTGAAAGGAAAGGAAAGGTTCTAGGAAATATGATTACAGATATCAAAAAAACGTAATCACATCTTATTTACCCATGAAGAGCTTTCCTACACTGGAATCTATCTTGAAAACTTAAGATTTGCCCAAGTTCTGATATACAACCATTCTTTCCTCCGCAGAACAAGCTGTCGCCCGTGGTCAGGAGTACGCCAGCAGCCTGGCCAATGCCAGTGGTGATGAGCAGTCGCCCAGTAAGAACAGCAGTTCTTCGGGCAATGGCTCTGGAGGGTCGGGATCTGGCTCGGGAGGATCGGGATCGGGAGGCGCTAACCAGATCTCCAATGGCTTGGGTCATTTGGGCTCGCCAACGGCCAGTAATGGTGGTTCCGGTGGTGGAGCTGGAGTCAGTGGATCCGGGGAGTCATCTGGAACTTCCGGCAGCGGATCCTCCACATCAACTGGCAATGCCGGAAGCTCTGGCAACCGCTCGTCGCCCGCTGGTTCACATCACTCGGCCGCTCTGGCCGCCCATCAACATGCAGCGGCTGCTGCGGCCGCCGCTCATCATCATGCCGCTGCCGCCGCCGCCGCCCATCACGCACACCACGCCCACGCCCAGGCACACGCCCATGCCCATGTCCACGCCCATGCCGCTCATGCAGCCCATGCCGCCCATGCCCATGCACACGCCCATCATGCCGAAGCGTTTCTGGGAGCCGCCGGCGGAGCTGGTGGTAATCCCAATAGCTTGCTGGCCGCCCATGGTGCTGATGTTCTGGTGGGACCTGGCGGTACAGGTCCTGGCGGTAAGAAGAAAAACAAGCGACGACATGGCAGGACGATCTTCACCAGCAGCCAGCTGGAGGAGCTGGAGAAGGCCTTCAAGGAGGCCCACTATCCGGACGTCAGTGCCCGGGAGCTGCTGTCCATGAAAACTGGCCTGGCCGAGGATCGCATTCAGGTGAGGAGTCCTCTAGATTGGGATATCTTACATCTTAAATATTATAATTAACCATATATCCTTAGTATTATCTATTTTGAGTTGGAAATTGATTTTCTTGGCTTTATAACCTTCTTGTTTACGGTTTTCTTTTTACTGCCTCTGAGTAAATCAAGGATTCTCCATTTTGTGCTGCGGTTCTGGACGAGACACCTTTCCAATGGGGCAATAGGTGTATCGGGGGGGGGGGTCTATCACGGTGGCTGTCACGTAGCACTGCAGAATCGAGCTTTCTTCTGCCATTTTTATGGCCATTTTATGGCGTTTTCTTTAACCCGCCCTCGGAAAGATTGCAATCAAAGGCGGCTTCGATTCGAGGCGAGTGTTTCGTGTTTCGAGTTTCGTGGGCTCCCCCAAGGAAAGAAATTTAAAAATGGGGAGTGCAAATGGCACTTTGCAAGTGTTGCCACACGTAATGAGGCCTCGCTGATTACGTAATTACGAGTGCACACAATTGCAATTGCAACAACGTCCAAGTAGCGAAACAAAAAACGGAAACGGAATGAAGTAAGAAAACGTGGCAGGCGGCACTCGCCGACACTCCAAAAAAATATATTCACAAAAACTTCGATACTATAGCCGACAACGAGGTGCGAGCTTCGAAATTGCAAATTATACATAATAGAAATTGAGACCAGTCAACAGTCAGTCAGGCACAAGGGGTTAAGGGGTAAATAGGGCCAAATTAAAACCGCAATATCATCTTATTAAGAGGGTTAAGAGCAGATTCATGACAAGGGAAACTCGCAGGATTTTTATCACATTTTTAATATTAAAATTATAGAAGAAAAAGGAGTTTTCATAATTCGACTTTTAACAAGAATTAGACAAGTTTTCGTATGAATAAGGTAAAGAAAAGGGAAAGTAATAGTAGATCTTCAGCTTGCCTCACCTTTTAATATAATTTAAAATTAACATTAACCCTACTTCTAAATCAGAAATTGAAAGCTAAGATAATAATCACCGTTAAAGAACTCGCTGTAAGCTTGTAAATGGATTTTCCACCATCAAAAGCACTTTATAGCCTTGTGATCTATAACTTGAATGGTACTTTTGTATTTGGGGACATCCGCCTAATAAATCAACCCCACGTTTCTTAACTCCCGTTATTCCATTACCCACTTGAAAAGCCGCAAGATGGCGCCACAGCAAATGCATGGCCTGTGTGAGTGTGTGGGCTTGAGTGCATCTTGCTTTTTGCATTTGTGTGCGAAAATCAAATTAACAAGCACAATTGGCTGAAAGGCAAAACAGAAACAGCAACAACAACAACAAGAACAGCAAAAACAAGAACAAGAACAAAAAAGCCGACAGTCGGGGCAGAAAAGAAGAAGAAGACGAGCTGCAGTAAATATAAAACCAAAACACTCACACACATGCAAATACACTTCAATTAAGTGCAAATATGGCGCACAGCTGGAAAAGAGGAGAAAGAGTGGTGAAAGAGCGGGGATGAGGAGGCAAGGAGGAGAGGCAATCATTAGCAGCACTATAAGAATGGCATGGGAAAGGGGAGGGCGGCGAAAGATGAAGCGGAAAGAGGAGGAAAGAGTGAGAAACGGCGGCCATGCAAATTCGCAAAAACAACGACAAATATCGAAGCCACCATTCAAAGTTCGCTCTTTCTCACTCTCTCACTTTTTGTATGTTTTTTGCCTGCCGTTTTTAATTGCATTCCATTTTGCGTGCATTTCGCGTATTATGTGTGTGTTTTACTGAAATTCTTCCCCGTCTTTTTTTTTTTTTGGTTTTGCATAAATTTCCCCCTTAAAACGAAATACAAGAAACATGGCCAAACATGTTTTTCAGCCTCTCTCTCTCTCTCTGCTGCCTTCCCGCTCACTCTTATTGACTTTAAGCAAGCGCTTCTGGCTTTCCGTTGGTTTTGGAAGTTGCCAAAGAGTAACTGTTGCCAAAAGTCAGCGAGCAGGCGACAAAAGCGTCGAAACAGAAATAAGATTTAATTTAAGTTTAGCTTACCAAAAGATTGTTACACATTTTTCGAATCCTCAAATGAATTTAAACATGTATTTTAATATAATCACATTATCAGCATCGAAATTTAACACAAATTTACATTTTAAGAAAAGCCAATTTGACATTTTTGTCACCTGTTGAAGGAGCGACAGCGACGAAGCTATGAGCTGCATTGTCCGCCAATTTTTCAATTTCTTTTGCTCTTCTCCTTTGCCGTTTACATCGCCCGCGATTTTTTGTGCTAATTTCAGCAAACACACATAAAACACACACGCGAGAACAAAGAAAGAAAAAGGCAAAAACAAAGAACAGTTCCTTTAAAAAAAAAAAAAAGAACACTTTCGCGATTTAAAACAATGCAAATAGCATTAACTGCACAAAAATGAAAATGCACTCCACCGCATGTGCGGATTTTACAAATTGCAATGAAATTACCACTTTCAATCGCGTTTTGCGAAAGACAAAAGAAACTGCACTTGCACTTCAAAGAAAAAAAGAAAAAACAGAAAAAAAAAATGAGCAAGAGACTTCCGATCCTGCTTCAACCGAAGAACAGCTTGGACTGTTTCAAGCTCAGCGAGAAGGAGAGGAACAGGCACGGGCCGCGAGTATTAGATCCCGCTACTCTGTTAAGCTGCTGTTAATTGCCTAGGATTTGAATGTGTAGGTGTAACGTTGGACGTCAGCATTGTAATAACTGTAAATGAGACGAGATAGGGACCAGAGATCGAAAGAAGTTGAAGATAATCAATGAATTTGTAGAAAATCCAGCCTCAATCGGATGGATTTCGTTTGTTTGCAAATCGATTTGTAAAACTAAACAAAATTAAGTAAAAGAGAGAACATTTAATACGGTTACGTCATAGGAAAACTATTTCCAAGGCATAATTGTTGTGAAATTGTTAGGCAAATGCATAATCTTGCAGAAATGCAAATGAATTGCACACACAAAATCAAAGCTGCTTTTAACACCTATTTAAGTGGATATTTAATACTGCAATAAAACGCAACAATTGCAGATTGCAGTTTGCAAAATGCGAATTGCGATTTAGTTTTTGCATAATTCCGTTGCTCCTTGCATTCATTATACACTTGGGCGGCGTTTTCTTTTCTCCTGCGCTTTTAATGAGCTGTTAATATTAACGCACACGGCCAGCGGCAGAAAGGCAAAAAACGGAATTAAAAATGATTATGCATAATTATGTAATTAACATTTAAACAAAAGAGGTTATGGCTGTGCAACGAAAGCGTTTAACAAATTGCTATTTGCGCTCTCGTTTCACACTTTTTCACAGCCAACGAGCAACCCTTGCGAAACCGAAACAATTTTAAAAGTTTAAAAATAAGGAAAACCTTATTTTTAAATTAACCAAAAGATTATATCATATTTTCAATATATCAAAACATTCTTTAGGCTTTAAAATACAATATTAAATATTAAAAATACATTAAAAACATTACTACTAATTTCCATAATAAGCATTACGTTTTTTTTTTGGGTGACAAGTGTTTCAAAATTTCACTAGTGGCTTTTTAGGCGTCCTTTAAAAAGTCATTTATCATGGCATTAGCAACACTGATTGAGTTTGTCCGCCCAGGAGAGTCGCACCCCCGGGAATTGGGCATTATAATAGATACATACATAGATATATAACTGTCGCGGCGGCGGATTCGAGGGGGTGTTAAGTGTTGTCAACTCAAGCAGATTTAATTTGCCATGTTTTCGCTTTGCTTTTTTCGTGCCACTGCCACTGCCGCCGTTCGAGTGCAACAATAAACAAGGCAAACAACTGTAAATGCAAATGTTGACATCACACCGACTCGAATGAGATACAAAAAAAAAAAAAACAAGAATATAAAAAATGGAAAACACAAAAATCGAAACATAAAGAACTTAGAAGGGAATGAAGAAGGCAGGACGAGGCCGCGTGGCGGGGAATTTAAAGCGTTTTCGGTCCTTGGAGAATTGCGGCACATGTCGCTACGTCAGCAACCCTGGGAAAACTTGAACTTTTCACAACAGAAGATTAAGTTGTCCCCCGGGAAAAAGGGATAACGGGCCAAGGGGGGGCGAAAAACGGCCGCAAACTTGTCTGCGAAAATTGAAAATTGACCGTTTAATGTTGTCGGCTGGCAGCATTTGTTGTTAATGTTTAATGTTAATTCTAATGTTGTTACTAATAAGTACTCGAACAAGTGTTGTTGTCAAAGGGCGGGTAAATAGAAGGGGGAAAGGCGGAAAAGGGGAATCTCTCCCTTGTTAAATTAATTAGTTTTCGGTTGCCATTGTCCTGGCGAATGCCGTTTCTCCTCCTTTCAATTTTCTGATTTTCCGCCGCCTTTGTTTAGCTTCCAACATTCGCAGGATAATCGCCCCTAGTCCCTTTCTTTATTTATTTAACTTGATTTAAATTTGATTTAAAGTGATTTACTTCGTAAGTAACTTTCTTTTTATTTAGTTAATTTGCTGATTAACTTACCCCCTACCGAAAGCTGCTCTAGAAGCAAACCCTCTCAATGAATTTGGTGCTTATTTTGGGGTTAAAAGCCAAGAACCCTGACCCAGTTTTACAGTTTAATTGCGTATTAAGTTGCATGGCCAAAAATAGTGATAATAAGTTATTTGAGTAACCAGCAAGACACTAATTTGAGCAATCCTTTCTTCTATTCTCTTTGACCCTGCAGGTTTGGTACCAGAATCGACGGGCCAAGTGGCGCAAGACGGAGAAGTGCTGGGGTCACAGCACGAAAATGGCGGAGTACGGACTGTATGGAGCTATGGTGAGGCACTCGCTACCCCTGCCGGAGACCATCATCAAGTCGGCCAAAGAGGACGAATCTGTGGCACCATGGCTGCTGGGCATGCACAAGAAGTCCCTGGAGGCCGCTGAGCTGCTCAAGAGCGACGAAAGTGACCGGGAGACGCCGACCTCGGATGACACAAACACCAGCTACTCCGCCGGCAGCACCCACAACTCACCGATCTCCAGTTTCTCGATCTCGCGCCTACTCTTCGACGCTCCACCGCCGGCGGCGGGTTCCGCTGGAGGAAAGGGTCATCACCATCACCACCACCACAAGGGGCATCATCATGCCCATGTTCATGCCCAGGCGCAGGCGCACGCCCACATGCTGTTGCATCACCAGCAGCACCACTTGCACGGCGGCGAGGCCTCCTTGCAGCAGCAGCAAGTGACCGGTTCGGGATCTGGAGCAGGATCAACTGGGCCGCCGGCCCATCACCCTTACAACCAGCAGCAGCACCTACACCATCTGCAGCAACTGCAGCAGCAGCAACAACAGCAGCAACAGGCTCAGCAACAGCACCACCACCACCAGCACCATCAGGTCCATCACATGCACCATCACAATGCCGCAGGCTATGCCGAGGCCGCCGTAGCTGCTGCCGCAGCCGCAGCTGCCGTTGCTGCAGCAGCAAATGCGAGGAATGCAGCAGCCGCTGCAGCTGTGGCCGTTGCCTCCGCATCGTCAGCCGTGACCATTGCCGAATCGGAGGCGGAGGAGGAACAGGACGATATCGAGGACATGGATTTGGACAAGGACTGTGAGGTGGAAGAGGAGGTAGAGCCAGTGGACAATGACAACGAAGGTGATCCGGATGCGGATCCCGAGATCGATATTTGCGACGACCATGACGAGGAGGTGCGTCTGCAGGAGCAGCTCCTGCTGAAAGTCAAGCAGGAGCAGGCCCATCACGGACCCAGATGAAACATGCACATCGATGTGTTGTTCTAAGGACAACGATAAATCTACAGGACATCCGGCTAAATGCAATGAACCATTTCTAAGCACACACCAATGAGCTTTTTACACTGGGTGTGGGGTATGGGGTGTGGGGTGTGGATAGTGGGCTGTAGGTTGGAGGGTGTAAGGTGGTGTATTCATAAGGTTTTCCAAACAAGATTATTTAACTAGTTTCTTGGTCTTTGAATGCAAATACACCCGGGATGATGCAGCCCAGTATAAAGATCTTATTAATTAATGGCATTACATTCATAACAAAAAGAGAAATCAGAAACGGAAACGGAAACGGAAACGGAAAACCTAAACTTAAACTTAAACTTAAAGCCAACAAACAAAAACATTTTTTTTCATACACCTAAGAAGCACACGTAATTAATCTATATAATAATAATAACATATATTCTCTAATTTTTTTTAGTGTAAATATTAAATTATTACAAATATAAATGAAACAAAGAACGAAAAAGGAAACACAAGACATTAGCGCGTAAAAACAGCTGCAACGACTTGCAAAATTTTTAAAATATGCTAAATGTGATTTAATTTAGTTGTCCATTCTAAAAACAAGGCTTTTTATGGTTTAAGACCCTTTTTTTTTGCCACGTAAATTTAGTAAGTTTTTTTTTTTTGTTTTTTTTTAAATAATTGCATTTTTCTTCTTGTAAAAAATGTACATACCAAATCAAAATTCAAAAAAATATATATATATCGCGAGATAAAACCTAAACCAGTCCACTGCCTCTCCTATGATTTTTCCCATTTTCTTCTGTCTTAATATTTGAAAATTGTCTGGAACAAGAACAAAGATAAAAGTAAAAGTAACTGCAATCTGTGTAATTAATTAAACAAGAAACAAGAAAGCAAACGAATACACATACAATACACACTTATACTTATATATGAAAGTTAGATGAAATAAAATGGATGATATATAAATATGAAACTTGGTCTTCTTTTCAATGGCAATACTTCATTACATTCTATACCATATCTAACAATCTCTGAACTTGGGTTTTAAACTTAAACCACATCAAATATATCTGCAGATATATATCTGTAGTTATTTTTTAAATTTCTTTTTAACTTCTATTTGCATGTCAAAACAGGTTTACACGTCAATGCCTTTCTTATTACACCTTGTAATGGCAAATATGACGTGTAATAGTAAACATTTTTAAATTTTATAAAACATACGTAATCTGTAGATAGCATTTCCACATGTAGATACTTTGTAAAGTATCTGGCAGATTAACTACCTCACAAACTAACAAATTTCCCTCTATATCTCACAAAACGCAAGCAGTTCAAGAGAAAATGCTGAGATAAAGCAGTCTTATGTTGATCTGGCAGCACTGTTGCGGAGCTATAAATAGAACAGCCAGTGCTGCCACTGCTCCGTTTCCATTCAAAAGAAGTATTGCCATATAACAGTAAACACAAGTTTTTAAGAATCTTTAAAAAACTGACTAACTATATTAAGTTTATTTCGTTGGCTTACATTTTGGAAGAAAAAAGAATTTAGAGATACAAATTTAGTAAAAAAAAAATATTTCAGGAGAAGACAATCCGCGTAGAGGTGGGCCCTACTCGTTCATGATGAACTGCAGGAAGCGTCGGTAGTTGATGCCCCGCTCGCACCTTGTGTCCTCCATTCCCTGGGTGAGGAGCTGCAGTTCCTCGCTGGTGAACCGGTCATCACTACGATTCAAAAGCTCCAGCAGGCGCTCCGGTTCGATGAATCCAGAACTCACGGGATCCGCACGCCTGAGGGCGTCGATGAACTCGTCCCGTTTGGCCATGTCCATATCAATGGCATTGCGTCCCACCGCCTGCAAATAAAGCCGGGCCTGCTTTAGCTTCTCCTCTGCGTCCGGATCTTTGGCAAACATTAGCTTGACCAGGTGCTCGTAGTTAACGTTGCCGCTCATGTCCGCGGCATAGTGCAGCAAGCTACAGACCTCCTTTACGTCCAGTCGATCTCCCATGGTGGTCAACATTTGGCGCAGTTTGCTGTATGGCAACAGTCCTGTGGCCTTTAGATCGAAAATGTGCAGGGCTTTCAGCACATCCTCGCCAGAGAGCCCTTCTTTCTGGTCGGCCCACTGGCAGTAGAGTGTAAGCACTAGCTCAAAGGAGGCCCGTTGGGAGATCAGTGCACCCAATGGTCCCATCGCTTCCCTCCGACGTATCTGCTCCTCCAGACGAGCCGACAGCCATTGTCCACTCGGACACAGGCCCATGGTGCGCAGGCAGTCTGGCACATCGGACATGCTTATGCTGGCGCCAGGATCCAAGCATCGAAGTTCTTTGGGAAGTATGAATACCATGTTATCATATATTCTGGTTCCACTTACCTGTTATTTTTGCTCCTGCTATTGCTAATGCTGCTGGCCCTGATCTTATTCCGGATCCTGCTGCATAACCATCGACCACAAATAGATCAAATATATCCCGGAGCTTCGACATTTCAGGCAGCATCATCATCAGCTCCGATTGCTTGTGGAAGAATCCCTCATTCCGGGCGTGCTCTAAGTCGCTGTAAGGATGTGCCTTCTGCGTCGCTATCTTATTCATCTTGTCAGGGATTGCAAATCGGATCGGGTCTATATAGAGTTAAAATACAACAATTTTGGGCTACGTCGGCCGAAATGTGAGAGTTAAGTATTTTCCGAAGGGACTACATGGAAATCATGGCATCCTACGTTTCCCGATTTTTAAACAATTCACATTTGACTAATTTGATTTTATTTAATTACAGTAACTTTCGACTTTGTCTATGTGCAAGTTGGAACTCAGCGAAAGTGCAATGGAAAACTATTAGGAAGCCCCTTACTTCCATTTCCATATAGTAAATGAATCAGAAAGATAATTTCTATTAGAATACATTTAATCCTTTATTTAAAATAAGCTATGCATGTTTTCTTAGACTTCAAAGAGTTAATCATTAAGATCAGGCATGTGTAGATTAGCCAAGTTGACGACATTCTCCACCAATGGCTGCTCAGTGTTAGGATCAGCATTTTCCGGCTCAACCGAAATTCCTTCCTCTCCAATATCATCCTCCCTAGGTACTTTGGCTTCGGATGCCTCCGACAAAGATTCTTCGATCTTCCTGGCCATCAATTGTATTTCAATTTCCGCAAGATCATCGCTCAAGACAAGGCCCTCGTCGACGGTGGTATCCTCGTTCACGAAAAGTCCCCCCTCATCAGGGAACATTTTGCCAACCTCAGCCCACTGCTGCGGCTCGGCAACATCAGTTTGCATTGCGATCATGGTTCCCATGGAGTTCATATTAGCAGCAGAGCTTGTAGAAGGCTTCTCCTCATCAACCTTCTCCTCCATCTGTGGCTTCCTATATAGTTGACAAATATATAGTTTCTTTGATATTATTCGAGAATAGAATAGTTTCTAGACTTACACCTCATTGGTTTTAGGGTTTTTAGTCATGGTTTTCACATTCACCGGAGTCACAAGATTGGCCAGGTCGCCAGCCATCTCGTTATATTGTTCCTTGTGAGACTTGATGTCCTTTAGTTTGTCCTCGACGATCTCTGCTTCAGTACGTCCCGAATGTTTCGAAGTTTTGGACAATCCAAGCACGTCGCGAACGTTTTCAGCTTCCTTGCAGTTTGTTCCGGGCATGATTTCTTTTTTTATTGACGTTTCGAGAAGGGCACAAAAATCAATCGACTTATTCGGATAATATCCACAGGAGAATGATTATGTCCAGAGCCTGAAACTTCTGAAGAAAAGTGACAGGTTAAAAAAAAGAGTTACTAAAGTTCGATGCAACTCTATAGGGTTTCCACTTTATAAACCTTCTTATTAAAAACGCGAAATCAAAGCGAAACCCTATAAAGAGATTTGGCTTTCCGTTTTCGAATCTTATAAACCTTTTTTAAATCTTATAGATTTTCGCTATTTTTGTAGAACTTTACTTTCGCGACGTTTTTTTAGAATCGGAAAATATTCAGGAGGAGCACAAAAAAAGTCGACTTGCTTCGGTTGAGTTCCCAATGAGAATGACTAAAAGCCAAGTATGAAACTGATTAGCAAATGTGACAGCTAAAAGCAAAGGCTGCTATGATTTGGAATTTATTTTAAATTTTACAAAGCCTACTAGGACCAGATCAAAGGCTCCTTAGATTTGTGAAACCCTTCGACTCTAGACTTCAGACTTACGCGAATTTTCAAATCTTATAGACCTTCGCGACTTTTGGAATCACTTAGACCTTCACGACTTTTGCAGAAGTTTACACTTTCGCGACGTTTTTTTTAAATCAGAAAATATTCTGCAGGAGTAGAAAATATTCGACTGGCTTCGGTTGAGTTCCCAATGCGAATGGCTTTAAGGCAAGTTGAAAATGCTTAGCAAAGATGACAGCTAAAGGCAAAGCCTACTAATTTAGATTTAATTTAAAAGATGTAACCCTATAAAGAGTTGCCATTTTAAAAATGCGAAATTAGAAATTAGATTACATATATTTCTTTATTTAAAATGTGTTTATTAATAGGTTTTACATATTTTATAAATCTTGAATTAGTCATCAAGATTTGGCATGTGAAGATTAGCCAAAGAGTCTGTCTTGGCCACTAAGTCCGAGGCATTTATTTCAATTGCCACTGAATTCTCCTACAAAGAGTCTTCGGTCTTTTTGGCCACCAAGCCTGAGGCATTATTAATTTCAATGGCCACGGCATCTTCGTTCAAGACAAGTCCCTCGTCCACGGTATCCTCGTTCACGACAAGTGCCTCCTCGTCAGGGACTATCTTGCATACTTCAGGGACCTGCTGTGTCTCAGCACCATCAGTTTCCATTGCGATCAAGCTTGCCATGGAGTTTATAATAATAGCAGTAGAGCTTGTAGAAGGCTTGTCATCATCGTTCCCAATCTTTGGTTTACTATATATAATTGATATATATCAATATATATATTTGATATCATTCTAGAATAGAATAGTTCCTAGACTTACCCCTCATTGGATTTAGATTTCTTATTCATGGTTTTCAGATTCACTGGAGTCAAATAATCGTCCAGGCTGGCAGGCATCTCGTTATATTGTTCCTTGTGAGACTTGATGTCCTTTAGTTTGTCCTCGATGATCTCTGCTTCAGTACGTCCCGAATGTTTCGAAGTTTTGGACAATCCAAGCACGTCGCGAGCGTTTTTAGCTTCCTTGCAGATTGTTCCGGGCATGATTTCTTTTTTTAATGACGTTTCGAGAAGGGCACAAAAATCAATCGACTTATTCAGATGATTTCCACAGGAAAATTACTAAGTCCAGAGCCTGAAACTTCAGAAGAAAAAACGGTTACTATGACTGACGGTTCCTAAAGTTCTATGGGGTTTCCATTATATAAGACTTCAGACTTACGCGACTTTTCGAATCTAATAGACCTTCGATAGACTTTTGGAATCACGTAGACCTTCACGACTTTTGCAGAAGATCACACTTTCGCGACGTTTTTTTAAATCAGAAAATATTCGGCAGGAGCAGAAAAATATTCGACTAGCTTCGGTTGAGTTCCCAATGCGAATGACTATAAGCCAAGTATGAAAGTGCTTAGCAAAGGTGACAGCTGAAAGCAAAGCCTACTATGATCAAAGATTGCTATGATTTGGAATTTAAATTTTGAATGAAAATGCAACCTTTTATAGGATTACCACTATATAAAGTAATCCTGATAGTGTGCTAACAATAATCAGTATTTTTCACATAAAAATTCAAAAGTTGGCAGGAGTCCCGATTTGCCACCCAAAATTGCAGTATTAAGTCCATAACTAAACCAATAATGGTCGAAATTTGGAATGTAATACCTCGATGAGTTTGTTAGTTAAGATTGTTCTCTAGTTCTTAACAGATTTGCTTAAAGCCTGCTAAAGCCTTTTAGCCGTACGACTTGTTCTTGTAAAGTTATAACAAAGAAACAAATATAGAAAGATGAAAATCTTCAAAGAGTTAATCAGTCTTATATGAAGCATTAACGATTGCGCTGGTACTTGTAAAAATAAAATAAATATCTTTATTGTGACATAAAATACTTCACCTAAAAATATTTCGAAAAATCGTTAAATTCGTACTCCTACAACATTCAATGTGTTCTACTGGATTTTTGTTTTTTTTTTTTTTTTTGTTTTTGGGTTCATAAAAAAGATATAAAACCATCGATTTGAAATGACCGATGCAGACATTTGATCTTAGGCTACGTTTTTGGTGGAATCATCGAGTTACGAGTAATGCTCTTGTGTATTTGCTTGGCCAAGTGTGAAGTTACAGATCCGTTTGGAAAGAGAGGTCCGATCCGTGGGTGGATGTGCCCCTCTGATTAGAGCTTAAGGTTTTGGCTTTGGGAGACACATTGGGCTCGGTTTAAGGCTGTTCTTGTTTAGGATGTGGCGAATATAGTCTTGCAGTGGGTAATGAGCGAAGAAAGCATGAATATCTCCTCCGTAAGGTTCGTCATGTGCTGGGGCGTGGCAATAAGCGTGGGCGCAAACACGGTGGCCAAATTGTGCTCGTTCATCTTATTCACGGCATAATGGGAGGCCACCCTATAGGCAAATAACGAATAGTTTAAGGATCTTCGGGACATAGTTATTACAACCACCTACCGTTTCAAGTGCTCCAGCATATACTGCAGGCAACTGTGATGGGCGGGCGGCAGACGACGTACTGCTTCCGCCATGAGCTGCCGTTGCTCCGTCTGTTTGGCACTACCTGGAAAAGATTGTACAGGAGGATTAAGTAAATCTGAAGTTTAAAGTCCGGTTAAAGCTCACGTCCTGCTGCCATGAAGCTGGGATACGCCTGGAACGTGATGAGCGGCACGGGAAGCAGGCGTAGGTAGAGCTTCAGTGTCCCAGCAATTACGTTCACATTTCCGTAGGCCGTCTCCGACATGTCCGTCTTCTCACCCTCCCGATCTAGGGCCAGCTTAAGGGTCTCGATCTCATCTGCGAACCCGGACACCCGGTATATACCCTCCTGCAGCATGCCCCTGGCTTCCACTTCCTCAACGCAGCGACGCACCACAAAGGGTATTTGGTGGAGCGGCTCCAGTTGCACCATGGTAGTCAAATCGGTGCCAAATACGCCGCGTATGCGCTTCAAGTCCGGCACACACTTCGGCGGCACTAGCTCGGAGCACTTGCTGTGCGCCACAAAGCCGCAGGCCTCGCACTTGACGCCCTGTGCTGTAAATCCCCACAAGAAGTTCGCGCAGAACTCACACCAATTGAGGCCTTTGAATGTGTGCACCTGTGGGCACGAAGGAAATTGGATTATTAAGACTGATTCAATATGGTGTTAACCTGCCTACCCACCTTAAAGTGATGCGGTTTCTCGTAAACCAGCGGCATGGGATCTAAGGCTGGTGGTGGCGGCTCTTCCTTCTTCTGCTCTTCCTTTTCTTCGGCCGGCAGGGATTCCTTGGCTGCCGTGGCCTTGCCCAGCTCATTGGACAGAGCTCTGAGCTTCCGTCCATTTAAGGTCATGTAGGGACTCTGTTGATAGCAGTTTCTAGTTTGCTGGTTGATCTGCTGGATGATTGGACTGGCGTGGAGCTGCATATGGAAGTTAATCATACCGTCGGCGACCATGTCGTGGACCGTATCGAAGCGCTTCTCCTGACCGCTCAGGTAGTGGCCCACGCCGGGCTTGTAGAGTAGTTTGAAGTGCTTGGGGCGCTTGTTGAACCGCAGACTCAGTGTGTAGTAGCCATCGGATTGGGGGCTCCGGCGGACAAAGTAGCTTCCATCGCGTGCGTTAGCCAGCAGCTGCTCCGCCTCCAAGTGACCCATGAGTCCGTGGTATTCTGTGCCATATAGACGCCCCGCCAAATTATTTGCCTCCACAGCCTCTGCCGTACTTTTTGCAGGCGGAAGGGGTAGAGTTCGCTGGCAGCGCAATGGACATGGAGCCGGTGCCTCCAGCTGGAGTTTGTACACTATTTGGGGAGATAAAGGAGTCATTGTAGATACTGCAGGGGTCTTAGGTGTAGCTTATTTACTCACATTCCGGCTTCCAAACCTTCTGAACCGGGGAACTGGGTTCGGGGGCACCGCCTACACCACCGGATCCGCCAGTTGCTGCACTTCCGGCGCCCGCCTCCGTGTTCCGGGGCATCCTTCCTTGGTTTAGCAGACCAATAAATCAATATTCACTCAACAGGCGGCATTTAATTAAGAAATGCAGCTTGTTTAATTAAATTCCAAAATCACTATAACTAGCCATACTCGGCAACTCTCTTTTGGTATTTAAAAAGAGTTTGGTATTTTGTTTAGATAAACTAAATAAAAGAACAAATTCTTTTTAAAACTAATATATTCTTATTTAACTTTCAGCAATGTATTTATTGCTTATATTATATATAAAAAATGACTTATAGCCGTTTTTTTTTTATCAAAAGACCGAACAGCTGATTCGATAGGTTCCGATGTGTAAACATAACGTGTGTTATCGATAAGCGGTATTTTTAAATATTGTCTATATAAAGTTGGCGGGGTATTGTGTTTCAAAGATACATTTTTAAACTTATTTCAATTAAAATTTTAACTATCTTTATAATACCTATCAAATTAAAATTAATCGCCCATTTATTTGGTTACCTTCCCACATTTCCAGAATGAAAACAAACACCGGCTTAGGTTTCAATTGGTTTAATAGATTTAAGTACGTTTCTTTTGTAAAAAGACCTACACATTCATTGTTTCTCCTTTTATTATTTATTAAATACAAATATTAAATTATTTAAAAAAAAATAAACATGTAAAACTTCAAAAATGCGCATTTAAATTCGGACACACGCCACCGACGCATATCAAATCTAATTTCGAAATACTTTTTCGTGATACTCTCGCGACTCTTCCATTGAAATATAATATATGTATCGAGTGTGATTGTTACAAAAGAATGCCTGTACTAGGTGATAATTACTGATAAACTTCCAGTTTCCTTTTAGAATAATACGCACATTCACAGACTCGTTGATTAGTAATGGTTAATCATGAATCTAAATGTCTACATCGATGGATAAGTTTTGAAAGTGGGAATAGCTCCAATCTCTAAGTTTTCAGTTTTTTTTTTTAGCTGCATGTTTAACACATTCCCCTGTCATTTTGATTTTATAGATCTCGATATCCTTGGTCGTTGTCCTTGGTGTTGCTTAACAGGATTTATGTTTTGTCCGGGGAAGAAGAATGGCTAAGTTGGAATCACGGAGTTGGAACTTGTGGCGGAATGAACGGCTCAGCTAGCTTGGCAGGTGTTTTAGTGTTGCTGTTGTGTGTGTTTTGGATAGTGTTGCTTCTATTGTCGTGGTGCTGGACAGCTGGAATCGGGAGGACCCGGCGCGGTCTAACCGCTCATCACCATGCGTACGAACTCCTCGTAGTTGATGTTGCCCTGTTGGTCCTCCATATTGGCAAGCAGCTGCTCAACCTCCTCATCGGTCAACTTCTCACCCAGTGTGGTCAGCAGGTGACGAAGCTCAGCGGATGAAATGTAGCCGCTGGCGTCCTTGTCGAAATGGCGCAGTCCCTCGATGAAATCATCGGCGGTATCGCCAGAACGAGCCTTGGAGATCGCCTGGTAAATGGGCAGGAACACCTCGAACGAGATGCGCTCGTCGGGCTTCAGCTGGTGGGTGCACTTCTTCACATCCGACTCGGTGGGATTCTGGCCCAGGGCTCTCAGGCACTCACCCACCTGGCTCAGCTGGATCTTGCCATCGCCGCGGTTATCGAACAGGTTAAAGGCCTCCTGGAATTCTGTGAAATAGGTAAATGTCAGAATATTCTTTTAACATAACGATTATTGTTTTGACAAAATTGATTTATGATCCATCAAGAAATCCCAGTGGATCACCTTCCAGTGTGGTAAAGGTTTGCTTCACATGTGCCGTATAGTAATGCATCTTGAACCACTTCGATGACCGTTTTGCCAGCTACTGACTGCCTAAAACTCTGTCTGCCCGATTTGGTTGCCCATCGGATCGAAGCCAAAACCCCCCCACTAGCCACCCGCCTTCCTTGGCCATGTGATACCCTCACTTCGTGGGAGAACCTCTCTACTGGGAATTGGCTGTAACTCTCTTAAAGTCGAGCTTTAAAGACTACTGTTTATACTTCGCATAAACAACCCGATAGGAACCCAGGAAATGAATTGTTTTAAATACGAGGGAGCGAGCACAGAACATGGAATCGTAAGCTATATTAGGTTCCAGGTTCCAGGTTCCAGGTTCCAGCAATTGCAGTCGGATTTAGACAAATGAAGGAGGAAGATCTTAAGCTCGAGAAGTTTTGTGTGAACAGTCCAAGTGTGTTCGAATAAGATGATTTAAAGATCTTTAATTACTTTATTTCTTTCAAGATTAGGTTTACTATACCTACAACATCTTGCATGTAGTAGATATACAAGGAAAATAAACTAGAGTGTTCAGCATTCGATGACCTGCACGGATGTCGATTGTTAAGTTTGGTTATCATGCGCATACGACATCCAAAGATGGCAATAAAAACAAACGAATCCAGCACATTTTTGTCCATTTTAGGCGATGACAAAACGGCGACGACTGGCGATTTGACACCGCTGAATGCTAAAGCTAAAGATTGCAACCTATGGCGACAAGGTAAGTCGGAATTGGAAAATACATACTATATGCTATATGGTTTATGTACATCCATATATATATATATGTATACATGGTCGAATGCGGTCGAATGCTGACGTCATACTGTCAGCATGACTGAGTTATCAGAGACCATTGACTTTGATTAGGTTAACTCGGGGGATTGGGTTGCGTAAAGATTCGAATTGATTCGTTATGGAATCGAACTCGGACTTCAAAACGTGTTGCATTTGGTCTAAGAGAAGGTGATATTCTGTAAATGGAAGCTGGCTTGTTTATTTGGAGCTGGTTTTGGCTTTGTTTTTTTGTCAGCTGGTTGGCTGTCTTATCGTTTCACTTCACAACTGCAATTGCAGTTTTATTTGAAACGCGTTGCCGGCGAGTCGAAAAACCGGGTGATTATCCCATTAGCCACCTCCTATATCTACATCTTTATCTATATCTTATCGCTCACTTCCTTTCGCCTTTCAACAGTTGTTTTCTTTGATACTCTGGCTTGTAGTTGTTTTGCTAGGACGTTGGTTTGGTAATACATGATCATTAATATTCACTTTTCTGTTCTACTTACTAGTCTATGTATGTAACTTATCTCACATCTTGTAGGATATCAAAATATTTAGAAGGTTATATCCCAAACTCTTCATTTTGTTAGTGTGACACCAAAGCAAAATGACCTTTGTAGATAGTTATGTTTTTCCTATAAAATTACATTTAACTGCGTATGTGTCGTGTCAGCTCTTAGAGGATTTGAAGTACCTCACCAAATTGAGGTAAGACGACATAACTTTGATGATAATGATGTGAAACTTGGTATAGAGCAGCTAATTGAGATTTCAAACACAATCCCATAATCCTCGATAGGGCATCCTAGCTTCGGCTTTTGGAATTCCCCCTTTAGCATTGCTGTTTCTTAGTGTTTTTTGGGTGAGTCACGATCGAATTCGTATGGCTGCCTTCCAGCGTATTTGCTTTATCAATGATTCATGCACATATATGCCGTTTTCGACGCCTATAAAGCTGTGTAACACACACACAAGCTCATATGCCGCCGTGCCATCGCTTTCCACTCCCGCATTCCAATGCCGAGTGGGAGGGAGAGGGCGCGATATGTGCCAGCGCATTTATATATGTATATGTGATATGTGCAATTATTATATGCGATGTTTTTGATTATCTGACTATCTGGAACACTTACCAGCCAATTGATCCTCGGTGTAAGCTGCCTACAACGAAACGGAGAGAAAGAGGAAAACAAAGAAGGAAACTTGAGTATCGGTTGGCAAGACGCCGAAAAGGGCGTTCCAAATCAAAATAAACAGTTAACTGAGTCTAACAGTAAACAGGCTGCACCACCACTCACCATATCGATTTGTTTTTTAGCTAGCTGATGGGAAAAAACAACACAAAAACACGGCACGGGATTGAATATTGAATTCGACGACGAAGCAAAACGCAGGCAAATTTGTATGGCCGAAATGGAACAGTGTTGACAGATGCAGAAATACCTAAAAATTCTCTAAAAAATACCTCGAATGTTTTGATCCGGCCATTACAAGTGTTGCCATATCGTTTTGTTATTTTTAGTATTTAATTAACCGCCACACGTGCCGCTCGGTTTGTTTTTGTTTTCTTTCGGGGATCTGATCTGGATAAAATTGAATGACCAGATGAGCACCCAAAAGCTGGAGTATGACTCGGTATTGGGCGGTAAGGTGACACTGCCGTCTCATGTTACCACATACCATTATGCGGCCGGGGCGCTGCAGGAGATTCGCAACCTGGTGGCCGACTGTCAGGAGACGACGCTCCGGAGCAGCAAACTAATCTTCCAAACACTACCCAAGCACATGCGCCGCCGGGCCATGTCGCATCACCCGAAGCGCCTGCCACGCAAGTACCGCCAGGCACACAAATCCCAAATGGCAAAGGGCGGCAACCAGCCGGTGAACAGCAAATGCCCATCGAGAAAATACCGCCGGCGACCCAAGAATCTGATGCGGGAGTATGTGCGCCGTCAGAAACGCCACGTCTGGCTGGAGACTCACATCTGGCACGCCAAGCGATTCCACATGATTGACAGATGGGGTCACCGGCTGGCCTACGCCAGCTGCGACAAGACCTACCGCGCTTGCTATCGGGCCAGTTCAGAGCACTGTCTACTGCAGGACATATCGTTCTACGGCTGCGTAGAGTTGCGAGGACCCTTAGACACACTGCGCAAGGGATTCGCCCGCCTAACTAGCCCACAGTGTGGCCTGGGGATCACAGCCAAAACTTTTCTGAACGGACGACGCGAGGGCAGTGTAGAGCTATTCGAAGACGGCCGGTATCCATATGGAGCCCTACAACGAGCCAGCTTTATATGGCGGCCGCAAGGAACAGAGGAGGAACACACGCTATGGCTGTGGCTGCATCCCAGTGGCTCTGAAGCTATTTTAGAGCAGCTGCGCACAGTGTTTCAGCTGAAGTCTACAAAGCAGCAGAAGTTGCCTTTCAGTGAGGATGTTGTTGAGCCGGTAGAGTTACCCAAAGAAACGAAAGGAAACAAGAAGGCTCAGCCTCTTGGCAAGGAAAACCAAGACAAGGACAATCTGCAACAGGAGAATGTTAAGAAGAAGTCAAGCGAGAAAGCCCTTCGGTTCTGGACACAAACAAAGGCCTTTGAGTTACGGCCTAGCTACTTCAATCCGGATAACACCGTCCACTTGGTGCTGCTGCAGCGGGAGTTCAATCGTTTTCGTTTGACAGGGCCCAGAGCTCAACGCGTTTTACTAGCCAGCCTTCGTCCACATCAAAAGGATGAACTCCAAGATCAAGCCAACTACTGCCAGGCAGCCCTGCAGCTGAGCTCACCCGCCGAGCTGCTATCTAATCTAGTAATGGGTCACCAGGTGACGGATCCTCGTCTGCAGCGACCGAAAAAGCGTACGAAAGCAGAAGGGAAAACGGAACCAACACTATCCGCAGGGGATCTTCTGGTTGATCAACCAAAGTGCCTGTCAGAAAGTCCTTTGTGGAGCACGGAGGCTAGGGAGCGGTTGGCCGCTGGCATCATGTCCACGCAAACATACGAGAACCTGCGTCAACAGCATGCCGTGGTACCCGGAGTTCCTTGTGCCTTTGAACAGGATATGCAGGCGGTGCCTCTAATTCTAATTCAAAGGCCAGGATCTCAAGATCCCAGATACAAAAGACTTTCCTACGGATCCGGCTGGGATGTAATTGCTCCAACTGGATATGGCATGCCTCTGTGGCTAACGCTCACCATGTGGGGCGCCAGGCCGGGTGGACTAAGAGAACTCGATTCGGTGGCTAGGGAGGCCGGCACCGAGATGCATTTGCCAGATACAATAACGGGTTAGTGGATATACATTATTGTTTCCTTTTTTATCACCACCTTTTACTCTTTCCAGGAGTGCAGCAAGCTGCGGCTTCAGCAGATGAGCTCCGTGTAAGATACTTTCGGATGCCGCCCAACAAGCGTACCAACTACCGAAAGCTGGCGGTGGTCAGTCCATTCAGTGCTCCCTGGAAGTATCTAGTGCGTGACTGGCGTTCATCTTCAACTCCTGCCAACGGTTCCTCATTCTATGTCCTGCGCCATCGCCAGCAGCTGGAGGAGATTACAGAGTGCATTCGACAACGTAGCGCGCTGTCTGAGGCGCTGCCCGAGGAGGCACTCATTCAGATCCAACTCCGAATGATAACCCGTGGTCATGTAAAGGCCAACGCTCTGATCTGCCTGCCCACGGCGGCGGATCATAAACAGCGCTGGAGGCAGATAAAAAGAAATGACCAGGCTCCCGTTTACGTAGAGCCAGCGCAGCCGGATTTGAATGAACAACAACGAAAAGATCTCCGTCTGAGTCACAAGCTCAAGCTAAAGCGATTACGGACTCGGAGGTTGCGTGTAAAGCGGCGTCTTCAAGAGAAGGCCACCAAGCGTGTTCATATACAACCAGCGAATACGGCTCATCTGGTGCGTGCCCAACTGCAGGAGATGTGCCGCCTGTGGCTGCCCACCGAGCCGGCGGAGATGCGGGACAGTGTACGCCGGCAATGCAGTCGGGAAGTCTTTGGTTATGTGAACTCGGCTGGATTTAGTTTTACCGAGGGCCATTTCTGTGCCGTAGGCTATGTGACAACCGCAGGTCTAAGTCAGCTAACCAAGCAGCTGCCAAAACCCAAGCACCACCAGAAGCAGCCGCCACTGATGCTTCTAGTTCGCAATCCGGATAGTCGAGACTACCGCTGGGCCAGCTTTCAAATCAATCTTAATGTTGCTAGTCCAGCTTTTTGATAGGTTTGCAGTTTAGTCAGGGGTTTTCCGCTGCAAGAACGAAGTTTAACCAGACTAGAAAACTCTACAGTTCTAGGTTGAGAAAATCTTTAGAGATCTTCAATGGTGTCTTTTAAAATATGTTAGAACCCATGAGAAACCGACCAATAAAACTCGTTCGAAGTTTGTTGTACATATTTAATACTAATTTTTATTCAATTTAAAATTACTTGTATGTCATCTTTACTTCGTTTACCATCAAATTTTTACTCATTTTTGTATTTCAATTTGTATTCGTTATGCAATGAACTCAATATTGAGCGGATGTCAGTGTGGTTGTGAGTGTATGTTTTGGTGTGTGTGTGTGTGTGTGGAATGAATATTTGTTTCGAGTGTATTTCTTTTTTAACAAAATGAAATGTGAAATTTTTGTATTCGTTTGTGTTATCGTACCTTAAATGCGACAATGATTAAAAAATGGCTTACAATTTTTGGTTTTTAATTTTTGTTGTTGTTGTTGTATCTTGTGGCTGAGCATATGCGTTCGCACATCCATAATTTATAATTTATAATTTGTAATTTATAATATTCATTCTTCGTACACACTTGCCGTCGAATCGTTTTATCCATTTTAATTCGTTTGTAATTGTTGGTTTACTTGATTTTTTTTGTTAAGTTGATGCGGTTATGGGAAATGTATTTGAATTGCATGTAAATTTCGCTTTTTGTTTTTGGTTTTTGGTTTTCACTTTGTATATATATATATATATATTTATCAGTTATTGAAATTGTCTATATACTTACGAGTATATAAGTTGTTCATGTATTTTGTTTTACTTTACTTTTAATGGGATTTAGCAGATGCCTTTGGTGTTGATCTTGTTTGTTCTTGTGCGTTAAGTTTCTTTCTGAATATTTCAACGTTTTTCGAATTTCCCAACTCATCATTTCTCATCGACGCTTTCCCAAATGTTTTTTTTTCTTTTTTGTCAGTGTTTATCTTTTGTTCCTTGCTTAGATACAGATACATACATAATTCCATTATGTAAACTCTCACTTATAATTATACAACTTAGTTGAAACATTTAATAAATATTTCTTTCTGCTCACTTTTCTGTTCGGTTTCTGTACGGCATAAAATATGATTCGATCTTACGTTTAACTAAATGTTAAGGAAAAAACAATTAGATTTATATATATATGTATATATATATATATATAGTTAAATATATATGTATGTGATTTAGCGTTTGCATTCAAGTACAATTTCTAAGAGCCTACGCAAGTACAAGTACAAGTTTCAAACTGAATTTGATTCGCAAACTTTGGATATATGATGGATGACCTATGGGTCAAAGGACCTTTCGATCCTTAACCAGATCGAGGAATCCTTGTGTGAGTGACTGAGTGTGTGTGTGCTGAACTACTTATGGTTTGTTCGATTTTTGGCTTGGTTTACCTATGCTTGCTACCACATTACATTTGATTGGATTACGAGTATTGAATACGTATTCTTCTTCGCCTTCTTCTTAAACTCCCCGCGCCTACAGTTAACATGCATTATATAGACTTGTAGACTTGGATTATGATTACAGATTACAGATTATAATCGGATACTCAATCGCTATCGTTATCGTTTCGTCTCCGGGAACGTCGTCTTAATCTTCTTCATCTTTGGTCTTTAGCAAACTGATGCTTTCTGACGTTTGAGCTTTGGTTTGCAGCTGGTCTTTGGAATGGGCTTGGGACTTGGGTTGAGGTGGTTTCAGGGCGGGCGGGGGTTGTATGGGTCTTGGTGATTGGGATACGAGGGGGACAGGTCGTTGGCTGTCCCGATCTCTTGTCTTGCGCATCGTCTCCTTGTATAAAACGTTGAAATACTTTGAATTTGGTGGGTTAGTATACATATATTTATAGATATACGTGGCATATATATCTTTCAAAATGTTCGTTTCGTTTAACATTGTAAATTGTAAACAATTTGATGCTTGTCAATGGTTTTTTTCCTTCACTTTTCTCTCTCGCTCTTCTCATCGTTTTTCATTTTCATTTCGCTTTAGCAATATTTTTCCATTCATATATAAATGCGGGGATTCACTTGGAAAGTTTTTTTGGTTTTTGTTTTTTCGAGCGTTGCTTAAGAATTTCTTTGCTTTTATCCGATTCTCTGCTATAACATACATACATATTATTATTATTTGCGTTAATTATGTTTTTTCTTTTAACATCACTACTAATAATCAAAAAATGGACATTTATAAACTTTTATATAATGTATATTAAAAATGTTCTTTTTTTTTTGTTTTTCCTTTTTTTGGATTCTTGGCCATTAAATGCCACAATTTTCTTTGTTTTTTTTGTTTTTTTTTTTTATGTTTTGTTTTGTATTTAGTTATGGTGTTTCGGGGAATTTGTTTTTACAACTGGCCATGAAGTTGTCTTAGCGCCATTGTTACTAAATTCTTACAAAAGTTTTCTCGACTCAGTTTAGTGAATTGTGGCTGAGAATGAAAGAAATGAAAAAACGTTAACGGTTAAATGTTAAAAACTATGGCGAGAAAAAGGACATAAAATCGAAGGAAATTATACCAGTAAAAATCATATAAATTCATCACAGTTTGTTGTTGTTCGGCTGTTTTTGATTGGTTGAAAAGTCAGATCGAATTTATTGAGAAAGTCCTTTCGTTTCCGTTTCCGTTTCCGGGTTTCGTCATCGTTACCGTTTCGTTTCCGTTTCCTGTGGCCGCGTTCTTCATGACATTGTATGTGTGTGTGTGTGTTTGTGTGTGTGAGTATGTGTCTCTGTTTTTTTGTGTGCTTTCCCCGGGGACTTTCACGGGGATTTCCCTCGCTTGCAGTCGCAAAACAAAAAGCACGCGAAAAGCAAACAACCATAGTTTTTTTTTTTCAGAATAATTTCCATTTTCTTATTGGTAATGTGAACTTTTTAATCGATTCTGTTTTGGTGTTCGGTTGCCGAAGCTGATAATGTTTAAACAATTATAAAATTAATATTAACTTGTAATTTTTTCGTCGATTTAGTAACAAGATATTGCAGCAGCGTGTTAGAGGCAAAACTAAACTAAACTAAATTAAATTAAATACGCAACTCAGATGAAAAAACATGTGCCGTGGTTTTCCGGTTTCTTCGAGTAAAACTGTAAACACTATGACTTAGTTCTTAAGTTCTTAAGTTCTCCACGAGTTAACAAAGTAAAAAAGGAAATCATGGATAAAAATCATCAACAAGCGACCTGCAAATCGTATTTCGGCTGGCAATCATTAATCTTGCAGATTGGTCCGATAGGTTCGTTCGTTTCTCGTATCTCGTATCTCGTTTCGCTTTGGTTTTTTGAACAAAAAAAAAAAAAAAATCAAAATATACTCATACATATCTGCATTAATGTATATATTATATGTAGTATGCATATATGTTTAATACGTAATTAGAAACTAACTCTTCACTTGATTTCTGTCTGCGTTCTGGGCTCGCTACATTTTGGTTTTGGTGCATTTTCATATCCCCTTACATCGGCCTATATACTCGTATGTAGACGACGGGCTCTCAGGCATCGGCTTACTCCAGGCGTGCCTTGTAGGTGGTCTTCCAGATCTCGGCGAGTGTCACGGCGCTGTGGAATCGATGGAAGATGCACAGGGGCAGTGTGATACGCTGGATGATCGACCAGGGTACGAAACCGTAGAAGTCCAGCTGAACCTGTTAGTAGTATAGTATGGTTAACAGGATTAATAAGTTGGCCAATCAGCGGGCTTTTTGTGGGTTAAACATCAACGACATGCAGGACGATATAACACACAGCATCGCAAAAAAGTATGCTATAATATTTTGTATTGAAAAATGTTGGAATTTCTCCTCAAAACTTAAACCCTTAAACCCAAAGGCATGCAAACACAAGGTACAAGGCCACTATATTCTATCGGTTGGAATATCGAATAACAATCGAATAACGAGTAGAGAACGAGAACGTTAATCGTCTTACTTAACTCAGTCTCGCTTACGTACATATCTACTTACAGGATTGGCGAATACTTTTTGAGCTTCGAATGTGTAGATCGCGAACATGGCCACGTTGCAGATGAGAAGGAAGGTGACAATCTGGCGGCCCGGCTTGCTACGATCGTGCTCCGGCAGATGGACGCGACGTCGGGACACGTCCGCGATGAACAGCAGCTGCAGGATCACCTGGAAGACGGCCACACCACCGGTGGTCGTTACCAGCAGGCTGGGCTCACTCTCCAGGACCTTCAAGCTGCCGGCAATGATGCTGAACACGGAGTAGGTGAACAGGCCAAAGGCCGAGATGCGGAGCAAGATGTCGTTCAGGTTCGACTGCTCCTCGCAACGGAACTTCAGGTTCTTGACTCTGTTTTTTTGAATGGAAAGAAAGGATACAGGTTAGATCAGATTAACAGGTAAGTTTGGGAACTGCACAGAGAAAATATCAGATTTAAGACTGGTTATTAACTTTGATATCAAAACATAAACTTTCGGTTGAAATTTGTATAGAAAAGATATTCTTTCTGTGCAGTCGATTCCCAAGACCATTATGTTTCGTCCAGACCTGATGAATCCCACTATAATGGCCAGAATGGCGAAGGCCATCAGGATGCAGTGGCTGGCGTCGGCGAGGTAAATGGCCAACAGCGAGAACTGCTGATGGCGCACCAAGACGAAGAAGAGTATCAGGCAGATGAGGGCCCCGACCAGCAGCAGGAGACCGAAGAACAGGCCCTTCGACGAGCCAACGCAGTCGACGCGTCCGGATCGCGCCTGCTGTGCCATGGCCACCGCCCGCCGTGATAGCATCACTTCCAGTCGGTGCTCCAGATCCTCGTCGTTCATCCGCCCCGGATAGCGGCCGATGTGCTTCCACATGACATACAAAACCACCGCCCCGATCAGCGAGTACTCAATGATGAATGGATAGAGGTAGGGCGCCGAATCGTAGACAATGGTGCCCATTATATCGATGCGTCCGCAGGCGGTGGAGTTGAGTGTGCCGATATTGGAGGACAGCGCCGCCGGGTATATGTTGTCCAGGCTCTCCAAGTTCTCAAAGCTAACCAGGCCAGTGGACTCTTCGTGTCCAAGATCGGTGTACGTTTGGAAACTGTTCTCCATGGGTCCCTGGCCAAACAGATTGTTCATTATGCTAGCCGAGCCCTCGGTGCTGCTGGCCGGGCTTAGGGTACTGGCCAAAAAGGAGTCTACAAAGGAGCCGGAAACGGGAGTGGGCGTGGCAGCGGAACCGAACCCATCGACTGGCGCCAGGCTCGGCGGAGCAGCGCTAGAGAGGATGCGCTGTAGGCCGCCAAATGACGACTCACTGCCGCTGGTCTCGAGATTCAGGGCGGCGGTGGTGCTAAATGGGCTGAAGGTGGTGCTCGGTGAGATGGTGGTGCTACTGATGGTCGACGGAATGGTGGTGCTAGTGGTGGTCGGTGAGATGGTGGTGGTGGTGGTGGTGGTACTGCTGGTGGAGCTACTGCTGCCCGCCGCCGTGGTGGCCGCTGTGGTGGCGCTGGTGATAAACTTCTTCAGCTTGCGGGCCATAGTAGTGCTGTGCCATTGGTAATTCGGAGTGGTGAACGGCGCCCTTGTGGTCGTGGTGGTGGTGGTAGTGGTGCTGGCTAACACCTGATCACCACCCATGCCCAGGCTCTTCGAAATACCATCGACGGTATTGCGAACCAGCTTGGACAGCACGTTGTCGCTCTTGTACACATCCTTGGGCAGAATGTCCTCGCCGTCCAGGACCTCGAATTCGCTATTGGGTCCCGCATGGGTCTTCAATACAGTTCCGGCATGTCGCAATGCATGTTGCCTTATCGAATGGGCAATCGAGGAGGCTCCTGCCTCTGGTTCGGTCTTCTGGTGGTAAATCGTAATCTCCAACAGGGACTCCTTCACCAGAGTACGGATCCACACGCAAATATTGGTGGCCACCACGTGCATCAGGCCAAAGCGGGCAATTACCTTGAAGCGGTGGATGTTCAGCTGAAGTCCAAAATCCGGCGGATGGGTAGGTAGAAAACACAGAAAGAAATGCAGAAAAAGAAGAGAGAAAGAGAGATGGGTGCGCGGGGCGCTTGAGTACGTTGGAGAGCTTAAAGGTGGTCAAGTCGATTACATTGATTACTTATTGAGATTAAATTACGGGCAAAACAGAGTTCCTTCTGGGAACTGCAAGCCACTGACCCTGCAGTGGGTTCTTCCAACTTTTCAAGTGAACCAAAGACCAAAGATGGATCCTCACTGCAGGGACAGTGGGGCAAATCAAAAACCAAACGCCCTTAAAAAGGCCACCCTTAAAGATATAGTAAATGTCTGTACAGTTGTTGTGGTTATCATATCGTAAAATATATAATATATATCAAAGACATAAGCATATATATATATATATAGGTTGCTTAGGTAGATTTGTAGTTAGGTGAGCAAAATGATCATTTGGTTGGAAGAGACAGATGTACAGGTACAGGTACAGGTACAGTAGGTAGAGTTAGAGGTGTGAGTACAGTAGAGTAGAGTAGAAAATGAGTTGCATATCGTACCTGAAATGGCGGCCTAGTCTGCGATCGCGCGAATGGGGCGGAGTTGTGGGATTATGTACACAAAAATGGTTCATTAAATAACTACGTAGCAAAATTTCGAAATTTGTTTTAAAACAATATGAATATGCATTGGTTGATTGATGAATGATGAATGATAGTATTGGATGAATGGTTTGTATGGCTGATGGATGGATCGGATCAGTGGGTCAAAATGCGTGTTTGGTGCTGAGGGGGGGGATTGGAACTCTGTGTCTCAGTGGCTATGTGATGGCTTCACAGAAAAAGTAACAAAACTAAATTATCAATAATATACATATCATGTTCTGGGATCAACTTGATCTTAAGTCATAATGGATTAAGATCAAGTTGTGGCCCAAGTCTGTTGTCTGTGGCTTTTGCAATGTTCGTTTTGAGAGATTGAGAGAAGCAAGCGAGTGAGATATGGCAGATGATGTTGTGATCAGCGATGGATGCAGTTGCAAATGCAGATACAGATACAAATACAGATGCGGATGGATGAGAACTGAACTGAAAACTGCCAATTAGCACGCCAATTACATATTCGTGGTGAGATTTGGTTTGAGAGATCGATGAAGGTAAAACATAAACCGAAACCGGAAACGGAAACGCGTGTTAGCCTGACCTTAAATACCGCGCGACCTAACTTGTTGAGTTCTACGGAAGTTGAAGGGAAACTAACCTCGCTGGGGGTTCTTAAGAAGGAGCTGGATTGGATTCGTGTACTTATAATGGTTTTACATTTAACATACGAGTATACAGAATAGCCGTAGATATTAGCAGTAGGTAGTAGTAGTAGTAGTAGTAGTAGGTAGTAGTAGGTAGTAGTCATACGCTTACACAGTGTTCTTTAGTTTTAGTTTTAGTTTTAGTTTAGAGTTAGAGAGAGCTTCGACCTTTCGACTTACCCGGGCATTCATGAATATGAAGTACATCTGCATGAAGGTGAAGATCATCTGGAGCAGTGGATTGACGCCGATCAGGATGTGATGGCATGGCGAATCAAATGGTATTTCGAAGAACGATCCAAACTCCAGGCCAATATAGATCATGGCTCCAAGTCCAAAAGCTGTGGAATCAAAAAATCATGTTCACTATCAAGAGGTGAACTTTCAGAGAATACTAGGTAACTCTTCCAACTCACCGATGGCTCCAACTCGCAGAAAGAAGCTGCCGTGCGTCAGATCACTGTGGGTTGTCTTGCGTTTGCGCACATTCTTTGGGGTGACGGCCACCTCGGCGTCCACGGGTGCTTCCTATAGATGCGAATGGAGGACGGAGAGATCGGGCGGTCAAGAGACTATACATGTAGGGGAAATATCTCACAGCCTTTGGAAGAAACTAATTGATGCGACCTCAGCACCTGGCCCCTAATTAGCAAAGCTTGACTAGGTCAACCCCCCATACCCAATTGGCGAGTAGGTCATGGAAAATGCCAGAGTGAGGGTAAGACTAAAATTGGCATTGGAGCCTAGTTTAAGTTAGGTTTAGGTTAGAGTTTTCTACAAAGCAACTTTCATATAGCAAGCACAGATCTTAAAATTAGTGTAAATAAGGCTCATAGCTAACCAAAAACCTGGCCAGTGTGTGCTTATTTGGTAAAGGAAAGAAGTCCTTAGTTAGTTCAATATATTTCTCAATAACAATTCTATCGATTATCGCTTTCAAGTTATTCATTCATTATAGTGATCAATGAATGAAGAACTCACCTGATATGCGGCGCCCTTGGCTGCCTTGCCAGAGTCCTTTGAGCCCTTCGCATCCTTCGAATCGGCCGGATCGGCATTCTTGGCTTTCTTCGACTTCTTCTCCTTTGGCTGTGGTTTCGGTTTGCTGCCACCATTGCCGCCATTGCAGCAAGAGCTCTCTGTGTAAAAGATCATGATTAATTATGATTATAATTAGTTAAATTAACTAATATATAGAAAATGCACCCACCCTGCAGCAGGAAACAGAAGACGTAGAGGAGGAAGAGTATACTGACGCCGTAGAGATATGTGAAGAATGTCTCGTAGTACAAAACCGGCAGTCGGTGGGTGGTTACATCGCTGATTACGTAGGCAATGCAGACGACGATCAATAGGATCGCGTACACCAGACTGGTAACGATGAACAGTGATGTCCTGCGGAATGGATAATCCCTAAGTTAGTTCTCTCAATGCTTAGGTTTGTGTTTTCCAAACTCTGTTATGTACAGAAGACTTAACTCAAGGTGCGCGTATATACGGTTGGTGTGTGAGTGTGTGTGTGTGTGTCTAAGTATGTGTGCAGAAACTATGTATGTATGTCAAGATCTGGCCAGTTATCTGGTGCTATAACTCCCCCGAGTTGACCCACTGTCCCGCTTCCAGTGAGTGCTAATTTTCCGCAGTTAGTTTGAGTTCTTCATTCTTGTGTTTGGGTTTGGGCTAAGAGACAGAAGCTTATTATCTGTGTGTGTGTGTGTGTGTGTGTTTGGGTGTATTTGTATGTGTGTTTGGGTGTGTGGTAGTGTGTGACATGCAACTAAAACTCAAGTGCATTTTCACTTGACATCTCAAGAACATAACCGCCCTGCACATTAGCCCCTATTTGATGTTTGATTAGCCACAGACCTGCACAGTGGGCTCTGTTGTATGTTAAGTGAGAAACTAACTAGAAAGTTAATGAGTTTATTAATATAGATGGCTAATTTTGATATTTATTTAGAATTTTATAAAGTTTTTGATTCAAAACTACTTCTATGAATCAATCGGTGTTAATTTACTTTTAAAACTGTTTTATACACACATTTTCTATGCAGCCCACTGTGCCTCCCCACAGTATTTTGTGACCCAGTTTGCAGCTGCTTTAAATACACAACCCCCCTCTGTTTCCCACCCCACTTAAGCATCCATTTGGGGGTGGTGGTGTATGGGCCGCTGGGCTAAATCAAATCCGATGTTTGCATTGTATTTGAAGGGAATTCCTTCACTTTGGCATGACATAGAAACTGATTTGTCCGGAATTCATGAACATATCTATAAGATATATATGTAGCCTAGATATCAGAAGTTAACCCAAGCTGTGTGTTCACATTGATGGTTTTGAGGAATATTTAAACAGGAGGTAGCTTAAGGGAGTTAAGTACTTGGGACTTGGGGTAGGTCATGGTTTTGTCACATTACCATAGTTCGATGGGTCCCGTTATCGGATTTGTTTCATATGTGCCCTGTACCGTTATTTTCGCTGGCATAAAACTGTACTTATTTGGATTTGGCTTGAACGTGTAGCAAACCCTATAAGATTCGATGTAAGTTAAGTATTGATATCCAGTTCATTGTGCTGCAGATAATCATTAATACATGTCTTTACATAGCCGGTGGGGCAGTTGGGCAGTGGGCGGGACTGGAGGTAAAAATATGCAAGCGCTCAAACAACAAAAAAAACATAAAATCTTTGGCAGGACCTCGATGAGAGAGTGAGACGGCGCTTTACGGCTGGGATTGCACTTTTGGTTATATATATATATATATATATCCTATATATCCTATATACTATATGCTATATACTATCACCGCTTGGCGTTACTAGCTTATATACAAGGTGTGTGCGGGTGAGTGCGTTGTCTCTGTATCTGTGAGTGTGCTCAAGTGTTTTTTCGGGATGAAGCTGTTATACACAGAGGGATTAGCTAAATACTAAATGGGTAACGGCCTTGATGCTAATACCCATTGCCTAGTTGGTAGGTGGTAAGTAAGTTAATAGAGTTGTGAATTAAGGGGGTGTTTAAGGAAGGAAGTCATTGGAAAATCAGGTTATCTCTCAAAGACAACGTTTTTTCCTTATCATTAAATGATTTGAAGTCAAAGCTTATCTCTTCAGCTTCATAGTACCGCTCCCCCCATTAAGTTCTGCCCAGTTTTCTTTCTGATTTTCGCACCTCTGCAGTGGCTGCGGCATGACATTCTTGAGCTCCATCTCCTTGTTGGCGGCGTTGTTCTTTTCGGCACTGTCGGTGCTGCCGGCGGTATGCGAGCGGGACACCGGCAGCGTGGCCATATTGTCCCCGCCCTCAACGTCGACGGTAGCGACCTTCACTTCACCGCCGCCCATTGTCTCCGTTTCCGTTTCGGTCTCCGTTGTGCTGGCTTTTTTCGACGATCCCCTTTCCGATTTGTCTATCGATAGGCGATAGGATTTGTTGTTGCTCCTTCGCGACGGATTACGATTTCTGTTTTTGTTTCTTCTTTTTTTTTTCCTCGATTTCACTTCACAGTTCGTATTTGTGTATTTTCGGCAACTCTAAATTAAGCAATTTGCAGGGTTTATTTCTCTATTTTCGAATGCAACAGAAGTTTCTATTGTTTGACTTGGAGAGCATCCCTATATCCCTATATCCCTATGTCCCTATGTCCCTATATACCATACTGGCATATCGGACTCTTTCTCTTGCTGGAGCCTTGTGGAACGCATTTGAAATGCATTTGACAAATGGGCAAATGAGGCGTGGCTATAATTTTTGATACGGACTGCATCCCGGATGGGAGCGACCCAGTGACCTCTCTCTTTCTCTGCTTCTCTCTCTCTCGCTCTCTCTTACTACCTCTCTCTCTGTCTATCTGCGGCATATTTGGAGGGTTGAAAACACGGCTTTTTGGCATTTCGCATTCCGGCGGGGAAAGTGTATCCTGTGGAGCCTACAGCCTACAGACTCTGGGTGTGCTGGTGTGTATGCATCGTACCTATGTGGAATATACAACAGTATCTCCCTACATCGGGAGTCCTCATGTTCTTAAGAGCCTATCTTGCTGTTTCCTTCACCCAGTATTCCCTCCATCTCTCTCTCACTCCTCCTCTGCTGTGTGTATAATAAGCTGCTTAACGTGTGCGGGTGTGTGTATGTGTGTGTGTGTATTGCCCGGTGCCATTAAAAGTCCTTTTTTTGGAGGCCTGGCCAAAAATATTAACTGTAGTTAACGGAAAATCACTGGAACTCATTCAGCATAGGCAAAAACCAAACTGCAAATTGCTTAATCTTAGGCTAAGATCGTTTGTTGATTGGAAAACTTGAAGGCTTTCATTGAGATAACACGATTAAGTTTATAGTTTTTGTAATTTCTGTTATTTGATCACTTGGGGAATCACTTTTCTAGATGAAACTTGAAAAAAAATGCCACGATTGTCTCAGATTGAGTTGGGAGTTTTGAGTTTTTTTCATTGAAAACTTTCAACTGATTGGGGCACTTTTGCTTTTGGAGGACTTTGGAGGCTACCTGGCGAACGGTTCGCTCGACACGTCCAAGACCCTTTACTATCCAACTACAACTGAAACGAGCCCTGGCAGGATAAATCCAGCATCCTTTACGGCCAGCAGCCGCCCTCAATCTGCGCCGAATCTCTCGCGCTCTCTCTCTCTCTCTCTCTCTCTCTTTCTCCTCGCCATGTTCCCGTCTCTTTCGCCTTTAGTCCCTCATCTTGCTATTGCTCTCTCGCTTGCTTTTGCTTTTAGCTAGCTTGACAGGATGCTCTCGGTATGCAGGGGAAAATCTCCTTTGAGTATGCCAGAAAGTAGGACACATTTCGCTGCGCGACTTGATGTGCGATTCCTGCTCTTGTTGCTCTCAGTTCTGTTGGGTCCTGACGGGGGTTTTGGCCCCCAAAGAGGTCTGTCATTCAGGCGATTTGCATGCAGCACCCACTGGCCATTGTTCCAACTTGATTGAAATGCTGACTGACATCTCAACTCCTTTTATATTCCATCCACATTCGGTTTCTTCGCTTCTTTAAAATATTCATTTGGCTTTTCTATTTTTTGTTTGCTTTCCTTAGTTGAAAGTTTTTTTTTTTTAGTTTTATTTCCATTTCCATTCACTACTTTTACGCTCTAATTAACATATATTTCCCGCATGGAAATCTGTTTTCCCTTAAATTAATTCTTTACTTTTTTAAATTTAATTGGTCTGTTTTTGTCTGCCTATCCCCCCCGCCTGACCTGTCCGAAAACATATCTTTTAATTAAGTTTTGGATCAGGAAGCGAGGCGGACTCTTTGTGTTAGCCGCACACTCGTAGTAAATGGGTCACTTAATCCACGAGGTAGTCGAGGAGTCAAAAGAGGGCGTGGGGGAGGCGGACGCCAAATGTCAATCATTGGGCATGCCAATATGCAGAGTGCATCAGGGAAAAGGGGGTGGCTTTGGACTGGATGGACCGATGGAATCAGAAATGGGGGAACTGAAGAACAGAATCCAACACAACCATCCATCAGTCATCGAAAAGCAACAGCCCAAAACTCAATTACCCACGATGCTCGGCCTGCCTCTACTGATTTTACTACTATCATCTGATGTTTTTGTTGTTCGAATTGTGGCGCGACGTGTTGCAGCCACCCACTGTTGAACCACCGAACGTAACAACCACCCCGGCAACCGGTTTGGCACAGTGGGTGATTATCGTCGGTTGGTTATAAAGAAAATATGTTAAATCCTATGTTGGTTAGAAAGTTTAGTAAAGGTTAATGGATCCTATTGGGTATATAAATTCTATATACGATTAATATTTGATCATCTTGTAGCCTCCGAATGCCCGTCCCCTAACTTCTTAACCCCCATAATTCCCAACTCCAAGTCAAGGCTGCTTAGACTTCCTTATAATTCCACTGATTCCGTCTGAGTCACTAAACTTGTCCCTTAATCCCCCTCTAGCTCTTCTCTTTCGTTCATTAGAGCCTTTTTCAGACGCGATTACCAGCATCCTTTCCTTAGTTTTTCACCACTAATCCCACTCGAGAACCCACTGTGCTCTGTCGCAGAGCTTTACGGTATAAGAGCTGGCAACGTCGTCATGCTGTCTGGTTCGTACTGTAACGGAGTTCAGCTTCGGCTTCGACTTTGGCTTCGTCCTGCTTTACCGTTTATCGTAACTCTAGCGCTGGCTTCCTTTTGTGCCTGCCGTTCGCAAAAACATTGCGGCATTCTGTTTTGGTTGCCCATTCGCCGACAGAGTCACCTCATCCCTAAGCATTCCCAACTACCATTGAACGTCGAGTGCAGAGTGCGACAAGGGGTTGCAGTCATCCAGAAGAGTGGCGGTATTAAAAAATGTGAGGGTACACTTGGCAAAAATGTGTGTTTCTTTTTCAATAATTGAATTTTCGAATTTTCAAGCAAATTTTTAGAAAGATGTTTGGGCATCTGAATGCAGAAATTATTTAAAGAATTTTAAAAATATTCCCACAAAAAGGCATTCATTTTTCCAGTGTAAAACAACGGAATTTAAGGATTTGCGTCGCAGCTCGCCAACTGCGTCGTAGTTGCATCGAGAGGCATAAAAGCAGGAAAGTGGCGGACTGCTGGGCAGCAGAGGGTTAAAGGCGGAAGGTGGAAGGTGGAAGGTGGAAGGGCGCAGATGGAAGATGGGGGTTATCGAATCCCTAGCAGCCGCACCCTGATCCCAGCCAGATGAAGACGTGTGACCCAAATGCCACTCACTCACTAATCCCGGGAGTAGAAAAATGCGGCAAAAAAAGCCTTCAAATTCTGGCTGCCTCATGTTGAATCAATTTAAAATTGATGAGACACTGTCTCGTGAAAATTAGCCATTAAAGACATGTACTAAGTCCCTGACATGTTGTTATGTTGCTTCCTTTTAATTGGAATCAATCCCTTTGGTCTATAATTATTTGTGGCCTTTCATCTGCAGCCCTCGCAGATCGAAGAAGGGTTGTCACGTTGCCCTTGTGCCCGATTGCCTAATTATATATACCTTCAGCCACCCCTCTCGCAGCAGTTGAGGTCTTTATCAGAAGCTTAATTTTAGATTTTTAAAACAAAGTATCAAAGGGGGTGGTGAACAGAGATATCCTTGGGCCTACCACAAAAAAAACCTTGTGCCTAATCGGGTGACAATGTTCTAGCCAGGAGGGACATGGCCACAAATAGATGATGGACATTTATTTTTTACAAATTCGAGAATTGAGAAGAACCAAATCAATAATATAAGGAACAACTTTTGAAGTTTGAAAACTTTCCCAGACGCGAGATACACAGAAAAACATTTTACTCTGTTCCCCAAACATAGATCCTAAGTTCGACTGCAACAACAAGTGGAAATCTTCCTCGGTGTAGCCAGACCAAGTCGAGAGTGGTGTTCTCAAGTGAGGCTGACAACTCTGGCCAAATGCCAAGCATCGATAGTTTCGCCACCGTCTACCCAGCCCAACGCCGTTCTCCTTTGCGCCCATTGTGCCATCGTATTGTTAGCAAATTGCAGAAACTCACGAATGTAAGTCATTCGTACAATGACACTTTGGATGCAGAGACAAAGGCGTAGTGCGGGTGCATCCATGAGATGCGAATGGGAAAGGTACTCCCTCTACACAGAGGAGAATAATTGATATTATTGATTCTTGATCAGCTTGGGATCTTCCCAAAAGATGGGCCTATAAAGTCAAGGTAAACCTTTTGCAAGTTCAGTTTTAATCTCCAAGAATCTTTGCTAATTGCTTAGTTTCTAGTCTACATACCTCGTTGTACACCTTTACAAGGGTATCAAATCTTCGGCTAGCTTCCGTTTTTTTTTTTTGTTATTTTTTTTACTATATATGTGATATATACAAGATGCCAACAGATCTGGTTGGCATGCATCGCTGACAGTTCATGCCGCAGCCAGCCGAGTGGAATGCTTTGTCGGTTTGTCAAGTTGCGTAATTTGTTTGCAACTTCAGGCCACCACCCAGCACCGCCCTGCACCACCCACTGGTAGCATTGTGTAAGCGATTTTGGATGACTCGCTGCCTACTTATTTGTTTTATACCCCAACCGGAGAGGAGCAAAAGAAAAACGATGCCACACCATCGGAAATGTAAGGCAATGTGCCTGGCGTCCAGTTCATTGACATTATAATCCACCCCCCTCCCCCCACTGGATGCCAAATAAATAGTACAAAAACCCACAAAAAGCCAAAAAGGAACAAAGAAAAGGCTGAATGAAATTCGGGCTGAGATAGTTCTTTTTTGGCTCCTGTGTCTCCTGCGACATCCTAAGCGGATATATCAACTACTTAATTTTATGTTTTGTGAAGGGCACTTGGCGAAAAACTTGACAAAAGGTATTGTTTAACTAAATTTTAGGCAGGTATATCAAGAAGCTTAGTAGTTAGTGTATGAGAAATATTTTTCGGTTAGTAACTCTCAAAAGTATGCTATGTAGTTAGGTGTTACTACTGCTATGAGAAGCCATAACAAGATGCGGGTGATAGAAAAGAGCAACTACGTTCCAGAGAGAACCAACTAAGATCATTCCCAGGTTAGTAGGAAAAGGATAAGATCATACGGTTATATAGAGGATTCTACTGTTTTCGAGATACAGTACTACAGAGATAGGTGTGTTCAAAGAGTATAGTTTTTGGTTTTTGGAAAGTTAAGTAATAGCAAATCTGACCTTTGCTGTGGCCGCGTCAGAACCGCTGGATGCTTGCCGCTGTAACGGTTTCTAACTGATTAAATGGCACACGATATACAGTTATCAAGGGAGTTAACGGTTAACGGTTAATAGTTAACGGTTCTACTGAGGATCCAATAAAATATTCTTAGGGGAAATGAATTGGCAAATCTCTGGCACATTGCTGGACACATTGGAGTGTGAGAACGGAAGCTTAGTAACGCAGGGAATGACAGGAAGGACACAACACGAAACACAAAAACAAATCCATTCGATGGATACACGTACGAGTGGTGCTGGCTTATAAATGGTATTTTTTTTTGGTATTTTTTTTGGTATTTCTTTGGTATTTTAATGGATCCATGGAACACACTTACTTGGCATTTTTCGGTCGTCGGGCGTCGATCGGGAAGTCGTCGTCGAAATCCAAATTGAAGTCCTCGCCAAGATCATGAGGCACTAGTGGAGTCCTCTGGTGGGCAGGACTTGTGTGATAACCATCGCCCTGCAGCTGTTGGTTGGATCGTTAACAAGTTTGGAATTAGTTTAAAGAACTCAGAAGTGGTCTGCATAACGACAATAAATTGGAATTTCATATATTACAAAATGTACAAGGTATACGAGTATACAGAGGCTGTCACAGAAAACAAATCAAGATTTTAACTCTACTAAAAGTGGTTTTAAAAATCCCATCAAAAAGGGTTTAGTTTTCTGTGACATTTCAACTCTTTTTTTTAACAAAAAATATATATATTTCTTAATCCATTCACATGCGTTTCAAAAATAATACATTTACAAAACAGATATTTATATTGTTTAGATCAAAGCAATTCCAATTTATTGCAAATTAAATTACTCATAAACATCTTTGTCTCTTTTCGTTCTGATTTTGATTTCGATTTCGTTTTCGTTTTCGAGGAACATAAAGTAAAGGGCGAATCGGTTACTCGTGCAAGGATTTTGGTGGTTAAAGTTTCGGATCCGTTTCCAATTTATTGGCTAAGGAGAAAATCTTCGAAAATAAATTATTAATCTGCCACACACACACCGACACACACGCACACTGCATAAGAAGTTTAAGTTTAAATATGCAATATACAAGCATTTTTTTTTTAGTTTTCCATAAATATTTACAAAAGTTGTTTGGTTTTGAAAGTCCGTGGAATGTTTTTATGTAATGGCATTGATGATTTTTGATTTATAATTAAATAATATATTAATATATAGTATTAAGCTGTGTTAACTGATGGTTCTGGCATAAAATTAGTATAATGACTTTTTGACACAAAATTTCAATATTTTGTTTCGCTTTTTTATTTATAACTTTAACAAAACAAAAGGTACAGCTGAAAGAGTGACAGTTTTGGACAGCTAACAAGCAAGACTATCTTCCCTTATCATTCGTTTGATGATTTTGTGAGTTTTAATTTTTTGCAAAATTTCGAATTTTCTGTAAGGGGTTACCCCTCATCAAAATTTATGAAAACGGCAAAATTTTTACTTTTCAAACTGTGAATGCAGTTTTCTTGGATATCAAATTACGAGCTCAACGAGGTATTACATTCCATATTTGGGCCATTATTGGCTTAGCTGTGAGAAAAATGCTGTAATTTTGGGCGGGAAATGGCATAAATTTGATTTTCCATTTTCGATAAGGGGCAACATTATCAAAATTTTCAAAAAAATTCCAAAATTTGACATTTTGAACTGTGAATGCAGTTCGTCTGCAATTTTAATTACGAGTTCAGCGATATATGACTTTCCATATTCCGACCATTTTTGGTTTTGTTATGAGAATAATTCTGATTATTTTAAGGCAAAAATCTGGACTTTGATTTTGGACTGAAAATGGTGATATTTTGAATTGGTTTTATACCTATAACTTAGCAAAAAGAAGACGTACAGCTAAAACAAAGACTGTTTTGTGAAGCTAATGACTAAAACTAACTTTTCTTATCATTCGTTTAACTATTTTGGAAATTTATTTCTTTTGAAAAATTATGCATTTGTGGTAAGGGGAACATTATCAAAATTTGCGGAAAACGGCTAAATTTTACTTTTTAAATTGCGAAAGCAGTTTTCTTGGAAATCAAATTACGAGCTCGGCGAGATCTAATATTCCATATTCCGACCATTTCTGACTTGGCCATGTGAAGATTTTTAAGACAAAAAAACAAGAATTGAATACAAAAAAAAAAAAAAAAAGAACACACTTCTTTCCGCACTTGGATTTGAACCGCTGAACTTTGCAGTTTAAGTGCTCTACCAGCTGAGCTATTAAACTGTAAAAAAATTGAAAGAATAACCCTAGCCTTATTCCTTCAACCTGTCATTTGGAAAATGTAAGGACTAGGATCGAAGTAGGCTGTTCCCCACATATATTAACTAACCGAATTGGGTGTAGCTTATATGAAACAATTTGGAAATGTCAAATCGCCGCCGACGGTGGGGCAAGGGGCTAAGGTGGCTCCCAAATAGTAAAATCGTCGGCCCGGGTTCGAATCCCGGTAAACACCTAAGAGCATGGTACACAGTAAGATTCTCCAAGAATATGAAGGTCACACAAATTAGGATTAAGCATAAAGTGAAAAGGGATGAACCAAGGGTAAAACAAGCATGTATTGTAATTGGAATATTAATAAAATTTTTTTCACATTTTTCCTTTTTCTATATAAAAAGGCAAACATTTTCTTTTGAAAATTGGAAATTAAACTACAAGCTTTTCTTTCTGTATTTAAGCTATTAAATTTTGCCACTTTGAGGAGAAAAACGGGTTAAAACCAAATTTCGCATTTTAAATAAATCATCAAAATTGTGGTAAATCGGCACAGACCGACTTTTGCATTTTCTTGCAAAAAATAATCTAGAAATAATGAAAAGTTGTGAGTTGTTTATGAGTGTGTTGACTGACTGTGTGTGGTTGTCGATTTGAATGTGGTTAGATGGTATCGGTTATTGTATATGAGTTGGGAGTTGGGACAATCCTTGTAGCGAGTATATCGAAGGCCCCTACCTTGACCACAGTGCCGACCTGGTTGGATTCGGATGCCGATTGGCGGTTGTCGAGCAGATTGGCCCGCTCCATGTTCTCCAGTTGAAGTGTCTCCCTTGGCTGGTCGAGTAGTCTTTCACGCATCTCATGTATGTAGGGACACCGCTGCATTCCTCTCTTCTCTCTCTCTCTGGCTCCCGATCCTCCTCTGCTTTCCCACTTCTTCTCTGTTATCTAACTGTCTATCGGATGAATATTTTTTGGCTTAGTTCGGCCAACAGCGCGTATACACTATTTACTGTCACACTTCTAGAGTTTTATACGTTATAGGTCCTATATAGAATCGTAGATTATTGCCTTGCCATTCATATATATATATATATATATCCGTGTATATATTCTGTTTTTGTAAGCTAGTATAAAGTTCTTAGGGAGGTACTGGCTAGGGTTTGCTCAACTTGATAAATCAGTCATACGGTTTGCAGCAGCAGTTTAGGTTTTAAGACTTTTGGTTTCGCAGATTGGTCATTCTGAAAGGAGAGAAAATATTAGAAATTCGAATTAATTTTAAGTACAGGAAATTGTATCTTGCTTTTAAGATAAAAATTGCAAAAATAGCTGCTCGATTTGCATGTTTTTCAGTTTGCATTTCATCAAAAACCAATAAATTCGAATCGATCGTGTTTCCTGATCTACGCACTGCCCTATTTATTTATTTTATTACATAGTCTGAGGCTCTGTTTTTCCTTACATTGAAAGTTTAGATCGCCACACGACCTCCGTTTTTCATTTTCCACACGCACGAAAAGCGAGACCAGCAGAGAAAAATAAACAATTTTCTGCAGCAATTTGCATGCCGCCCACTCACGTCCCCTTCTTATTCGATATCTAGTAATGGCGCTTAGTTAAGTTTAATAACTAACTAAGAAAGTGATAAATCCATGTAAATATTAATATTTATATTATATATATATATTTTATCATTTTTTTTTTTAACTTTTCCAAACCCATTAGCTTAAAATTAGCCAACAGGCGAACACTGTTTCGGCATTTTGGCCAGCTGCCAAATAAAAAGTGTGGCAAGTAATCAGAGCAAATTATGCAGTCTCGGACTCAATCTAAATATGGCTGCAATATATTTTAATTTTGGAGAAAGAACATCGGTTTTTTATAAGGCAGCCACCCCTCATCAATCTGTCAAGATCTGTTTGGCAGACATCCATCAGCATCAGCATTAGAATCTGGATTTCTGGGATTTGATCTGCCGGAGATGGAGGGCCATAAAAATTGTGCTAGTTTTTCCTTCTGGAATTTCCACTTGTTGCTCTGGCTTTCAAGGGCAGTGATCGGTGGCATTATATTTTGATTGAGAATATTTGTTTGGAATTTGGCAAGAAATCATAAAAGCTAAAATATTTTTATGTGCTTTGCTTCATATGAGTGAGCATGATGCTTGGATTTTCACAAACTGCCATTATATTGTGTTTAAAAATATTCCACAAGATTCATCTGGCCATGATTTTACATCAAGATATCGAGTTATGGCGAAGTATAGAAGGTTATTTATTACTCAGTTCATGTCGAGATAATCTCCAACTGGAGAATAGAGACAGTTTAGGAGACTCTGCGGAAAAGCCATTACAAATACAAACAGTAAAAGCCAACTTAGGGCGTATTAAGGCAACGGCGGGACAAAAAAGCATTCTTGCCACAATGTTGCCGCCTTCTTTTTTTTTTTTTTTTTTTGCACTTTTCTGTAATTCTGTAGTTTTTCCATGTTTTCCATGTTTTCTGTGATGCAGCTACGTAGTTTTTCCATTCCATGCTCTTTCCATGGTCATTTGCAAGCCAGAATTGTCGCATGTTCTCGTTCGGCCGAAAGCGAACATCAAGCAGCCCAACCAACACAGTCTCGCAAATTGAAAACTTGGCTAATACCATTAACATTTGATGGCTAACACTCGCAAAAAGCTGAGAAGCTGGCGCAAAAACTAGACCAATGCTGTTAATTGCGAACTCTCTTATTTTGGCTCTGTGCAACATTATTGCCCACAATCGAATCGAAACGCTAACTTGACCTACATGGAAAACGAACATATAGAAAAAGTTAATCTCAAGTGCTACCTTAATTACAGTGATCACCCCCAGACTAACCGCTTCTTGGTCTCTTGCCAATCAAGCGGCTAACAAGGTTTTCCCTTTTTAAGATACAACCAGAAAGATGATTGAGCCCAACTGTCTGATTTGATGGTTTTCTAGTTTTCTAGTTTTCCCATTTCCATTGTAAACAAACTGTGCCACTTGAATTGGTTTGGGAGATCATTGCTGCTGTTGCTGTTGCTGTTGCTTATGACAGTGTCCGATGACAGATTGCACACAAAATGACAGGCTGCAGCACCAATAGCGGCCCCACCTACCCACACAGAAGCTCGGTGGATCGGCGCCAGGGCGCCAGGGGGAGAAACAAAAGAAAACACATCGCAGACCACAAAACAAAAAAATGATATAAAAAGTGAGATACGGAGAGGAAAAGCTGATCTATGCTGATCTATGGATGTTCCAAGAGACGGCGCCCACATGGAGAACCGGATATGCAATTGTATACGAAAAAAGAAAGAAAACTAACGATTCGGAATCGAAATGGAAATGGAAAGGGAAATGGGAATAAAAACGGCAAAAGGGGCATGAAAATGGCTATGGAAATGAGCATGAGAACTGTCAGCAGATGGATGCAATACGTGAAAATAGGGTGACCTTATAAACAAACCCCGTCTGCAGTCGCCAGTCAGTCAGATTCACTTAGAGAAATAATTGTTAGGTTAGGCAAGTCTAAGCACCAAATGAAAAAGATTTTCCAACGAATTTCCAAAGAAATTTAAATGGAATTTTGTAATATCAGGAAAAGCTATGCTAAACTGTGGAAAACCAACATAAACGTTGCGATTTAATATGCAGATTTCAGAAAGCAAAACTCCCACTTAAGTTCTGAGTGCGTGATCCACAGTGGGTTGGTTTTTTGTGTTTGGGTGGGTGAATGTATAGATGGATGGGTGGGTGGTCGAGGCGTGGTGCGTGGTTAGCGGTTCGTTCCTTTCGTCACTGCTTCACCACCCGGGCCCAGTCACTCAGTTGACCATCCCCCCGAGGTCGTCGGCTCATTAGTTAATATATATGCTGGCGCACGATATGCTGCAGAATATGCACTCCGGTTGGTTTTTTTTTTTTTGTATTGTTTTGCTTCTGCTTTCCATATTTCAAGCTGTGTGTCCACTAGCCACCAAATCCAAGCCATCACCCCCGGGAACCATCACCTCATCATCGTCAAGGAAGCACCACCCAACCATACATATACACACACCTATCCATCCATCCATCCACCCACCAACTGGCCAACTAACCACCGTTAGAAATCGCTTTTCAACCCTCGCAAATATATTTCCATGCTACCGACCATTAGCGTCGATTTTGAATCGATGCAAATCGATGGCATAAGTTCTCCGATCTTTCTTTAGTATCATTTCATTTTTGTAATCTTTTATTCATTTTTATAATGAAAGCTGAAATGCTGCAGTTACTGATTCACCTCTGAACTTGGCACTTTCATTTAGACTCAGTGATTCACGTGATCAAATCGATGCTTTTAAATTAAAGATTCATGAGTACAAATGACTCAAATGCCAGCAGAAATTCTCAAAAGCAATTACTAAGCTTAGAGATCGTTATGCTATGATAGTTTTAGCCTGATTCTGTTACTTCTGACAGATCCGCCCTATTAAAGCCCAGTGTTTGTTTTTCCCTCGCCTTGCCTCTTGTGCAATTAAGATTTTCCATTTGGCCCAGCACTTTTATGGGTTTACTTGGACGAAGGTAGCGAAAACCGAAAAAGGAAAACCCCGCGACACCGAAGCGATTCCAATGTCTTTCTAATGGAAGACCAAGAAATGTGTGTGTAACCCGAGAAGGGCAGCAGTTTGATTGCTTTCGAGTGGGGAGAGAGGGGATCTGAGAGCTTAGTGATACGGGCGAACCTCTATAATATGACATAAGAAGAATTAAATACTAAAAATCTTTAAATTAAATAATAATAAAGTCTACTTGTTGCGCTTTGTAAGTAGGTTTAGGTTTATAGAAAGTACTTTACTTACAATATCATCATGATAATGAGATAAAAGATCAAGAATATTTTAAATTTAACCTGAAAGTGAAGCCTAGATAAAACTATTACGCAATAAGTTAAGAAAACTAAGAAGCTGGTGATTAACAAATTTGTTATATAAGAAAATAATATACTTAATAGTAACTAACTGTAAGTTAAATCATTCCTCTTAGCCAGTTAATACTGTGTAGTCGACTCAAGATGATGTCATATTGAAGGGGTTATCTTGATCCATCACTTGACTTACTTTTTGGGGGTTATATCCTGCCTCTCAACTCATATGCGTTTCCCTTTTCGGGTCGCTTCTTGCTTTATTCTCGTCTCGTCTCTTTTGCGTTGTCCTGGCCGCTTTGTTTTGCTTCCGCTCGAGAAGAAGGCGAAGGCGAAGACGAAGAAGATGACGCCGAAGGGAGCGGGGAATGTGTGGCGTCTGTTGCGCGCGCGTTTTTCTTATTACGTTTTCTGTTTGATTTAGCAAGTTTAAGGGCTATTATTGTCCTGCGTTTTTGGCCACAATACGAAAGTTTGTTTGTTGATTGACCCAACCGGAAGTGGGCTCAGTCGCAAACACAATAAAAACGCACAGGAACTCCCACACAGCAGACAAAATGGACGACGCACTCCCAAAAATGTAGCTTCTTAGTTCTATTTCTGTTTTTTTTTAGCACTTTTTTCTCACTGCACATTTACAAAAACAAAGCAAATAATACGTTTAGATTTCAAAGGCAAGATTTTGCAAAGAACAACAATAACAACAGCAACAAGATTAATAGCAATTACCAATGCAACGAATACTAGTTAACGGCGAAACAAAACAAAAGAAATGCCAAAGGCAAGGGAAATTAACTGTAAATCGTTTAGCTTTCTGTTATTGCGTATAATTGTTGCTATTATTTGTTTGCTTTGCCTGTTGTTCTTTTGAGTTACTTATTTATTTAATTTCGGCACCGGTCTGATGAGACAGGACAGCGTCTACCAACGAAGTTTCGACTACTTAAGCGAGAACGTTAAATATTCAGCCTTATCAACAAACCGATTCCACCCGATTCCGCAGCGCACAAAGTTGAACCGCACGAAGCCAAGACGCCGACTGCGTTGCCACCAAAATCGTTCCTAACAGTAGCAGAGCAGCGGCAGCGGTACGGTTTCTGCCTCTGCCGCTGTTAGCTAGCCGCCGTATCTTAACATTTCTGTTAGAACCAGCGAAGTTTCCTTTCTCTATCTCTTTCCGTTGCGTTTGATTTTGGTTTTTGAAAAGTTCGCTTCTGACTGAAATTCCCAACAACCAACGCAAAGCTATTAACACTGAACACCGCAATGCAAACGTAAAAGCAACTGCAACACCAACAGTAGCAGAATCAAAGCATTAGCAGCGGACAGCGTGTAAAGCGAAAGCCAGAAAGCAGCGAAACCGGCAGAGGTTGCTTTCGCATATCGTAGGTTTTTACGTTATTAGCGGGCATACGCCGTCTGTTGCTTCTGTTCGAATATCGTTTGTTGTTGCTTTTAATAGCTTCTGTGGTTTTTCGAATTCGTAGGCTGAAATGTTATTTTGTTAATTTAAGAAAAAAAAATATTTCTGTAAATATTGGCAATAATGCATGTTAGGGTTTATTATTTTACGATTTTTGTAATTTCTTATTTTTGTAGCTTTTTCTTTTGGCTTATTCACTGCACTGAAATGGATATTATGGCCGAAATGTATGGGAAATGTGGCTTAAACAAGGGCGTTCATCATTAAGACGCAAACTTATAAGAAAGATGATAACCTTTCGCTTTATTTTATCAGTTCAACATAACTTAAGACATCTCATTATCTCCTGCTTTTAGAATAAATTAGTTTGACCTTTACAAAGAGAATCTCCTCAGATTAAACAAAGTATCTTAAACATAATAGCTGCATCTCCAGAATACACATTCGTGAAGAGTCGCAATTAATTTTCAGTCAAGTAAATATTCCCCTCGCCTGCTCCGGTTTCCTCAAGGCCTTAGCAATTAGGGAATTAGGAAAACCTGCATTCTATTTAATGAACGGGAACCTTGCCTTCCGCCTACCCCTGAAAAGACGACTTCCCCGGGTGTCCTTTTATGGCCAGCGGCGTAATCAGATTATCGCCATCGGAACTGGCTGGCTTTAAGGCAGAAGAAGCCTCCCCAGGGGGCTGCATACATATACATATATGTACATACTTATGCAGCAAAAGACGCTAATGGGCCAAAAAGGTGTGACACGGGTCGAAGTAGAGCCAACAATCGTGCCACCAAAGATGCATACAAGAGTTTTTGATGGTGAGGTGGTACGAGGGGTGCCTCTACTACGCTTTTCTTTGGGTGGCACAGAGTGCGAAAAGGGGGCGGCTGTCCCCTTCTGAACAGGAGCAGCGCATGCGTCGAGTCCTGGCAAAGGACATTCACCTCTGGGCCTCAGTTTTGCCGCCAAACAGGGTGCATTTATGTATGTAAGCCGCTCGCATTTGTATCTAATTGCAGGCGTGCCCATAGAAAAAAACCAAAACACGAACACCCCACAAATTAGTTAATTGAATTAAGACTAAATCCGGTTTGGAAAATTCTTCAAAAGAGGCATATAGCTATCCCTTGGTAAATGGAAATTGTAAAATATTTCCACTGGCAAGAGAAGAAGAGAAGTTCCGGCTTTACCCTTTTTCTGTATCAAAAAATCTTCTTATTTTCCTCCTTTTAGCGTGTGTGTGTGTGTGTGTGTAATCATGTATTTGAGCGCTAACCTAGTTTTCGGCCAGCTCGGTTGGCCAGGGCGTGGTTCCAATCCCGGGTAACCAGTTGGTACGTGTATATACCCAAGGATATATATATATATATGGTACATGGCATCCACAGATTGCAGTTCAAGTCAGGGGAAACAGCATCCACAAAGGGTCCCATAGAAAGAGAGAGGTAGCTTGAGAGCTGTTTGGGGGAATTTCTAAGGCCATCTCGCTCTAAGGGATGCAGAAATGGGGAAACAGGAGGAGCAGCACAAACCCATAGATACATCCTAGCCAGTTCTGTATCTGTATCTGTGTATCTGTATTTGCTATTGCGCCTATTCCCCAGTCTCAGAAAACGTAGCTCGCAAAAAGAGTTCTCCTTGCAGAGCCCCTTAGAAGCAACCACCACCCTGCACCCACTTGAAAACCCCACCCTGAGGCTCCAAAAAGCGCACTTCTTAATGCTATGTAGAGCATTATTAAACTTCGCATGACCCACATAGATACATATATCTACAGAGAAACAACGCCATTGTAATCGAATTACGTTTCAATTTATTATTCATATTTATTGCATATTTACTGCTCTTTTATAGTCAATATATAGTTTTTCTTTTTGGGTGTACAGGGCTGGTGGTGTATTATGTTTTCGGGGAACACAGAACATTCACGACTAGTTTTACTTTGTGTTTTAACTTTTATCTTCATAGCCATTATTGTAAATACATATAAATACTTGTAACACTTAATACAAATTGCTTTTCCTAGGCTTAGTCAAGTTGTATTGGTTGAGTACCATGGGAAGAAGTTTCCAAGATGTTGAAAATGTTCCTTGAACCAGGAATCAAAGTTTATGTATCTGAATTATCAGAAGTTTAAGAATGTCTTTGATGACAGAGTTTAAGATTTTGTGAAAACTACAACTTTTACTATACGAATAAACCAAGTACTCCTAGGGAATACCTGAACAAACGTTTAACTTCTGCTTAAGTTGAGAAGATATTATAAAGATTGGAAAAAAAACTAAATGAAACCTTTCTTGAAGGTAGGGAAAAACATCCAAAAGATGTTGGAAATTGAAAAAGGAAACTTAAAAGATCCTAAACTTGAGAAATAGTTTTAGAAATGCTTAAGAACAGTCGCGGAATAATCAAAAGTTGTCCACTTAGTTGGAGCTTAAAAGTGAGTCCCACGATTACGATTATTACATTTATTTTGATTTTCCTTTTTGAACAAATGAAGTTTTCTTTTTCGGCTATAACTTGAATATTTCAGTTTTGTTTTTATATATTTTTTTTTTTTGGCATTTTTGTTTTCTTAGAATTTTTGCATAAAATGTCCGTTTTGCTGTTTCGTTTCGTTTGCCGTTTTGATGCTACGTGGAATAGGAGTTCCTCTAATGAGTTCGATGGCTCATCATAACTACTTAGTGTCAATAAAGTCTAATACAATCTGCTGTAAATAGAATGTAATTTTAAATTTTGATTTTGGTCGCTGAATGTGCGATGTCCGAGTTGGCGTACAATAAATACATGTAAGAAAAATGCATACAAAGTTACAGTTAATTCTAGTTAAAAATTTAGTACGAGTATAAAAATTGAAATAACTAATTTAATATATATATATATATGTATATATATAGATTTCGTATTTCCTTAAGATTTTCTTGGTTTTTTGGTTTTGATTTCGGTTTTACTTTTGGCATTCATTCATAAATATAACTTTGAATATACATTGGATGAGTCAGTAGATTCAAAAAACCGGAACTCAACGTGAAAGCAATTACAACATAGGCTACGTAATGAACTCTTTGGCATTGAAAATATATCGCATATATATATGTATATATATTTATATCGCATCGTATGTGTAAGTGGAGTGTATATCCTAGATACCTTATACCATTATGGTAGACAAAAAAAAAAACACAGACATATCGCTACCTTCTTAAATAGATTTGTGCGTCTTATAGTAAGTGATGTTATTGGAATCAATTTCGCCATCTCTTGATTTGTCCTTCTACAGTTTTTTCGTTTTTCTTTCTTTTTTGAGCTTTCATAATACTGAAATGGGGGGGGGGGAGTGATTACTAGAACTGGAACTGGAACAAGCACAAACGTATCACATAAAAACCTATTCTGGCAAAAAACAAGGTTCCTAACAAGATCTTCTCCCCAACGTCTTCTCATCTCGAATTAAAGTTAACAAATTCTGTTTAAATGCTACGCTAAAATCAGGGCTCTCAACAAGAGGGGGGGAGTCTCAAACAATCCATGGGTAGGGCTAAAAGGGGGAGGGAACGTCTACATATGCATGTGAGTATATATCCTTAGGTGCTAGGCTGTGTAAACCGTCAACTATGTAGTACAGTGTTGTCTAATAACTTTTGCGGTTCCTCGATTTCTGGTGGGGTTAATGACTTCTCTTATCCTTTCTCGCTTATTTCTCCTTTCTCCAATCTCAAATCTCTGGAATATGTCTAGCATTTTGCATTTTTGAACGCCGATTAATTATCCTTGTAAATATCATTTATAGAACTCGCCTTTAAAGATTAAACATATTCGGTATATCTCCTCTCTCTATTCTGTCGATCGTTTTGATTAGCGGCATACATGCGTCGTAGTGCGGTTGATTCACAACCCGTTTTGCTGATCCTCAGTCAGTTACTATATATAAATATATAAAATGTTGTCCAGCTGTCTGATTGCTATCTTTTTCTTCCAACATTTATCAAACTTGATATCGTAGGTGTGAGGGCTAAACATGAATTCATCTACGTGGTTACGTGTTTTTCTTTTTCCAACAATACTCCTCATCTCGCTCACTTTTAACCAGTTGGAATTTAACATAAAAGGTTAAAAAGTTAAAACTAAAAACATGAAATTTTCATTCAAGATCAAAGGATATTCTGTTAACTTCTCATCATCATCTAAAAACTCCTTTTAGAAAGATCATTTTCTGGTTGAAAGTGAACGCTACGAGGGTAAACCTTTTAATATATTGCGTATACGCACTAGGGACAATTGCTTGGGAATTTATTGCGTATACGCACTAATGACATTGCTTGGAGTTTCCTCATTGATTTATCTTTGCTTTGGGTCTTACGGGGCTAAACCCTTGATTTATCATAGCTTTGGCTTAACCTTTTTCATTTCATACAATTTTCGTTCAAATTTACTTTCAAATTGTTCTTTTCTAGGATATGTTTTTTGGGCTTTCAACGCTTGCATCCGCTTGGTAGTATGTTTTAGTTTTAGTTTTTGGTGGTTTGTCGAAGATGGTTTCCTAAGTATGTGGTTTTTGGTTTGTTGGTGGGTGGATTGGTATGGTGGTGCCCAGCGGATGCAAGTCCTAGACAAAGCTGAGCTCATGGCCGCTGATTGCGTCGATGAACTCAAAGTGCGCGTAAACTCATTCGCCGTTGATTACATAAACCGGACAGAAGGCCTTTTCCGTATTTAGGGATTGCGGCGACAGAGCCCGAATGGGTGCCCTCAGTCCACAGCTGCTGTCGCCGCCTGGTTGCCCTTCTGCTGCTGCTACTGCTGCTGCTGCTGCTCCTCCATCTTCTCCCTCTGATCCAGCTGATCCACCAGCTGGCGCTGGTCCACCTCCATCCTCCGCTGAATTGCTCTCTCCGCTCTCCACCTCCTCGACGGTTTCCAGCTCGCCGCCAGCCAGCGTAGTGGAGCAGTAGCAGTAGGACAGGTTCGTCTTGAGATCCTCGCAGAATTGCTGCTGCTGCGCAATGCTCTGGATGCGCGAGCGGGCGAATTCTCACATGTACGTCGGCTTCAGCTTGTATGCCCTCTTCCAGATCTCGCACAGGCACACTGTCGAATGGAACCGATAGAATATGGCCAAAGGCATCGACACATGCGTGATTATGGTCCAGGCCCACAAGCCATAGAAGTTCAGCTGTATAGGATGTGATTCCGCACGCGATTTCTCCAGCGTACTGATGGCCCACATGGCCAGATTCACGACCAGCATAAAGGTAACAATCTCACGGCCGGGCTTCTTGCGCAGATGCTCTGGACTGACGGCCTGCCGGCGACTGGCATCCAGAATAAACATCGTCTGGCAGGCGGTCTGCACAATAGAGGCCAGAGCATTGATGGGCACCAACATGTCATCGCTCCGCAGAGTGAAGTGCCCGGCAATGACCGTAAAGATGTTGTAAAGAAACGAGCCAGTTTGAGCGCCAACCAAGAGGATGTCGTCCAAGGAGAAACTCCTGTAGGCATCGTATTGCAAATGACGGATCTGTATCATCCCGACCAGAGTGGCTATCGTGGCCGTTCCATAGATAAGCAGCTCACAGATGGTCACCTCCGTAACGGCCAGGGCCACGAACTCGGGCCGTGAGATTAGCACAAAGAAAATGATCAGCGATATGATGGTCAGCACCAGGATGAGTATGCCAACGAACAAGCCCTTGTGGGCCCTGGCGCAGTCCACGGAATAGTGGTGCGGAGATCGCTTCATCGGCGAACTAATCATGTCCGGACGCTGGGGCGTCGGTGTTTGCGGCCTGGAGATGCTTCTCCACATAACGTATAAAATGGCTGCACAGATCAGCGAATACTCAATGGTGCAGGGGAACAAGAAGGGTGAGGCATCCTGCACCAGAGTTCCAATGATATTCGTTCGCCGGCACTCGAAGATCTGATAGGGTCCCTTTAGGCCCCTTGCTACCCGCAAATGGGCCGTCGGATCGTGCTGGATGATGGCATGACCCCTGGAGTGACCCGGTATTCTGTGCGAAATTCTCAGCGTGCGATTCTCCGGATTATAGAATGTTAATATCTCGTGCTTTGTCTCCTGAATGAGGACATTCAGCCAAACGGCCAGATTCGTTCCAATCATGTGCATTAAACCGAAGCGAGCGATGATCTTGTAGCGGTAGACCTTGATCTGCTCGTTGTTCAGGAAGATGAAGTACATCTGAATGAAGATGAAGGCCATCCGGGTGGCCGGGGTCAAGGCTAGCAGTACGTTGTGGCACTTGGTGTCCGGATTAAGTTCGAAATACTGTCCAAACTCCAAGCCCGAATAGATCATACTGCCAATTCCAAAGGCTGTAAGACAGAAGGAGTGAGTTTTACGATGAGCAATGTTTCCAGTACAGTGAACACTTACCGACGGCGCCCATGCGCAGATAGAAGCTACCATAGTGGGCATCCCGCCTTCCGAGTGGCGAGAGAAGCGATGGACGCCTCACGGGAATCGCCGGCGGAAGTCGGTGGTGTACAGAGTTGCTGTCCGTATCGGATTCATCCATGCTATCCGTCCCACTGGCCTTCGTCGTTGACTTGTTCGGAGAAGTGGCTGTGCAGGAAATTGGATTACTTGATATCCTTTTGAGGACTCTTAAAAACTTACCAATTGGAACTGGCAACTTGGGACGTCCCCATATCAAAGTGGCGTACATAAAGAGCAGGAATATCATGCTGCCAATGTACAAGTACAAATAGTACACCTAAAGGGGAATATTTTTGATCAGAAACCTTCACTGCCAAGTATCATAACACTCACCTCATAGAAAGAGGGTGGTATATAGGTTGATATAACCTCTGCCATGGGAAATGCTATGCCCATTACGACCAATAATTTGCCATACAGTGCGGAGAAAAGAGTGGCCAGGGCATCGCCGCTGTAATACACATAAAAAAATTTGTAAGTACTTTGATAAATTTTAATCCTTTTGATGAGATACTTACGCCTTAACCCTTGGCATCGGCGGGTAAACGAAGGATGGCCGATGAGTACGCTTGATGGCTGGCAGCACCGGATAGTTGGTCAGCTGGTGCGAGTGGTACATCAGGGCCAGCTGCCCATCCGCCTGGCTACCGCTGAGAGCCGGCTGGGAGCTGCTGCCCCCTGGCGAGGAAGGTGGATCTGAGCTGTCCGGTCCGCCGCCACCAATATCCCGATCACCGTCGCCATCTCCGCCGCCAATGATCAGGCCACTGGGCCCTGGTGTCTCCTGGATGTTGCCCTTGTGACTGGGCAAACTGGACTCGTCGATGGTCACATGATGTTGCGAGCCCGAGCGGGCTGAGACCCTTCCCGGAGATATGGCCACCGCTGGCTCAGCGGGAGTGGCTATAAGAGAGCCACCGGCTGCAATCGGTGGAGCTGCTGCCATAAATAGCCGCCGACGGTCCACGGGCGAACTGCTGCTGCCACTGTCGGGGGGCGGGGCATAGCTGCTGGGCACAGTGGGCGTGGGTACTCGGACACTGTGGGTGTGATGGTTCTGGTGGTGCGGATGCTGGAACTGGTGCGGCAAGTGGTAGTGATGGTGGCTGCTCGTGAAGTGCGACCTTGGCTGGCTGGTGACCACGGCAGGTGCCTTCTGCTCATCCTGGTAGCTAACAGTGGCTATTGGTGACTTCACGGGCTCTGACTCCGGCTCTGGTTCCGGCTTCGGTGGCTCTGGTGGTTCGGCGGTGCCAGTGCTTGAACTGGAAGCCGAGGAGGTGGAGGAAGAAGAGGAAGACAAGGCCGACATTAGTAGGGATTAGCGAATATAGCGGTGTGCGTGGCTGGATTGGCGGAACGATGTGGACTCACTGAATCGTTGGTCTGGCTTTTTTGGGCCCCGCACCCGGTTTTGCAGATACAAATACATGCAAAGGTCTTAATTAAATAATGGTCTCCCCTTCAAACCATATACATCTATATATTCATCCGATGTACGTGTGTATATATATCTCGTTTGCTGGGATTTATTGTATCGGATGCCAGACATTTCCGCCGCAGATACATTGAACTTGGTGTCCAGGCCGACCGCTGCTAGCCTTCGACTGAACTTTAAACCCAGCAAGAAGATGACCTGCTATTTTTAGTACCCTGGGATTCCGGGGGAATCTCTGGCCTTCCGGAACACCCACCTTCACCCACTTCCACCCACCGGCAGACACAGCGTGCGCGGCTAAATTGCGCTTAATAACAGATACAAATAGCGAGACAGATACGGGGATAGCCAGGCAGATCCAGATCCAGATTCAGATTCAGATTCAGATCGAGATAAGCCCATAGAGCTGGCGAAAAAAAAAAAAAAAGAACAATACCCACTCGAAACAGAAACTTAATGAAAAGTCCCCAGCCATTCGCTGCGGGCAATTGAAACTAATCGCCGTCTAGTGGACACAGCACAAATCGGGATACAAATGCGAATTGTACAGTGCGTTTCATAGTTGTAGATGCTTCTAAATCTATTTTACCTATGCTTAACATAATCTCTTAGCTAAACTAAGGTATTAGCAACTTGAAACAGGTTAAAAAGTGATAACTTCTGCGTAGTTTCTTGCCTCAAAACTATTTTCAAAACTCCTGATACAAGATGTACCGTACTGTACCGCCGATAAGTGAATATAGAGATCTGAGCATATGCATATGTACGAGTACTTTAGCTGGCGGCACTCACACAGTCCCAGTATATTTCCTGGCTTAATGGAAATGTGAAATATTTTCAGTACGTGATTGGGATGTCTAATTAAGGCGGAGCGGCATGCACATGACACATGTCGCATGACAGGTGGATCCAAAAAAAACAAACGAAAATAAAGAGAGAGTGGTTGGGGGGGGGGGACTTTTCGAGGGGCCACATCCTGCTTCACACGCTTCCCGTTCCAACAGATCCATGAGATCCAAGCACGCATCATTTATTCGCATTCAAATCGCGGCTAGAGGCAAGACCCCATTGCATTTTCAAATCGCAAGCCACTCGAAAGTAATGCCGGGCATCATTACGACATCTGTGGCTGTGGGATCACGAGAAGCCGCCAGGCGGCACGCAGAGAAAATCTGGCACTTTTCATAAGCTTCTCAATGTCAGGGTATATATATATTAGAGATTATTATCAACATAATGCCTTAATCAAATGAAAAAGTTAAGAAATGATATCCAAAACTATCATCTCTGAAATAATCAGGAACTTTTGTCAAAGTGCCGTGAGATAGCAACGTTTGTTGTTGAGGCCAAAAGAGAGGTTCGGGCTTATAAATAACCTTGACATCAGGACACAATCATCCACACGAGACAGTGGTGCATGCAACATGCACAAGGAGCCGTTGCAATTGTATGCCTGCCCTATGCACTCGAGCGCTCTTGTAATCTGATTTCTAAAAGCGTGCTGCGTACTTCATGGCGTCCTTTTTTTTTATTTGGGGTTGTTAACCCGACGACACGATGGCAACCTTTTTTTTGCCCCGACTGTTGCATAAATAGATGACGAACCAGCCAAGCTTTCATCGTGCTCCCCCACCTGGTGTGTTGTTGTTGCCTCACCTACCGCAAAGTCAAAGAGGGCAAACAAATGCGATCGGTGCAGTAAACACTTTGGCGAGTGCCACTCTATAAGTTACTCTCAATCATGGCTGCAATTTGTGGTGGAGTTATAAAGGATTTCAGTGGATTATCCTTCAATCAAAAGGATATATTTTTATCGAAAGCTCTTGAATAGGTTTACAGAGCAATTTGAAACAAAATGTGGCATTTATATGTTGTTATCTTTACAAAGTAAACCGTTTAAGGAGAGTTTGTGATGAACAAAAAGTTAGATAACTTCCATTGGGTACCACAAACCCACATGGCCAGTGACATAACTAGCTACCCAAACTAAATAGATCGATCTAAGAACCCGGGACTCAATCAACAACCATCAATCCGCTTTCCTGTCAGTCAGTTGGAGCAGTTAATTTCCGGCTCGAAAGGCGGAAGACATCAAGTATTCATGAGTGCGAATGCATTCAACCCGGATCCGTAGTTTTCAGCTCTTCCAGTCCGGACATAAAGGCCGGCCTGGAAATGTCCATTAATGGGCACTGCTCCTTGCATTCGGACAAATGTAAAAACCGCAATGGCAACACAAAAGTTCCCACTGAGCACATGGCACAACAAACTTTCAATTGACCCATTTTGTGGTGGTTCTCCGGGGGTCTTTCGGGTGGCTTGGCGTCGGAGGCGGCGGCTTGGGGCAATTTGCAGACGAGCCGCTTGCATTTAGCGCCATAATAATGGGTGTGGCAATGGCCGAGGACAACAACCTGCCAGGGCATCCTTTTCACCTTTTACCTTTCACCTCCTCGCTTTTCCTCCTGTTATTATGCAATCTTTTTTTTTCCTTTTTTTGAGCTGCAACAATTTGTGCATGTCAAGCCAATCGAGCACCTACAAGCAAAAACCGTGTTCACCCATAAAGCCCTCCCCCTGGAGCCCCACCTTTACATGTGTATCATGGCAGCAGACCAGGCGTATACGCACTTCAAATGTCGTATACGCCGTGTGGCCCTTGCACTGAACGAGAAGTTTAATAAATTGCTGGCTAGCAATAGTGAAGGAGATAGCTTGGAAAGGATTTGAAGATCAATGTGCTAGTCTATATTCAGTTTTATTGCTTTAAGTTATTAAAGTATTGAAAAGACTTCTTAATTCTTAACCCGAAACTAGAGAAACCTATGTTGCTAGTTCTCAGTGCAACGCCCTTGTTTCTCTCAGTTTAGGGGTCTGTTTACGGCGTGAAACTTGTCAGGGTGTTGCTCTGGAAACGGTTTGTTTAATTAATGTACACGGGGAGGATGCAGGCAGACAACGCCAAAGCGGAGCAGCGAAGTGAGTGCAGATGGAGCATTACTAGTACATGGCAGGAGGAACATGGGGCGTACCCAGAGGGCCAAGTGGAGGACCAGGGACTGGTACTGGCAACGGTAACGGCAACGGTAACGGCAACGGCAACGGCAACAGCAACGTTACGATGGGAACACGAGCACACAAGTTAAACAGTTTTGTTGAGCTATTAGCAGCGACTAATGGAGGCTGACGACGAGAATGAGTTCGCCGTACGTAGTTAGATGAAATTGAGGATAAGGACGCGCGGCGTTCCGAGGACGATTATGCAATTAATTAAGTGCCCGAGGGAATCCGAAGCCCGACAAGATTGTTCAGATACGCGCGTCTCAAGGAACGTCCTGGATTCTTGTGGCACTAAAAGTTTCTTTAGCCTGAAGCCCTAAGAGATTTCTATCTCAAGTTGAGCTAAAATTTACGCGAATCTAAAAGGAAAATCTAAGCTTTCCTTGGGTGCTAAGTGAAAGCTTATACCAAGATATAGATAACCCAATCCTGATATTTCTACCTTATCATTCCAATAACCCAAATTGTATTTAAAACTCACCCGATATGTTCCTTGACAACGGCAGCGACGCCCACGGCAGCGGCAGCGGATTCGGCCAGTTTTGGTGGACTGCTGACCAGCGGCGGACTGCAGACCCTCGGCGGTGTCGTGATCCTCGGCGGACTGTGCATCTGGCGGGCCAGTTCCGGTGGTGGACTCCTCATCAGTGGTGGCGAGGGCATCGCCGGAGCTCCCTCTCCAGCCGGAGGACTCTGCACGCGCTGCGATCCGAACTTAATGGACCCCGCTGGACTTCTTACGGATGTATGTCCTTGCGAGCGAATGGAGGTCTGGGATTTGATAGAGGCCTGTGGGGATAGAACGCCAGAAGCTTGAGCGGAGGCCACGGATCCTGTGCGAGATGCTATGCGAGAGCCAGCCCGGGATCCTGGCACGGATTCCTGCTGTGATCCAGATCTTAGCTGCGAGCGCTGGCTGCCACTGCGACTCGGGCCACGACTCTCGAGCTTCGGTGATCCTCCTGCCCCGGCACCAATGGATGTGGAAATGGATCCCGTCAAGATGCTGGCCGCTCGCGGTGAACTGATACTGTCGCCAGCCTGATCCTGCAGCGATTCCCTGTCCACGGATATCTCATCCGTTTCCTTTGTCAGTTCCTCTTCTTCCTCTTCCTCAAGCTCTGGCTCTAAGGGCGGTGGTGGTATAAAGCCTCTGTCCTCCTCCAGTTCGGCAAAGTGCTCGGGAGGAGGTGCTATGATAGAGGAGGCGGAATACCCATTGCTTGGCGGTGTGGTTATGGTGGTTGACTCATCTTCATTGTCCAATGAGCGACTGTAATCCTCCCGAGCTCCGCTCAAGACCTCGGGCTCGGGCTCAGGTTCAGGTTCCGGTTCCGGTTCGGGTTCTGGTTGCTGATCCTTGGGCTCTTCTTGAGCCATTTCCTGTGGTGGCTGCTCCATCCCTAATCTTGGTGGCGGCGAGTTCGGCTGAGACTCCGCTTCACCCTCGCTTTCATCAGAGGGCGTAAGTGGGGGTATCTGGCTGATGTGCTGGGCAGGCGGCGATACCATCCGGCTGATGTTAAGTTCCGGGCAGGGTGGTGGTGTCACGGGCGGTGAGGGCGAGTTGGATGGCGACTTGGTCAGGGGCGGGGTTACCTGGCCTAGACTATGACCCTGAACATAGGAGAGATTAGAGGGGAGCGGTGGTAGAGGTGGCGGTGGTGTGGACTTGTCTTCGTCCTCCTCTTCATCTTCGTCCTTAGGGTTTTCTTCCTGAGATGCTTCCTGCTCATCGTCTTCTGGATTGCTTTCAATATCCAGCATTTCCTGTGGTGGCGGAATGGCCCCTAAGTCCTCAGCATCTTCGGGGTACTCGCCCTCACCAACGTCATCTGTACGAATACCGACATCCTCCAGCGGCGATAGTGGAGGAGGTGGTATTAGCTCCAGTTCCAGGACTGAATTTATGGGTGAGCCCGGCGGCGAAGCCACAGCTCTTACAGCTTGTCCTTGATCTAGATCTTCCTGCTCCTCCGGTTCGTCCTCCTCCTCTACCTCATCGTCGTCCTTTTGATGTGGCGGCGGCGTAGGCGTGGGTGGAATATCATCTGTTTCCGTTAGCGTGGGCAGTGGTTGACCCAGTAAAGAGGGCGGTGGCGGTGGTGCCACCAGAAGCAGGACCTCCTCGGCCAACGATACTGTTGGCAGCGGTGGCGGCGGAACTTCCACGGCTTCCGGATTGGCCGTGTTATCCACTTCCTCGATATCGGAATCGATACCCTGGGCAAAGTCCATGTAGAAGTTATCCCGCGAATCGCTAGAACCGCGTCGCAATTTCAGCGACAGATCCGGCGAGCTATCCATCTCGCTCGCACACTGGTCGTCCTGCCTGCACGGGACTACCCCTCTTCTCACTCACTCACTCTCTCTCTAGCTCTTCCCTTTATCGTTTCAAGAAATTCCTTCACACAAAAACACAGTCACACGCCTGCAGGGGCGCCCTCTGGCGTTGGTTGGATTTTAACTGCGTGTTTCGCTTATTTTCGTGCCTCTTTTTTGTGTTCAAGTTTTATGATTTTTAAATTTGCAAGTTATTTAGCTGGTGATTTTTGGCTTCTCGCTTGATTTCACTGCACACGCACATTGTGTGTATCCCTAAAATGCACAAGGAAGTGTCAAAAACACGCATACGCACAGCATCCCGCTCTCTCTCTCTCTGCTCCTTCTGCACTCGTCCTCTCTCTCTTTCTCTGCAGGACGTGGGCGTTTTTGGAAGGGGCGTGGCAGAGCTGTTTGCTGCGCATTTGACTTTTTTTGCAATCAAAGTGCGTAAGTGTGTGAAAGTGCGTAGTAGCAAGTAGGAGGTTTTGAAGGGGAAAAGGAGTGGGGGAAAAGTAACGGTAAAGCTGGGAATTTCTTTTCGCGAATAACAAAATTAAGATTTAACTGTAATTATAATAAACAACTAACGAACTCCAAATTCCTATAAAATATGTATATTGTTTAATAACTTTTTAACCGTTAACACTGAATAACTCTGAATAACACACATAAAAAAATTCAACGGTTACGGTTCGTGTTCCGGTTTCCGACTCCGTCGCTTATTGTTCCGGCTGCTCGGTGAAAGCACGGACTTGTGCTCGATTTTCATTTATGTAGCCGACTAACTGCGACTCCTGCTGCGGCGGCACTTAATTCTAGAATGAAGAAGACCGAGTTTGAACTCGGAACCCACATCGAATTGAGTTGCGCCACAGCCTCTCAAAACGAGAGAGCGCCAGCTATAGACTGCGAGAGCGGGAGAGCAAGAAAGCAAAAGCCCAAAGAAGAGAGCGCCGCAAAACGATGCCGGCTAACGGTGGTTGTCGAACGGTACTTGCACTACAACTACAACGCACTTGACCGGATTCTAATTGCCTTTGTTCGCAAAAGTTTCCAGTTTTGAGTACGCCTTTATCGCAAATCCCGGAATCCGCGACGTTGAAAAAAGTAGGGTAGGAAGTCAAGTGGTGGGCAAAAGGAGTACAGTTACTATATGCAGGTGGACACAAGTACTTTAAATATCAAATTATAAAACTTGAGGAGTTTTTAGCTCAATGTGAAAATGGTAACTTTGATTGTGAATTATATAGCATACTTTTTGACGCAAAAAAATGCAATTTTTAACAATCAATATACAATTTCGTTTGATCTTAAATCAGGAATTACAGCCTTCAAGGTTACCGTAAAATGCTAACCTGTAATCTATTACTTTTGCCCATTGTGCCACAGCCTACGCATCTTCCTCCTTCCATCAGTTATATGACGAGCAGGAGCGGGGCTCATTGGAAGGGGTAATGGACAGCGTGTGAAAAGTGTCACTGTCTGTGTGATTGTGTTTGTATGCTTGCAAGCGGGAGATGCCTCAATTGCGGTTCATTTATATGGAGCAAAGAGAGCAGCAGGTTGGAGCAAAAACAAAAACATTGAACGGGAGCGTACCGGTAACAACGAAAGTGCGCATAGCACAACGACCAAACCCCCCTCCCACCACTTACCTTCTTACGGTTTCCGTTGAGATGTGCTGGAATTTCAGCGCACGAGCCATTGAGAGAGGACTTGGTGGTGTGGAGGACGTCAACATGCCGGGAGGATGAGCGAACCCTTTTCCGGGAAAGCGTGTCAGTGCGTCTTCCATTGTGTTTTTCTCCAGAAGCCTGCGCGAGAATTACCCAAAGACGAAAATACAATAACAGGACCATCGCCAACAATGCCAACTGCTTTAAAATATTAAATTAGAGTTGCCACACCACTCAGTTTTTGGCGGTTAATTTACAATCATTTTAGCCGAGAAAAATTAAAGTTTAAAAGATTCAGAATAACCTTTGATTTTCCATTACAGAAATTTATTGGAAAATCTAATAACAAATTTATATATAACAACAAAAGCCAGGATTAGCTGTCCTTTTTCGAGCGGAAGTCAAACAATTTGGGTATCACATCGCCGCACTTGGCGGAGATCTTGATGTCGGCCAGATGATCGGCGCGCGTGTCGCCTATATTGACTATTGCCACCGGCAGCTTGAGGTCCTTCATCTGCAAAACAACACGATAGCCAGAGAATACAAGGAGACTAGATCCCAGAACCAGTAGGCCATCGCTATTGTAGACCATACCAGCAATGGTATCCAGGCGGTGCCTCGGCACAGAATCTCCGAAGAAGACAATCTCAGGCTTCAAGTCGCCACCGCATTGCGTGCACTCGGGTATCCGGAAGTTCTCTATATACTCTAGAGGAATCTCCACATCGCCATCGGGTCTTATCATATCGGGAGCATCCTTGAAGGCCGGATTGAGAGATGCCAGTATGCTTTGGAACTCGTGCCTGTCGATTCGGTATTCGCAGGATAGGCACTTGACGACATAGCCACTGCCATGGACCTCCACCACATTCCGGCTGCCTGCCTTTGAGTGCAGCCGATCCACATTCTGTGTGACAATAGCCTGGACCCGTTGTTCCCTCTCGAATCTGGCCAGAGCATGATGGGTGGCATTGGGCTGTGTGGCGGAGAACTTGGGCCAACCTACAAAGTTCCTGGCCCAGTATCGTTTGCGCACCGCAGATGATTTGACGAACTCCATGTGCTGTACAGGTTTGTGATTGGACCGGGCGTAGAGTCCCACGCCTTCGGATCGGTAGTCGGGAATGCCTGAAATATATTTTGTATTACAATCAGCACAACTTCAAATATATACTATATACTTTGGAAACTCACCCGATTCCGTCGAGATTCCAGCGCCCGTCAGAACCAATATATTTGGTTTGGACAGTAGGAAGTCCTCCAGTCGTTTAATATCATCCTCAACGGCGGGCTTATGGCGTGGAACATACTCTTGTCGAGCCGTGGAGCTCCGGAAAGCAGTGCTTCGGAACCGGAGCAACTGACCGACACGCATTCTTTTGTTATGTATTGTTATTATTATTTATTTCATTGGTTACGTTACTAGAGCTGGACTAACCACGATCAACGATATCGATACTCAGCCAGCCATACATTGTATAGTGGTGTGCTCAACTATCGATGTATGCATCGATATAGCGATTTTTTCGCCACGGCCGCCATCGATTTTTACACGCCATCAGCCGATAGCAGCTTGCTACCAGCTACCATCTCTAGAGCAGAGCGGCCGCAGAATTGTGAAAAAGGAAAGATTCGGTAATTTACGTGTGGATTTACAAAGTGCCGTGAACTCAGCACTTTCAGCAGCCGCATTCCCGAGATCTTCTTAGTGATCCCTGCTGGCGCTTAGTTCCAGAAGCAAGAAACAGGACATCCGTACTCACATATTTCACTTCGTGTGGCGTTTGCGCCCATCCGTGTGCGTGTGTGTGTTTGTGTGACAGTCCAGTAGCTGTTTGTGTGTGTGAATTGTCGGCTTTAATTTTGCAAGCACGCTCAAGTTGAGTTTATAAAGGACACAAAGGATTCGCAGGCGGAATTGAAACGCACAAGATGTCGTACCCGCCGCGGGCGCCCATGCCGCCCTACATGAATGCATCGATACCTCCACCGCACGTAAGTAAACGTTTCTGGGTCACAATCGCCATTCATATATGTTGAATTTCATGTTAATTCCTGTTCCTGCGGTTTTTAGATGATGCCGAACATGTCCAATCCGCCGAGGAACTTCCGCAATTCGGCGACTATCAGCTCACAACCGACAGTATACCATCGTCCGCCAGAGCCGCAGCCTCAGTTCCGCGGACCCATAATCACCGTCTTTGTGGGCAACATTAGCGAACGCGTCCCGGAGGCGCTACTCAAACGCATTCTGACCACCTGCGGAACGGTCATTAACTGGAAGCGGGTCTCCACATTCGGCTTCTGCGAATTCGAGTAGGTTCAACTGTCACTTGTGGCACTGACACTGGGGAAAGTGAAGAATACTTTGAAAGGCCTAGGGTAGTACAAAAAACACCAATAAGAATGAATTTCCCTTTAAAAAGATATAATTATGTACATAAAGGTATTTAAAACTTTAGGAGCTTTCAAGATGCCCCTAAACAGGTGTATCGTATCTTTCCTAAGAAAGCTGAGCTATAAAATAGCTCACAATGCCCTAGAAATGTTGTGAGTGTGTATATTATAATTACCCAGAAATCTATCTATGCTCTTGAAAACACAGCGAAAATTGGTATATTATTTAGAATAAATTTCTATCAATTTTGGGTTTCTTCCCTAATATAAAAATTCATGTCTAACCAAGTTATTTTGTTTTCTTCCAGTGGACCCATTGCAGCTATGCGAGCTGTGCGCCTGCTTAGCGAGTTGGAGATCGATGGAAAGAAACTGGTTGCCAAGGTTGATGCCAAGAACAAGGTGCTCATCGAGGACTACAAGGAGAAGGAGTGTAAGAACGGCGATCGCTCCAACTCAGTGGACGAGAAGACCGAGGACGAGTATGCCATGAGCCAAATGCATGAATTCCTCGAGGAGCACAAGCATGAGTTTGAGGGATTCGACAGCAGCAATCGCTCCGATCTGTACGGCAGCACTAGTCGAAATAAGAAGACGCGTCGCGAGGACGACATTAAGATCAAGGTTTTAAACGATAATACCTTAGAAGAAGAGAAACGCAACCTCATTAGCAGCGAAATTGGCAAGTTTCGAATGCGGGCGGAGGCCGACGAACACCGCAAAGAGCTGGAGAAGGAGAAGGAAAAGGAGAAGCTGGCAGCTAACAAAGAGAAGGAGCGTAAGAAGAACCAGCGTGAAAAGGAGCGCAAGGATTCCACCAGCAAATCTAGCAGCTTATTAGCAGCAGGCACCAGCTCTTCCGGCAACCCTGCTATAGCTTCTTCGGCAACTTCCGGTGCCGATGGCAATGACTTGGCAGAAACTGCTGGCAAAGAAGCAGTTTCCGCTGTTGCCAAAGATGCTGCTTCTGCCAAGGAACCGAAGGAACCCCCCTCCACCAGACGCAGCGCCAGCCGTCGCAGGGAACCGCCTACCATCGATATTACACAGAAGGAGAGGCGATCTGATTCCAAGGAGTCGCGACGCCGTCGCACAAAGTCCCGCTCCAAGGACCGGGAACGAGAACGCGAACGTGAGCTGCGCGATCTTCGCGAAAAGGAGCGCGAGCGTGAACGCGAAAGGGAGCGGGAACGGGAAAGGGAACGCGAACGTGAACGCAATGAAATACGTGAACGGGAACGCAACGAGATGAGGGAGCGCGAACGGGAACGCGAACGAGAAAGGGAACGGGAGCGGGACAGAGAACGCGAGCGGGAACGCGAAAAGGAACTGCTGAAGCCAGTACGGGACTCGCGACGTGAAAAGGAGATGGAGGACGAACTGCGTGAGCGTAAGAAGTCCGAGAAGAAGGCGCGTGAGAAGGAGGCCGCCTACCAGGAGCGCTTGTCCAACTGGGAGATTCGTGAAAAACGCAAGGCCAAGGAGAACGAGAAGGTAACTAAACGGTGCCTGGTTTTTGATTAGATAATCTTAGCATCTGCATTGAGTTGATACATTTATCCGCTTTTCTTAATTTTCAGTACCGCCTCAAGGAACTGCTGCGCCAGGAGGAGCGCGAGAGCGACGCGAAACGACTGAAAGAGTTCGTCGAGGACTACGATGATGAGCGCGACGATTCACTGTATTATCGTGGCCGCGAACTGCAGCAGCGGCTGGCGGAGAGAGTGCGAGAGGCTGATGCCGATTCCAAGGATCGTGAGAAGGAGGCCGACGAACTGGCCGAGCTCAAGACCAAGTTCTTCAGCGGGGAATATGAGAACCCGTCGCTGGAGTACGAGAAAGCGCGTCGCGAGATCGAGAAGCTCTATGAGCCCCGCATTCTGATCAATGTGAATCTAGAGGGTGCGGCAGCAGCGACAACAGCAGGTCACCAGCGCAAGCAAGCCGCTTCAGCAGCAGGTGAAGGTGGTGATGGACAGAAACAGCGACTGAAGAGCCAGCAGCTGGACAGCTACGATCCAGACATGGCAGGAATGAATGATGATGACTCCATATCGAACGACGACCGCGGCTCCATGGCCGATACAGCCTCCAATATCAGTGGTGGCTATGCCAAGAACAACAATAACGACAAGTCGCTGTCGAACAGTCTGAGCAGGCAGAATAGTGAATCACAGGATTCGCTAGCCCAGATTAACACACCCACGCAGAGCGCCCTGCTGAATGAGCAAGGATCGGGGCACGATGCCCTGTTACCTTCGGCCACGCCACCCATAACCATGCCCCTCATCTCGCTGACGCTCGGCAACAACCTCAAAAAGAAGAAGATAGAGGCTACGGGCGTGTTTGTCAACGACGATGACAACGACGAAAATATCAATCCCAAGAAGCGCAAACTGGTGCCGCTAGGTAAGTTTCGAGGTTTCCCAAACTAAATGGGATGACAATTAAGTTTAAGTAGAATTTCATTATTTCAAAATCATAGTTTATCATTGTGGTAAATTAAAGAATGCTCTACGAATTCGATTCCTATTGCTTTCACAGACTACGATGACAACATGAGCAACACCACACCATCCAACCATCCAGCCAGCACCGCCGGCGGAGTAGCGAATAGCAGTAGCAGCAACAACAATAACAGCTCAGCGGATCGCCAAAGCTCCGCCGTATCGGCGGCCACCGCTGCAGCCGCTGCCGTTAGCCAGAAGATCGCCCAGTCAGGTGGTTCCTCTGCGCCGGGGTCGGGATCCGGTTCTGGCAGCTCCGGTACGAGCACAGCCGGCGGCAAGAACAACGGCAGTAGCAGCAGCGGCGGCAACAGTAACAACAAACAGAACAGCAGCAGCAAACATGGTAAGAATGAGGCAGCTGCATCTGCGAACAGTGGCGCAGATGCTGCCGCTACAAACACCAAAAAGGATGAGAATGGTGCAAAGGTGTATGATGAAAAACGGCGGCATATAAAAAGCATTATTGACAGGATTCCCACGCAAAAGGAGGAGCTATTTAATTATAAGCTTGACCGCAACGAGATTGACAGCGGTCTAATGGAACGCAAAATACGTCCATGGATCAATAAGAAAATCATCGAGTATATCGGTGAGCCAGAGCCGACGCTAGTGGACTTTATATGTTCCAAAGTATTGGCAGGCAGCCCGCCTCAGAGCATCTTAGACGATGTGCAAATGGTGAGCTTTCGAAACATAGTTTGTGATAAGGATTAATAGCACTAAAGAATACTCAAAATGCCGTACCGGAAATTTGTTACCTCTAGTGCTATTATGCCTGCCGCAATAGTGTTTCTTATAAGATCCTTTAAACTTAAACTAATCGACAACTTTCTATCTTTAGGTACTCGACGAGGAGGCTGAGGTGTTTGTGGTGAAGATGTGGCGATTGCTCATCTACGAACTCGACGCCAAGAAGAGCGGCATTGCGGGGAAGTAGAAGGATGTCCCGCATCACGGGGGAATTGGGCGGGAGCGGGTGCAGATCGAGAAATCGAACGAGGAGCAACTGCGTGAATAGACTCTAAGCTACTCTTACGGAACCTATGCGATTTCAACTTTGTACATAACGGGCATGCTCCTGAAATTGTTGCGGGCAAAATGTCCAGCTTCGTTTTCTAAGCTTCTACTTCATGCAAAAAATCAAAAAGGAATTTATGAAAAGCGGTGGAAAGCAGAAGCAAAAGCGCAGCCTCAATGATTTCTCAATCCACCTTGTTAGCGTTAATTGCTAATATTAATCATCGACTACTGTAAATACACACTAAACTCACTTATAAATCTACACCAAGCGAAACAACAAACAAGAAGAAGATAGTCGTACATAAACACACAAAAAAGCATAGCCCATGTACATTTCAGTTGGTTTCTAATCCAATTCTGCCCCTTTTTGCTGAGCTCTTCTTTTCAGAATGAGCGCAAATAGGACACTGTCTTCATTTAAATAAAAGAATGAAAAGAAAATTTGGAACGTGATTTTTGATTGGTCACAAATGAAATATGATTAAAGGAGTGTTTAAAATCTGACTGACAAAATGATGTTTTGGACGTTTTTAACTGAAGAGGTAAGAGTGAGTAATGGATATGGAAATTTTAACGCTTACGTGTGTTCAGCAATGCTTGATAACGTTTAATGAAATTAAGTTTTTCCCATTATCTTTACTTTAGTTAAACTAAAGGCTATAACGGCTATATGAGAAATACAGAATTGTAGGATAATTTATCTAATCTGATCCCTGACCCCTGATCAGAAAGGATTAGTCTGTTGAAAGTTAAGGTTGACTTTATGCTAGTGATATTGAAACGGTTAAATAAATACACAATTTAAATTTGACAGAAGCACGTACAACGTCCGGGTATCAACAGTAACACGTGGAAGCGCTTGCCTCCAGATCCCGATCGCTGGCAATGTCCAGACCGGCGGAGCCATTACTATTGTTAAAGTACTCGGAGGAGACGATCTGCAAAGGATGTTTCAAAATGTCATACGCTTTGAACTATAGAAGATATTCTTAAACCTACCTTCTCCACAATATCCTTGAACACATCACTGACAAACTGATCGCACTTGGCCGATGTTTCAATAAAGAGGGCTCTGTGCTTCCTAGCGAACTTGCGACCCTCCTCGCGATCCACCACTCGCTCTTCATCAATCTTGTTGCCCACCACGATGATGGCTATATTTGGATTGTCACTGTAGCTGTCCAATTCAGCCAGCCAGGCCTCCAGCTTGACGAGGGAGTCTCTGTTGGTGATGTCATACACCAGGATAGCGCCCAAGGCCTTCCTATAGAAACTGGGTGTCAGACTGCGAAATCTTTCGGCGCCCGCCGTGTCCCAGAGGGCTACCTTATAATCAATCCCGTCCACGTTCATCACCTTGCTCTTGAAGTCCATGCCAATTGTGACGTCATGGTTATGGTCGAACTTGTTCTCTACGAAGCGACGAATCAAACTATGACGAAAAACAAATGATGCAAGATTTTAGCTATATACGCAGTGGTTTTTCTCCATGGACTTTGGGACTCCACGAGTCATTACCAACCTGGACTTGCCAACGCCGCTCTCGCCGATCACCAGGAGCTTGATAGCCCGATCTGCCATTGTGTGTGAGCTCTACTTATTGTTTGTCACTAATATTATTTACTTAAATAGATACAAATTGCCAATTATTAATGCAGATTATCTGTGGGCTTGTGCTGCAGAGTTGCCACCTTGCTGCTTTGTTTACATTTTCACGCTAGAGATGAACCACAGCAATAACTGGGATTGCAGCTCTGCTAGAGACAATGTTCCAACTAGTGGTGAAGCTTTGGCAAATATCTGGCTATGTAGGCAAATTCGTATAATCAAAAGTCCATGTTTGATCTTTGTCATATTTCACAGAATAATAGCCCATTGATCTAGATGAGACATTACTTTCTATTCGGTAAGATGTTGTTTATTTAGAAAACATGTTGTATATATTAAAACTATATCCCTTGAAAATTCTTGAATGTTTACAGCTTGTTCTAAACGACCCATAAAGAAACATATTTAACACAATTCAATCCCAATTAGAAACTCATTTACATCGATAAATGCAGTAAACAAATATGAAGAACTTGTATTTATATCACTTTTATAAGATAACCTAAATCCAAAATTTGTAGTTAAAAACTTTTGGCCTTGTTATGAAAAACAAACAAAATTAAAAGGTGAAAATCCAAATCTTGAAAACATATTCCTTAAAATTAGATGTTCCCTAATTAAAAAGAAGATTCATTGCAACACACTGTAATACCTTAAATTTAATATATTCTTTTTAAATTGAATCGCAATCTCAATCTCTCATCTTCAAGTGTTAAAGCTAAGGCTTTTGCATTAGGAACCGGTCAAATGATTTTTTTATACAAAACATATATTTATTTACATATATCATTTTATTGCAAACTTCTTTGGAAATCTTAAGTTTCCATTTTATTTTTACTTATTTTGTAATATTTCTACCAATAATTTGAAGTGAATTGCAGAAGTAAATATTATTAGCTATTTCATGGCTCACTCAAGGCAGTCGGAACCAGTTCGATATATCGTTGCCAGGTGGTTCTCCGGGCGGAACCACAACAGTGTCACCACCAACTAGTTCTTGTCCCATCTTTCTTTTTTGACGTGACCAGCGAGAAAAATGGTTGGTTTTTTGATGAAATTTAATTCGCGAAAATAACAGGCATCCGTGCATAAAATAACCGTGGAGGCGTTCAATTACGCGGCTCTCTTATTGTGCTATGTGATACAAATGCTATTTTCCGCGCGGAATTATTTTTACAATGCAAATACTTAATGATGTGTTTTCTGACTATTTGTTTGTCTCGCCCAGGTGAAGGTTAAGTGCTCCGAGCTGAGGACCAAGGACAAGAAGGACCTCACCAAGCAATTGGATGAGCTCAAGAATGAGCTGCTCAGCCTGCGTGTGGCTAAGGTCACCGGAGGAGCTCCCTCAAAGCTCTCCAAGATGTAAGTATTTCAAATACGTAGTGCTATTAGCAATCCCAGCTAATCCACCGGTGTTTTCTCCATATAGCCGCGTTGTTCGCAAGGCCATCGCTCGCGTCTACATCGTGATGCACCAGAAGCAGAAGGAGAACCTGCGCAAGATCTTCAAGAACAAGAAGTACAAGCCCCTGGATCTGCGCAAAAAGAAGACCCGCGCCATCCGCAAGGCCCTTTCCCCCCGGGATGCCAACCGCAAGACTCTGAAGGAGATCCGCAAGCGCTCTGTCTTCCCTCAGCGCAAATACGCCGTCAAGGCTTAAAAAGCATCCAGAGAATCTACATCCCGGATGACGATCCTCCATCTGTCTAGTGTGCGTTAAGGTTTCTTCGGTTCAATGAAGATGATAAAACAAATAAAACCTTTTTTTTAAAGTGAAAATATGCAAGCATGTTTAATTTGTGACCGATAATCGCGAGTGGCACATGGCTTGGCCATGGGTTCTTCAAAATAAGTTGTATACGAGTGCTGTGTTCACCAAGGCAACAAATAGAAGATCATTGATCATTCTAGTCACGTGCAAAAACATCAGTGATCACTGACTGGACAGTTCTGGTGAATGCAGTTCTTGTTTTGGTGAATGAGCAAGACCAAATCTAGTCGATACACGTGAGATACCGCTGACGAGCAAAAAAAAAAGAGGCAAAATAACCTCTTAAAAAGTAAAGTTGAACGCGGATATAATGGCCCATCAGTATGGTAAACTAACCTATCGTAGTATGCAGCTTTAGAAGTTTAACCTTTAAAATATATTGCTTTTGGTGGCATCTTTATGTTTCATCTTATGAAACTAATTTGAAATTAAGGTTTTCACGAATGCTAATACTCAAAAGTAGAATGGCTCCTTATAGTATCTTCTTTTCATAATCAGTTTTCTTGTACATTTCAACATGTCCTTCAAGCTGTTTGAAAAACATAACTAGCCCAGTTGAGATCTAAGTAACAAATAAAAATTTTGAATGCTGTCATCTTGAGCCTTTGCTTAATTTTTTAAACATTTCACCGTTTATATGACGATAAAATAATTGTTATAAAAACAATCAACTTAGCGAACCTAATGTTTGCCATCTAGAAAGATAAATCATTCTAAATAAAGAAAAAAAAACACCAGATTCTCAATTGGTCTACGTATATATATTTAATTCGATTGTCTTTGATGTAAGCACTGCCGTACATCGTTAATATTCTTATGAACTAAGTATTAATAAGTAGGTAATTGATTTGAAGCTCTAATACAAAGACTCGACTGCGATCTCGATCATACTGAATATGTTTGGCACATTTGGTTAATACTATTCTTCTGCACAGCGTGGAAGAGCGGCGTGCTGCGGATGACGCCCGACAGCTCCTTGGAGTTCTTGCTTTGGTGATAGTTTCTACTCGGCATCGGCGACAACGGCTCGCCCCAGAACTTGAGCAGCGCAAAGATCTTGTAATAGGCGGCTCTGAAAAGCAAGATATTTGGAATTAGTTATCCCAGATCCAGGACAACAACCAAAACTCACCTGTAATTGCGATTGCTGGCCGCATAGATTATCGGATTGATGACGCTGGAGGCCCAAGCCATCACCGAGGCGATGATGTGCAGCCAGGGATACGAGGTATTGCGCTCATCGTCCACCACATTGGCGAGCATCAGTGGAAGGAAGCAAACAAGGAAGCACAGAAAGATAGTGACCATCATTACGGTCAGTCGGTTGTCCTCTCGTGCCTTCCGTGTGCACGTCGTGGTCATGTAGGATCCGCCAGCGGAGGAGCCCTTGCCTGCCGCATTAGCACCAATCTGGAAGTTATCATGGTTGCGGATCTTCTTCTTCTGATGAAGCACCGTGATGTAGATGCAGGAGTAAGAGACGATGATCACCAGGCAGGGCAGTAGGAATCCGATGACGAACAGGGTCTTCTTAATCGATCGTCCCTCCTTCCTGAGTATCGTACATGAAAAGGTGGCCTCGTCCAGGCCCATCTCTCCCCAAATACCCAAAATGGGCGGCAGCTGAATAAGAAAAGGCATTATGTATGATATAATCTGCAATTCTTTATCTCTGCATAGTCCTGACCCGCAGTAATGAGTTCTAGGACAACCTTGTTCTCACTTTCTTGAAGGATATAGGTTAAATTGTACTTACCAGCAGTAGGAAGGACACGGCCCATACGAACAGCAGCTGCAGGGTTATGAACTTCGGCTTGTATATCTGCGAGTAGCGGCTGTGGCAAGCGATGAGTATATATCTGCAAGGGGATTATGGTGACGTTTGAGGATTAGCTTAATACGGGGATGGATCAATTGGGCTTACCTGTTAAGGGTGATGCCCACCATGCTGAGGAGTGAAACAGCCACATTGCCGTAGAAAATCACTGGAAAGATCTTGCACAATGTGGTGCCAAAGGTCCAGCTCTGCAAATAAAAATCACAAAGAAGGTGAATATATATGAAAAATTTCCTTGGATATCAATTTTCCGATTCCATTTAATAGCGATGACTCACCTCCTGAAAGAACCGAACCGCTGTCAGGGGCAGGCTGAAGGAGCAGAAGAGCAGGTCGGAGATGCTTAGTGAGATGACGAAGGCAGTGGTGGCGTGCTCCCGTATCGTGGGGCTTTTGAGCAGAGCCAGCAGGGTAATCAGGTTGCCTGCGGGACAAACCAGTCCGAAGAAAGGTTAGCTGGGGAGATCGGTGGGCAGCAGGATGTGTATTACTCACCAAGAACGCCGATGGTCACAAAGACACAGGCACTAATGGCCGCAAATAGTGTCGCTGAAGGCGGGTAGATCGACTGGCGTACTGCAGCTGGGGAATCCATCAACATGTCTGTGACTGGGTGCAGTCCCATTCCAAAATCCATGTCCTTATCCATGTTTATTCTGCGGGGTAAACAAATAGAACCGCATTATTAGTTAATTTTAATTTATACATTTTGACCAAGAATCTTTTATGAATCTCTATTTTTGCTGATTTCAAAATGGTTACTTGCTTTGGAAGTTAGTTAACCATTACTAAATATTCATTTTAACATTAAAAAAAGAATATGCATAATTTTTGAAACCATACATACTCGTAATACTAGGAATGTATCTTATCAAATGAGGCTTTATTTCTGAGTAGCTTTGGATCTTGTCATAAGTTTGGACATTTTTTGAGTCTGTCTCATATAATTTTAATCGTTCAAATTTTTTCTTATGTTCCAGAGAAAAAAATGATGGGGCGGATGCATATAATTTAAAGTATTAGTCACTTTTGTTTGGTTCAACAATAAAGTGATAAAGGAAAGTGTATTGAATTACCATTATATCATAAATGAATGGTCTTTATGGTGTACTAGAGACAGTAAAGAATACATTGAACATTTTAATGGCTACCAAAAAGGAAATATTAACAGCAAAATCAAGTTTCACTGGCATGGAAATCTGTGAATGAATGGACGTAATATACAAATGCGGGGACATCGAAACTGTTGACTAATTGGCGCTTTGCGGATGCAATAGCCCAGTTTGCTCGCCCGGCGAGATTATCGGGGAGTAAAACCCGATCTGATCGACGGGATTAGCGAGGAAGTCGGCGTACTCCCACCAACTAGCCGAGACATCCGAGACATTTGATTTATGCGAACTGATTTTGTTATAAGATTTTCAGCCAGCCGACCAACTGGTGAGCCGTAATGATCGAGCCGGTTTGCACGAGATTTGAATTCACATTTGTACGAATTTCCCATCAAAAGTTCGAGTTTTCCACCAATTTCCTCATGACTCGAGCAAGGCAAACGGCTTTGAATAACAGTGTTATATATATCAAATCGCTGCTGACTGCGTGATTGATGGCTACAAGATTGTTTATTATCCAGCAAGGATTCAGAAGGAGATCAATGTCAAATCCAGACAGCAGCATGAAAGGCGGTTATTATTTGTAATGAAAAACTTGACTCTCAGTTGGTTTGACTTTTGAAGAAAATCTTAAGTTCCTGCTTAACTGTTTACAAGCGTTAAGGTTATTTGCATACAGATGAGAGAGAACAGGCTTTTGTGCTAATCAGATGACTCACAATCATCGGATGGCCGACCAGTTTTCGCTGCTTTCTTTTTCATAATTTACGTATTAAGTTTGTACTTCAATGGTCTTCTATTTGAGTCACGTACTACGTAGCTGAATTATCTTTTAATTGCCGGAAAATAAGCTGCACTGTAAGTCACCGTCAATGTTGAGCTATCGAGTTCAGCTCAAAGCGAATACGATTCCGGGTATGGAACATTTTTCGAAATCTTTTTTATTAATACCTCTGTAAGCTTGGAAAAAGCCCACATTATTAAGAAAAATACTATAAATGAATCTTGAAACAAGATTTTCAAGAAAAGCCATTTCGTAAACCCTGCCCTCGTTTCTTTTCCAGTTTTTACATTTGATAATACGTAATAGATTCGATACGCTGTCAAGAAGATCGCTTATCGAGGCTGAGGTTTTCTTCAGGGTTTTCGAAAAAATTCTTTTTTTGGAATCTGGATGAGGCTTTCGAATGGGCCCCTTCGGAATTTGTAATACGGTTATCTTTGCAAACAGGCGAACAGCTATCAGCTATCAGCGACTTTACCATTAATGCACTTTTTACGACCAATTAAATTTTAATTTTCCTTTCTTTTCCGTTGATAAGCGGCGACGAAAGCGATGGAAGAGAGTCTTGCGACACAAATGGACTCCGTTTCGGTTTCGGTTTCAGTTTGAGTTTCCCCGTTTTCCCAGTGAAAAAGAACGCATTGCGTGCATTGAATCAATGACAGTTTCAATTTAACTTTTCGTGGGTATCCACCCCCTATCCCCCCTACAGATAACGCTGTTTGCCTTTCAACCGCTTTGCATATGCACACATTTTCATTTATTTAATTCTTTTATTTGGATCGGTTAAATTAAAAAGCGCCTTGTTACGCATTTAACGATGTTTCCGGTGCGTGGTGGTGCGGTGCTGCGCTTCTGGGAAAGGGAACTTAGGACCGAGAAGGGGGTGTACCATATACCATATACCATATACAATATTCAGTGTGATCAACATGATCAACATGTGTGTTTGTTTTTCAACTCGATGTATGTTGTTGTTTCAGTTCTTTCGCTCCCCTCAGTTTTTCGTTCTTAGTTTTGAATAGGGGGAGCAGCAGCTCGCAACTGGAAATCTGAATATGCATCCCATATAGCAACGATCCCATCCCATCCCGTCCAATAAGAGCACCATCCCATGTCGTTTCATTTAATTCCATTCCCATATATGCGTGTCCACACAGCAGCGGTTCTTCAAAGAGCTCCAGCTAATACTCATTTATCAAGTTGTACTATAAATCACAAACCTACAACAGCTGTCACTTCTTTCAAGAGTTTAAATTTCCTAAGCTTGTGAACGTATTATCATTCATTGTATTTGATTTATATTAGAATTACTTTATAATATTATTTCAACTGTAGACTGTTTTTATCCAGAACTAGAGACTTAACCGCGAGTGTGCCTGAGCTGGTCTTCAACAGTTGGCAATGATGATGGCACAGATATCAGAGATAACACCACCCCACTTTGGGATCGCGCCCCCTCCTCAATTTTTGTTCTCCCCTCGTTCTGTAGCGCTTGCCCTTAGAAGTATGCGTATTATGTACACAGTTATGTACACACAGCTTAATACATAAGGGAAATGCATATATTTACATCGGTCGGTCTTATCAACCTCTAGTTCCCACCGCTCGAAATTCTTCAGCCCAAAAAAAGTCCAAGGCAAGCCGTGTGGCAAGAAGCTTAAAACATATTCATCAATCAATAAATATGTTTTTTTGCGGCCGGGGAAGTCGTATTCAAATAAAGTTAATCAACGAATTTGTATTATAAAAAGAGGGAGAGCTGATTTATCTAATTTATCAAACATTTCTAACAGTAAAGTTGCATTGTTTTCTATATTTTTAAGACTATGGTAGACTTTAAGAGTCCTATCAATAATATTACTCAATCCTCTCTTCCGACTCATTTCATTATCATATCAACGTGCCAGAAATGTTTCCCGCTTCTGTTGCAGTTCGCTGACTAATCAAAAGCTAAATACCAGTGTAATGCCCAAATAAGTTTTCGATTGGAGAGGCATGCATACTTATATATCATATATATAATATATATATCACATATGTATATTATATATGTCATATATGTAGATAGTATAAATTTGTACTGGAACGTCATAAAGCTGGGTTTTTCTTCATTTTCAGAGACTTGAGCTGAATGACTTGCTACCAACTGTTGCGGTTGAAATGGGAGGGGAAATGGGGAAGCGGGGAATTGGATGAATCATGCAGCTGATGTTTCGACAGGGGAAGAGCCAAAGAGAAAACAGATCGGAAGCGGCGGAATCAAAAAATCTGTGTAAATAAAGACAAATGCCTTAGGAAGTGGGCATTTTCAAAGTCAAAGCATGTAGATATGCAGAGAAAACAAATAACTTAATAATGAATTAGTTGCTTAACTACTTTACGCTAAGCTCACATTTCAATACAACACTAAATTGGTCGATCAATTAGATAATATAATCATTAAGAGCAATCTAAGGTATCCTATTACTAGCTATCATTGTTTTTTTTCTCAGTGCATCAGTTGCATTGTGTTGTCTCGCCTTCCTCTGTCCTTCGTCCCCTCTTTGCTGATTTTTTTTTTTGGTTATTGAGAGGGTGGAATTCGGGATTTGGGATGTGTGTGAGGAAGACGGGCATATAAATGTATTATATTTGGGAACAGCCGTTCCATTAACGTTCCATTACACTAACGCATACAGATGGCGTTTGCAATTGTGTATGTGTGTGTGTGTGCGTGTGGACCAAATGCAACAACAAAAAAACGCGCAACTCAAATTGTTAACAAAATTACAATCTCTTTTGGCCAGATTCTGGTCTTGAGAAAGAGAGTAACAAACCAAAAACAACTCACCCAATCTCGAACCCGTTTCAGTGTTTTCCGCTTATTATATTTTTGTATATTCTTTGATTTTTGGTTTCTTAAATGCTTTTAAATTTCATTTTGTCACTTCGTCTTCGTATTGACAAACAGCGATGTTAAAACCGCAGCACAGCAAAAAAAAGTGCAACAAACATACATATAGTTGTATATAGGCAACTGATTCTTTGTTTTATCGAAAGATATGGCTTGAAATTGGAAGCCCAAAAACAACCGAGATCACACAGCGAATAATGTCGTATTTTCTTTGGCAATTAACAACAATAGCAATGCTAACATCAACAGCGCAGCGCTCCGCGAACGACTTTACCGATCGAGAATTTTTTTTTGTCTGTAGGCAGTTTTGTCTCTTGCTTCGAGTCGAGCTCACTTCAGTCTGGCGAGAGAGCGAGATGAGGCTTAGCAGCATGTTGATAACAGTTCTGTTAGAAAGACGTTGTTCTCTGTGAGAGGCTTGGTGAACGAACCCCGTTCTCTCTTTCGATCGATACAAGCGTCTATCGCCCAGCTGAATCGAAAATCGCTTTGCGCAGGCGCCTATCGAAGTTTGAAATTCTAAGCGAGCTATAAGAAAAATGACCTCTTTTAAACGTACATCACATCAACTTTTTTAAGTGATATTCATACATATTTTATATCTCAAGCTTGTTATAAAAACTTACCATTTCCTAACCGACTATCGCTGGTTAACATTTTTAGGCGATCTCTCGCATGCGATTTACTTTGCGGAACACATCAGTTTAATTGCCAGGTGTACGTATAAATTAAAAGATTATCAGGTTTTGTCTTTGAGTGACTTTTAGTCAGTCACTGGTGGCGATTTAAGCACTTTGTATTCACTTTCATGAATGTATAATTCTTCCTTTATGTTTTTGATTTACAATATGTTTTCCAGGTACTATGCTTGCATACTAATTTCTTTGTGCTTTAGATTCCTGATTTCATTTTTTTTTTCTGTTTAATAAGTGTTGGCTTAATGTTCATTTCGGAGTCTGACGAGTTTCCAGTTTAAATCATTTTTAATATTAATCAATTTTCCTTTAGCGACAGTTTCACCTATATCTCTGGTCAAATCATTAATCATTTTTCACTTATAGTGCCAAGTTCATGGCTGATGGAGTGTGCCACCAATTTGCATGTTTTAGCGCCATTGACTTTTTGCGGACTTTTCATCAAGGTCGAGCTTATTAAATCCTCGTTAGCAGTGGTGAGAAAGGTACTCTTACTAGGAAAAGTTCTGTTATTTATGGGCCTTGCAAATAAGGGTAAGGGTACTAAAACGAGGATACTCCTCATCACTGCTCATTAACCGACAAAGAGGCGGACTTCCTGCTGCAATTTGGCATTAGCTTCTCAGTCAGGAATCAAAACTGAAACATGATGCGACCACTGAAAGAGCGATATCCACGCCGAAATCGGACTAAGCAAGCTGTGCGCCACCTTAAGAGCCGAGGAAAAGTCTGGCTAACACACCTGAAAAGCGAATTGGACCAGTGTCGAGGTAGGGATTCGATGAGCTACCCCTAAAATAAGTCTCTTCATTACCTTTTCTAATCCAGAGAAACAGGTGCGGGGTACGCGAAAGAACTTCCTCCACAACGGCTCCTTCCATTCGGCAGTGGCTCCTGTTCTGGCCGTGGCCCAGTGCTTTTGCCTAATGCCCGTCAGTGGCATATGTGCCTCCACCTGTCAAAGATTAAGCTTCAGCAGACGGAGCTGGCGGTTCTGGTACAGTGTCTCGTACCTCTGCACCACTTCCGTGGATCTGGCCTTCAGCATCCGCAAGGTGACTCACAGTGTTTTGGATGTTCGCAGTGTGGGTGAGATATCTATTAATACTTTTCTAAAAATAGTTAATTCTTATTTAAAAACTAATCCCGTAGAGCCTATAGTTTTTCATGTGAGCATCCTGATCGCTTCCTGGCAGTTCCTTAACCTGGCACATCTCTGGCCAGGACTGATGCGCCACTGGGCGGCAGTGGAGCAGCGGCTACCTGGTTACTCCTGTTGCCTGGATCGAGCTCGTCCTGCCCGTCGCATCCAGTTGGTGGCCTTCCTGCTGCTCTCACTATCTCTGAGTTAGGTTTTGCATATATAATCAATTTCCAGGAATAATGAAATGCTTTTTCCAGTGGAGCACTTGTTGAGCATTATTTCAGTGGTGTACTATGACTTTTGCCCCCGGAGAAGAGACCCCGTAGAATCGTACTTGCACGGAACTAGTGCCCAACTGTTTGCCGTGTTCCCCTACTCCAATTGGCTGGGTTGGCTAGGCAAGATTCAGAACGTGCTACTCACCTTCGGCTGGAGCTATATGGACATATTCCTGATGATGCTGGGCATGGGTCTTAGCGAGATGCTGGCCAGACTCAATCGCAGCTTGGAGCAGCAAGTGCGAGAGGTGGGTTATCTCTTTAACTATTTTGTATATATTTGTATACCATATCATTCATAATGTAGCCCATGCCGGAAGCATACTGGACTTGGTCACGCACTCTTTACCGATCGATAGTGGAGCTTATCCGGGAAGTGGATGATGCCGTATCCGGGATAATGCTGATATCCTTCGGCAGCAATCTATACTTCATCTGTCTGCAACTGCTCAAGAGCATCAAGTGAGTTCTAGAACCAAAAACACTGCTGTTATGAGTTACCATAATCCTATGATCCAGCACCATGCCCTCTTCGGCCCACGCCGTCTACTTCTACTTTTCGCTGATGTTTCTTCTTAGCCGAGCCACGGCCGTACTGATCCTGGTTTCCGGGATCAATGATCAGGCCAGGGAGCCCCTGCGTTTGCTGCGTGTTGTTCCCCTCGAAGGATATCATCCGGAAGTCTTCCGTTTTGCCGCCGAACTGGCCAGTGACCAAGTGGCGCTCACGGGTCTCAAGTTCTTTAATGTCACCAGGAAGCTGTTTTTGGCGGTGAGCAAAGGGTCTCCCAGCCTTCTTCCTCGACGTCTGATTTCGGATATTGTATCTTTCAGATGGCTGGAACAGTGGCCACCTATGAACTAGTGCTTATCCAGTTTCATGAGGATAAAAAGTCCTGGGACTGCTCGGCCTCCAGCTTTAATTAGGCAAGACTAAGACTGTGAAGACTATTTTACCGTAGACTACTTGATATCACTCATACGCAGCGTTGCCTTGAGTTTGAATATTTGAATTTAAGATTACAACTTATCACTAAAACGAAATTCATCAGCAGTTGGCATAGATAATGGCTATTAAAACGCTTTTATTTTTGCACATAAACACTGTGCTACACAGTTGCGAGAAGTCCATGGCGGAGGAACCAGTTTTCATCTGCCCGCTTTTTTGCACGCGCTTTCCACTTTTCACATCAGTCGGCGGTTGCGTTTTCATTTTCATTTGCGGACCATTTTCTTTGGTAATCCAGTATAAGTATGTGATGCAATTGCTGGCCATAAATGGTGCCCGCTTCCTAGGCACACCGAAATGCGTGAATAACGATTGGACTGAAACTCAACCAGTTGGCCAAATGCCAATGCCGATTGCTCCTCGGCTCTCCAGCGCCATGATGCTTCCGGTCAGCGGGTCCAGCCGATCTAGTCCGGTTCCAGGCAATTGTTAACCCAATTCACGAGCTGAGTTCGGGGATCAGATCCACGATAGGAGTATATAAAGCCCCACAATCGGTTCAACGCGCAGACACAAATCGCACACTGCACATCCAGCTAAGACGTTATGGCCAGATATCAGAGTAGCATCTACAGCCTGGGAGGGATCGGGATCTTTGTTATCCTGCTCCTTGATCAATTGGCCAGCGGTCAGTTCGTTCCGGGTCCGCTTCCTGGCATACCCCGCCAACAGAGATCACTCTTCGGGCCAGGCCCACCTCCGGGTTGGAGCAGCGGTGGTCTTAGTCACGGCTGGAATGGTCCCAGTTTCGAGTTTAGTCATCTGCCGCCTTCCTCTAGTCCGCATGTGACCAAGGACGAACTGCTGGCCCTGCTGGCTGCCTGGAAGGATGTGGCCGTAAAGCCAACGACTCCTGCGCCAGAACCAGAGCCTGAGGAGCCCGAACCCGAACCGGAAACCACAACGGCCCCGCCGCCGGAGGATGAAGACGAACCAGAACCGGAGGCACCAGCACCAGAGGCGCCAGCTGGACCACCACCTGGTGTCCCCGTCACCGTTTCCCTGCCCGCCCTGGTGCCCATTCAACTGGCGGCCATGTGGCAGCAGCCGGCGCCTGGAGCAGCGGCCGGCGGATTAGGTCCTTTGGCGCTGGGAGGATTGGGTCTTGGCGGTGGCATTGCCTTAAATAATATAGGTGGCAGTGCGGCAGCAGCAGGTGCCGTTGCGGCTGGAGGCGGGGGAGCAGCGGCCGCTGGAGCCGCTGCAGCAGCGGCACGATCCGGAGTGGCCCGCCCCAGGGCTCGGGCCAGGATCGGAGGACGTGCTTCCAATGTCCAGCCGGCTATTCGTTTCCCGGTGGCCAATCCACGCAGCTTCACCTCGACCAACTACGTGGCGCCTAGGCCTCGTTACTATCGCGACACGGAGGCAATGCGGTAAGTATGATAACTTTAAAACTCCGATCTAAGAGGAACCGAAGATACATTTGAGGACCCCTTTGGACTGGTAAGATACCATTTAATGTTATTATTTTCCTTGCAGCTTCAATGTAATGGCACCGCCGCCCTACCAAATGGCCAATGTTCAGGGCCCAGTGCAACTTGTGCCCGCCTACTGGCAATAGTCCATTCTCCAAGTCTTATAATCGTACTGCCACTTCTCTCTAAGCTATCTGTACAAAGTTATATGTTATATGTTATAGTAATACGCATGTGTATATAGAATGCCATGGCCTGTTAACAAGTCGGATTTGTTTTTTTTTTATTATGTCAATAAAATATTTTAACAAACAATAAATTAATAGATTGCTCGTTGTGGTAAAATTGTAATTATGAATTAAAATTATTGAAAGACCAAAACAATCGGTATTTTGGAAAGATTATTGCAATGGCTAAGCAGCGCCTTTCGATTCGAAATTTGGTTTATCCTAAAATCGATCGTATTTTGCCCATATCTATGCCAATAATGGTGCAAATATGGAATGTAATACCTCGATAAGATCGTAATTTGATTCCCAACAAAACTGCATTCACACCTTGAAAAGTAAAAAATACGCCATTTTTCGCAAATTTTCATGATGTTACCCCTACAAAAAATGCAAAATTTTGCAAAAAATTAAAATTTCGAAAATCACCAAACTAATGATGAGGACACTTACTTTTGGTCGTTAGCTGCTCAAAACAGTCTTAATCTTAGCTGTGCTTCTTGTTTTGACTAAGTTACAGACATAATACCGATAATCATCATGCATTTCTTGTCAGAAATCATAATCCAGATTATTGTCCCAATATAATCTGAATTCTTCCCACCACAAACTCAAAAATAGTCCGAATATAGAATGTCATACATCGATGAACTCGTAATTAAAATTCCAACAAAACTGTATTCACAGTTTAAAAAGTGAAATTTTAGCCAAAACTCGCAAGTTTTGATGATGTTACCCCTTACATAAAATGAAAAATGTAGCAAAAAATTAAAATTCGCAAAATCTTCAAACTAATAATAAGGAAAGTTAGTTTTGGTCGTAAGCTTCACAAAACATTCTTTGTTTTAGCCGTACGTCTTGTTTTTGCAAAGTTATAGGTATACAACTGATAGAAAATATTACCAGTTTTTGTCCAAAGTCAAAGTCCCGATTTTTGCCTCAAAATAATCGGAATTATTCTCATAACAAAGTCAAAAATTGTCCGAATACAGAATGTCATACATCGATGAACTCGTAATTAAAATTCCAACAAAACTGCATTCCCAGTTTAAAAAGTGAAATTTTAGCCATTTTTCGCAAATTTTAATGATGTTACCCCTTACAAAAAATTCGAAATTTTGCAAAAAATTAAAATTCGCAAAATCTTCAAACTAATGATAAGGAAAGTTAGTTTTGCTCTTTAGCTTTCCAAAACTATTACTCTTTTAGCTGTATCTCTTCTTTTGGCAAAGTTATAAATAAAAATAATTCAACAAATTTTGTAATTTTGTGTCAAAAGTCCCAACCAGTGACTATGAGTTTTATGGTACCTACATAAATAGATATAGACATCTACATGAAGATTAAACCTTTATTGCTATGAATAACTTAATATGAAAATTCAACTTCTTTAATTATATGCAACTCAAAGTTTTCAAATATCAATAAATAGTTAAGCCAATTAAGAAGCACACAAAAAATAAAACAACGCCGACCACAAGCAAGTGTTTTTTATCGACAAATATTGCACAACCAATAACGGGCAATTAATTGATTTGGGCTACGCAAATCTGTTGGCTCCATTAGCAACTGTTTTCCCCCATTAAAATATGGCCAGCTTCGTGAGCTACTTAAGCCGATATTGAAATGGACAGCTTAAACCGATATTAACATATACTTTGTACAGCGAAATGCAATTGGCTTATATCACAAGTGCCACACGAATATTGGCAACTTTCGTCAGATGTTGGCTGACAGATGTCGGCTCCATAAGCGATTCGCTTATGAATATATATATGCTGGTGGCAACATCCTTATCGGGACATCTTGTTTGGTCACCGAACCAGCCTCGAACGACTCCCGTGGGCATCGTAGATGATGGAATGGCATCACCCAGTTTGCGTGCTGCCACGCCTCCCATCCCCCCGGGTGTTACGATCCACCGACTGATCCAGATTTCCACTTCGCACAAATGAGACATTAAGTAGATGGCGTTGATGAACCAAAACTTGATTCGATCCATATCCAGTTGGACGTTAGAGATTTCCATGTGGGCGAGGACGAGCTTAAGTCGCAGACATCGTCAATCGATGAATTCGTAATTGCGCACCCATCTAAACTGGTCAGCAAATCAACACTGGTCTTTGGAGTTTACAAATGTATAAAATTTTATTTTGAAGCCTCTAAAACTCACTTCAATTAAAAACCTTGCGAAATGAGAACATTTTGTAAGGTTTTTAGTAGTGTGAGGCTTAAGGGTAAAACTAGGGATTAACTAAATGAAAATTTTGTACAACATTTATACATAACGTTCTTTCGGATTATAGTAGTTTTAAATTTGATCTTTAAACATTTCTAGTGGAAGATTAATAAGTATATAAAACCAATTAAGTATTGTCATCACTTATAAACAAAAAATATAAAACAGCGGTACTAAATCTAACGAAAAATAAGTTAACATTTTACTTTATGTATTACAAATATGTGACTCTTAGCAGTTAATTTACATTGCTTCTAATCTGGTTTTAAAAATTAAGCTAAGAAATCTCACAAAACGCTGTACAATTGTTAAATAACAAAATATTATCTTACATTGAAAACAAACCAATTGTAAATAAAATACTACAAATAATGTCTTTGGATAAAAGGAAACTAGAGGGTGGATGAGGAGTGTGTCCAGCTGGCGCAGCTGTTTATAGGCATTTTCACACATTTCCCCCAAATGGAGATTGACGTGCCTGCCACCCAAAATATCGAGGTATCGCTAACCAAAAGCGCCGGCAACAGGCGTAAAAACAATTAATACGTGTAATGTGCGATCGAGGCAAATCGAGAGCAACGCCCATTCAGGCCCAGTTTGGACTTCCCGCTAGGAGAGCTCCCGATCTGGGCTTATTTGCCTTGCAACTAGCTAGCTTACATAACTTAGCGACCACGACTCCCAACTCGGACTGAATTAACTAACGCAGAAATAAATAACGAATTAACACATGCAGAACAATAATTTCAACTAGGTTTGGGACAGCCGACGCCATAAGATCCAGAGACTTTGATGAAGAGCCAGTAGGGCGAAGGCGCCAGCAATCACAAAAGTCAACCTGTAAATGGCCGCCTGACAGTACAGTAAGACCACGCCGGCCAGTACATAAAACAGGATGGACAGTATCCAGTATCCCTGACTGTAAGTTGATTCTAACATTTACAATATTCCAAATAATTAATCATTTTATATACACTTACCATTTTTGGGGAGCGCGCAACTGCAGAAGCAAACTAAGTGATGCCAGGACCACGATGCTGGGATACAAACTTGGATCTGGCAGGCTAATGCCATGTCTACAGGAGTAGAGTAAGTATATTTAGTCTGAGATTTCTTAGATCTTAAACCCATAACTTACCGACGACTGCGCACCCATGCCAAACTACTAGGAGCATTGAGCAGCAGCTGCATAAGTAACATCAGTAGCAAAGTGATGTGGAAAGAAAAGTTCTGCAAGCCCACACAAGGCTCTGGCTCCTCCTCCTCTTCTTGCTCCGTCGTTTTTAGGGCATCACTTTCTGCATTTTGATCCTCTGCTGCATCTCCCTCGCTAGAAGGTTCTTGAGCTGCCACTGCAGAAGGCTTTCCTCGCACCAAATTAGCCGCCTTCTGCCAGAGAAAGTCTTCGAGATAATCCTTATAAGCATTCGACAGCATCAGGAAATAGAAGACAGAGGCCAGGAGAAGACCCACTCCGCTACAGGTTCCCATAGCCGTGGCAATTGTCAGAATACCGTACGTAATGGGCAAGTGGGTCATGATCGAGATCATCACATTGGAGGTTGCCTGGGACAGGCGTGTTATTCGCAGAGCCAAGCGGTAGAACGCGTTGCCATAAAGCGTCAGGGCCAACCAAGTGCCCAGAGTGGCCAGCAGGGATAGGGCAATAGCTGCACAGTGGATCACAATGGAAACATTGATGCTATAGTCTAGGGGCTCTGGCTCTGGGAGTATGCGGCTGGTGATTATCAGCTTCTTCAGAATACGACAAGCTGAAATTTAATCATATGTACTTTAAGGCTCTACAGTTTCAGTGTAAAACAAACCTGTGACCACATAGAGCGAGGTGTACTGCAGATAACCCACATAGGGACGCAGACTACGAAAAGTTCCCACGTTATGGAAGGTCTCAACTTGTTTTCTCAGCACAATCAGCAAAACGCAGACCAGGTGTGCCGGCAACCAGCCGTAGAACTCGAGAACTAATCGAGATAAAGCAGAGGAATAGGAGTACTCATAGCTGTGGAATGACACAAATAAGAGTGAGATGGATTCATTTAGTGAAAGTGAAAGAGATAAAAGAAGAAACTAGTAGCTTCTACCACTTACTGATGCTTACCTGATTCGATAGCGACATGTGGGGTCCAAATAGAGATCAAGGGTCACAGGATTGAGCGTTGTATTATAATGTCTGGGCACTAATGTAGGCACATTAACATACAATTGTGGTTTCTGATCAAAAGATCTGTAAGACATACGTCGAGAATGAGATACTATTAAACTAACTACTATCTAACTTACTTTAGAGTCTGGAATCTTTCAAAACCCGCTGCCCAGGGAACACATATCCTGGCGGTCACTCTGTACTCGGGGTTGATGCACTGCAGCGGCTCGACAATCACTCGAATGCTCTGATATGGATCCACCATCTCTGATATACGCAATCGATGGTGCAGCGTACCTTGAAGGGTTTCGTTTATAACAGGCAGCTTGGCCATGGTGTACCAGCGTGGCATTTTGATGTCCGTCACCCGCTCTCGTGGATCGTAGATATCAAGGTTGTAGCCGATTCGCTTCGTACTCGGTGGGAGGCGCACTAGCACATGGGTCCACTGCACGTAAGTTTTTCGCAGATTGTGCAAATCCAAATTTGCAATGCTACGGGGATCGCGATCTTCATTGGGCAGCCGCTGGACAAGATGCATCAACGAGGTGGCCTTTTCGCTAGATAAAGAGATAATTCTTTAAAGTAATTTTTATTAAGGAAACGTAATATCAACATACCAATAAAGTATATCTGTCTTATTGAGCTCTTGGGCGGAGCAACCGAACAACCAGTCTTCGTCATCCACATTCAAGGCCTCGATGGCCATTTTTTTGTATCTCTCCTGTCGTTGCAATCCTATCAAATCAAAGAAGGTGCCTTTTAGTCCATTAGTGAAGTACTTGTTTATGACAAGACGTCGCTCCTCGTGCCAATTTCCGGCTGCTCCTAAGCGTACAGTGCTGGATTGTCGTCTCCGTGGTTTCTGTGGATATATCTTAAGTATTTGATTGATATGGAAATCCGTAGGAACCTACTACAAATGTGGATAAAGCAGATTGAAGATTGCGCTGCTTGTTGGTGCCGAAAACGATGGATGATCGATCCTCGCGCACATAGGCAATGCTGAAGAGAAAGCGATTGATGGCTTGCATGAATTGCAGGCACCACACGGCGGACAAATGATCGCAGCTCAGACTAACTTTGGGTATAGCCGAGGTCTGAGGAACAAGATAAAGAAAATAAACAAGAATTCATTCTGACAATTACATATACAACTACCATAGCATGCAAATCGTTGAACGAGGAGCTAGTTAGTCCAGGTCGCACAAGCAGATCCCTATTGCCGCCGCCTGTTGAAATGAGCAAAACGTTGTCAAGTCGCGCCGAACTGTCCTGGCTGGCCATACGCTGCACACTCGGTAGTCGCTGATGCAAGCTATCACAGACATTCGTCGTTATCGTGGGCACTGTGGCCGTGCGTAGCTTGCTCAACACAGTGTTTGTCTGTTCGTAGAACTCCTCCAGTTGGGCATCTAGATTGAGCACTGGCTGATCCAGCGGCGTGGAAATGCTGATAATTGTATTGATGTGCTGGCCAATGGCCGGATCTACCAGCACTGACTGCGCCAGCTTTCCGCCCATGGAGTGGCCAATGAGCACGATGGATGGCTGTTCCGCCCGCCCGCCGTAAACCGACAGAATGGTGCGAATGCAGAGCTTCAGGTAGCTTCGCTGGCGAGGCAGATAGCCCCCGTACAAGGCGGACAACTCCTCATCGTAATCAATCGTGTAGTAGTCCAGGTGAAGGCCTGCATCATCGGAAATTGCTTTGCGCAGCGCCACGGAGGCCAGGGAACGCACCTGCTTGTAAGAGCCGGCATTGCCCGGCACGAAAATCACTGGAGCACCAGTCATCCGCCGTTTTAGCGGATCCAGAGGCTGTCGCACGCCTTCATAATAGTAATACAAGCCGTAATTTGGATAGTCATCACCATCTTTGACTTCAACTTTCTATAAACCAAATAAAATCAGCATTTGGAGGTCTTATTTTTTGGAGAACGGAACAAAACTCACCGCAAACCTGGGCTCCCCAAACATGTAGGTCATTCGGCAGGCATTGGGCTCAACCTCCACCTGCAGATGGAACAGGCCGTATATAAAGCAGCATATGGAGCCTATCACTAGCAGAACAGCACAGTTTCGGAACATAAACATTATGGATTTTCAATTTTTCATATCTGTTTATGTCTTCAGTTTTCTTGTTGTCGCGGCCAGTGTTACCAGATGGTGAAACGGCGGCTTACCCTTAGCTCAACCCTAATTTTTCTCCTAAGTTCAAACGCTCGAGTTCATTCTAAGTATTTTCAGTTTTTATAAATTTAAAACCTTGAAGTCCAGCATTAATTTATTAAGTAGAAAATGTTTATAAAAATGAACTTGAAAAAACATTTTTCTTATTTTCTATGTCGTTATTGTGGACAATCCTCAAGTTAGCTTTCGGCTAAAATGTTTTAACTGTGTTTCAGATTATTTATTTTCAGATATATCTTTCAAAAACTGACACTTTTTAAGTTTTTTAGCGACATTTCAGCCCTGGTTAAAGGGATGCAATTCCATAGCTAGTATCACGATAGGCGCGCAGTTTAAAATTTGTAGTTATTTCAAAGGCATAATTTAGCGGTTAAATAAAAAATATCTTTATAATTACAAATTAAAAATAACAACGTAAATGACGACACGTACGATACGAACCGGAATTGTCAACAAAAAGCAGCGGCGCCGGCGCCGGCGTCAGCATCATTGATTCGAATTTCTAAGTCTGGCCTGTGAGTGTGTGCGTGAATGCGTGTGAGCCAGCAGCAGCCTGACTTCGAGTGTGTGCGCTTAATTCGCGTACTTGGCTTGCTGAGCCAGTGTGTGTTTGTGTCTAGCCTGGCGCTACTGTTGTTGTTTTGTTGGAAGAAAAAGACAGTTTATGCCCTAGCCAAGCAATAACAAAAACAACGAGAGAGAGAGACATTGTCGCCGCGCAGTCGATCCGCTGCCGCCGTCGACGACGCTGCCGCAGCGAACCGTTCGATCCGCTCGCTAGTTGTTGCTGTTTAGTGTTCGTTGTGGTGTCGCTTGTTGTTGTTTTGATCCGTTCCGAATCCGATTGCGATATAATTCATATATTACTTATTATATATAGTGCAAAAAGAGGAACAAATGCCCAGTCGGCGTGTATCTGTGTGCCCGTAATTGTTGTTTGTTGTAATTGCACCCGCACACCACACACAGTCACCAGTAGCAGCGTATACGTATACATATATACGGGAAAGAGCGCATTCCAATCCCTATACACACACACACACAGCCACCATGGAAATTTGGCGCTCGCTGACAGTGGGCACCATCGTGCTTTTGGGCCTCGTCTGCTTCTACGGAACAGTGGAGTCCTGCAACGAGATCGTCTGCGCATCAATAGTTTCTAAATGCATGCTCACCCAGAGCTGCAAGTGCGAACTGAAGAACTGCTCCTGCTGCAAGGAGTGTCTCAAATGTCTGGGCAAAAACTACGAGGAGTGTTGCAGCTGTGTAGGTAAGGAAGGTCGTCCGGTGGGACCACTGATCACCGATCAGTGGGTGGTGGGAGGTGGCCATATAAATCTGTATGTATATATTTGATCACCAGTGATGATGATGTGATGGCCATCGCTTTGTTTTTGTTGTTGTCAAGTATGGATATGTGTGTGTGTTTGTGCGGGGGGAGATTGCGATGTGCTAACTAGTTATCGATAACGGGCTTGAGCTGGAGATCGGCCTAGCCTTAACCCTGCCGGGGGCCAAGTGGTTGAATCTCTAAGCCTTTAAATAGGAGACATTTTTGGGTCGATGCTATCCCATCTAAGTTTGTCTAAAAATCATAGATTTTACAAAATTGCCAAAAATTACAATATAGTTTCGAGAACAACTTGTTTTGTAGGGTGTTCAGTGTAAAATAATTCCAGTCCTAGCATTCAGGTTTTACTACGTTTTAAGTAACTACTACCAATCTTTAAACAAAATTATATATTGTGTTGTTTTATATAGTTCTTATTTTATTGGTAGCTTATACCTGTATAAAATTCCTTTCTGTTTGTCATTTTAATATCTTTTATAGTTATGAACAAAGAAAAAGTGTTTATTGATGGTGTAAAAAATAAATAAATAGTTTGTAATCACCCAGATCGGATTTTCGTGAAATGCCATTTTCGGTTACCCCAAATGATGTTGTTTATAAACAAATCGGGCATGACGATGAAAACAAATGTGCACACGAGATCAGAATGAGAAAAGCATGTCTTCCTTCGGGGAATACAAATAAATAATTTTGATTATCATATGAATAATAAATGTGGTTAAAGAAATAAGAAATTATACGTAAATATTAGACTGCACAAACTGTAGGCTCCATTTATAAATACCTTACCATTTATAAATACCTTCAAACAAACGTATACCCTTGGTTACAATGGCATCTTTTGTAATAAAATAATCTTTATTTCTTCAAGAACTCTGCCCAAAACCCAATGACACCCGGAACTCGCTGTCCAAGAAGTCCCACGTAGAGGACTTTGATGGAGTGCCGGAACTATTTAACGCCGTAGCCACTCCGGACGAGGGCGACAGCTTCGGCTACAATTGGAACGTGTTCACGTTTCAAGTGGATTTCGACAAGTACTTGAAGGGTCCCAAGCTGGAAAAGGATGGTCATTACTTTTTGAGTGAGTGGTTACATATCACAGCTATTGGATTTCTCATCTCTTTAACGGCCCGATTTCATTTAGGAACTAACGATAAAAACCTGGACGAGGCGATTCAGGAGCGGGATAACATAGTAACCGTGAACTGCACGGTTATATATCTGGATCAGTGCGTGTCGTGGAACAAGTGCCGCACGAGCTGTCAAACAACCGGCGCCAGCAGTACGAGGTAAGGAGAACAACATATTAGACGAGATATTTTTTTAATTTCTTAATTTGGTAAATAGATGGTTCCACGACGGCTGCTGTGAATGTGTTGGCTCTACGTGCATAAACTACGGCGTGAACGAGAGCCGCTGTAGAAAGTGTCCGGAGTCGAAGGGTGAGATGGGCGACGATCTGGACGATGGCATGGAGGAGGAGATGCAGGACTTCGGGGAGAGCATGGGCCCATTTGACGGACCCGTGAACAACAACTACTGAACGCGGTGATGTCAAATGCCATTCAACGAACAGAACAAAACCACATCTAACAAATTTAGCTACTCAATTCAATGACATTATTATTATGTAGTACGAAGTAATATTTGTATAGCATTATTATTATTATTTTTATTTACAAAAATTGAATAGGCGCTTTGAATTGTTTTACTTATTGAACCGGCCAATATATATATATATATATATATATTATACATTTTTTTTAACTTAAATAAAAAAAATAGTTTATACTACGAGTTCCAAAGGCTTCAGAGGCTTTTTCAATAATAATTGTAAGTCTAATCGTTTCTCAGCAGTAAAATCTTTTACAGTTTGTGAACTAAAATAATTCATTAGTTTTCAAGCCGGACATGTCTTGTCTAACGGTCAAAAATGTATCGTAATTTATTGTTTTTTTTTAAAACAAGTGCCTATCGTTATCGAAATCTGATGGGCACACTGTTTTTGGGGCTGGAGGCCCGGCACAGTGTGACCAGAAATTAAAAATTGGAGCAGCTGTTTAAATTAGTGTTCACAAATCAACGAAGTAGAGTTACGTATTCGCACCGGGTCCGGGATTTGGAAATTATGTTGAAGGGCCTGCGGCATGTGCGGAATGTGTTGCAGCGCGGTGGCACCCAGTTGGCACATATTGCCAGTGCTGCGGGGCAGCCCCAAAGGATTTGCCGGGAGTTGTCGCTTCTCCAACTCAGCCGGCGGCAGGTACGTTATTAGATGAGTCGCAGCAATTCTGAAGAAGCTAATTCTGATTTCCTTATACTTCAGGTGATGCAACTGCAGGCGGAATATAAGGCGATTGTGGGGTTAATAGCCCGCTCCCTGCAACTGACTCCGAAAGAAGTGCGAGTCATGCACCTGCGCAGCCTAAGCACCGCTGAGAAACCTCCTAAAAATCCCACTCCATCAGAGTGCACGGCGGAAAAGCCTGGAAAGGACGGAGCCAAGAATGAAGGCGATCCGTCCAAAGAGAAGCAAAAGCCAGCTGCCGCGGCAGACAGCAGTGAAAAAAGCAGTAAAGCCTCAGCAGACGATGCGTCTAGCAGTCCTAACCCTAGCCCCACCACATCCACTAGCGAGCCTGGGGAGGATCCCAATAAAAACAGCAACGAGAATGACGAAAAGATGCGTTCCGTACTGACCAAGGCCGTACTTTGGCTTTTTACGATCTATATGTTTGTGGCATTCTTCTCCTTGCTGATTACCCCGCGTTCTGAGAGACCAGAGGTAAGTCTGAAGTCTTTTTAAATGTAGTTAGCCACATTAGCTAATCTTGTCCATTGCCCAGGGCTCCACGCGATATGTTTCCTGGAACGAGTTTGTCCACCACATGCTGGCCGTGGGTGAGGTTAAGGAGTTGATCATACGACCCGACATGGAAATGGTCACCATCATCTTGCATGAGGGAGCCGTCATTAAGGGTAGGAAAGTAGCCTCTACAATCTTCCACATGGCGGTGGCTGACGCCAATAAATTCGAAGAGAAACTACGCGAGGTGGAGAAGCGTTTGGGAATCTCGGATGGTGTTCCGGTAACCTACGATCGTCAGACCGACACCACTGGCCGTATTCTAATGCTGCTGCTCGTCTGCGCCCTGCTTATGTCCATTGCAACCCGCATGAAGAGCATAAAGAGTCCGCTTAGCATGGATTCGTTTGTGAGTAGTGTTTTTTAAGCCAGAAAACCGTGGCTATTAACTTCTTTATTCCTTCCAGAACCAAATGGGACGTGCCAAGTTCACGTTGGTGGATCCCTTCGATGGCGGTCGTGGTGTACTCTTCCGAGACGTGGCTGGTCTCAGTGAGGCAAAACAGGAGGTAAAAGAGTTTGTTGATTACCTCAAGTCCCCGGAAAAGTACCAGCGCCTAGGCGCCAAGGTGCCGCGTGGAGCACTGCTTCTGGGCCCACCGGGATGCGGCAAGACGCTGTTGGCCAAAGCGGTGGCCACTGAGGCCCAGGTACCGTTCCTCAGCATGAACGGTTCCGAGTTCATTGAGATGATTGGTGGCCTGGGAGCGGCGCGAGTGCGCGATCTCTTCCAGGAGGGCAAAAAGCGGGCGCCGTGTATCATCTACATCGATGAGATAGACGCCATCGGTCGGCAACGTTCGGGAACGGAGAGCATGGGACAAGGCAGCTCTGGTGAGTCTGAGCAGACGCTGAACCAGCTCCTAGTCGAGATGGACGGAATGGCCACAAAGGAGGGCGTGCTGATGTTGGCCAGCACAAATCGGGCCGACATCCTAGACAAGGTAAAATTCATACGAATATTGTATTTCATTATACCAACGATTTTTATTAACTATTTTAGGCCCTTCTGCGACCTGGTCGTTTTGATCGTCACATTCTCATCGATCTCCCCACGCTGGCGGAGCGAAAGGAGATCTTCGAGAAGCATCTGTCTTCGGTGAAACTGGAGTCGTCGCCCACGACTTTCTCACAGCGTTTGGCTCGCCTGACGCCGGGTTTCTCGGGTGCAGACATCGCCAACGTGTGCAATGAGGCTGCCCTGCATGCCGCCCGTAATACACAAAAGGAGGTTAGCAGCAAGAACCTTGAGTACGCCGTGGAGCGCCTTGTTGGTAAGTTTACCACCGAATCCGAAATGGATATTTAACGCAGTATTAAAGTGTTTAACCCCTTCTATCTTTTTAGGCGGTACTGAGAAGCGCTCGCATGCCTTGACACTAGCGGAGCGCAAGGTGATCGCCTACCACGAATCCGGACACGCTCTAGTGGGCTGGATGCTTCCTAATTCAGATATTCTGCTAAAGGTAACTATTGTGCCGCGGACCAGTTTGGCACTGGGATTCGCCCAATATACCCCGAGCGAACAGCATTTGTACAGCAAGGAGGAGCTGTTCGACAAGATGTGCATGGCGCTTGGTGGTCGGGCGGCAGAGAATCTGGTCTTTAATCGTATTACGACGGGCGCCCAGAACGACCTGGAGAAGGTGACGAAGATTGCGTACTCGCAAATTAAGAAATTCGGCATGAACGATACCCTGGGACCCATTTATGTCCGCGATGCGGATGAGACGGAGGGAGGCGGTGCAATGGGCAGCGGTGGCAAGAAACCCTTCTCGCGGGCTATGGAAAGCATGATAGACAACGAGGCGCGTCATGTGGTGGCCAGTGCCTACCAAACAACTGAGGGCATACTTACAACTCATCGCGACAAGCTGGAAAAGGTTCGTTAGCACTACTTCTATATAACTGAGATCTCAAATCAATAGAAAATTAGGTTTATAGTGAAGAGTGCATTCAGTCTATACAAGCCATAAAGCTATTTTATTTACATGTTTTTAGACGTTTCAGTATAAACAATTTACTTAAGTTAAAGTTTAATTTATAAAACACTGATTATTATTATGATCGCTTGATCTAATCAATATCGGGTTAATTTAGCTCGTTATGCTTGTTGATATGTGATGAAATCGGTTATAGTTGCGATGTATTGTCGTGTATATATGTAAAAGGTAATGCCTTTCACTTTTTTCACTTATCTTCTTATCGTTATCTATTTCAGCTGGCTGAGGCTCTGCTAGAGAAGGAGACGCTAGACTACGACCAAGTGGTGAAACTGATTGGACCGCCGCCGTACGATCTGGGTAAACGGCAAGTGGATGGCGTGGAGTTCGAGCAGTCACTGAAGAACCTAGGCAGCGATACGGACGCCTCGAAAACCTGAGGCTCTGAGTCAAACTCAGATTCAGAGTGATAGTTGTAGAGTCAGAGAGTCATAGAGTCACAGTCATTTATCATACGCCACGTGCCCCGAGTCGCTCACCTTTCCGCCCGCCCTGGTTCATGTTCGTTGAATGTAAATAAAGTTGTTTACCTTTTTAAATGACTTCAAGCCGTGTTCATTATCTAATTGCCCGCTAATAAGCCGCTTCTCAGCGGGCAAGGCGATGTCTAATTACCTAACGGATAATACAGTCCAATTCCAGTAATTATCACCCAAAACAGCAGTTTTTTATATTGTACTAAGCTAAAAGCAAAAAATGCTTTATATCCTCTTTGTTTCCCATGAAGGGAATTAATAATTTTATCTCAAAAGAAATGCATGCAATAAAAATGTTAGGAAACTTCAACATACAGTTCACCTTAAAGAGGCCTTATTGTAGTTCCATTGTAATTACTTCCTGGTATTTAAATCAGCCCACAACTGACCACAAGATATTTTTCAATTAAAAACCAAATTAGTTTTGATACATTGTAAGCCAAAGTAACTAAGCCAACACATAATACCCGCCGTCAATTAGCGTATATGTGTAAACGGCGTCATCGCTGCGACTTGGCAGGAGATCAAAGTTTAATTCCACACCTGTCCACACTGACCTAGAACCTGACACGCACTGTCAATTGGCTGAGCACACGCAACCTCCCAGTGACCGGTCCGATGGTCATCTGATGGCAGCCGGAATCTATTGATCCACTCCAAATCTGGGTCGAGAAAACGGAAAATATGTAACTGAGTGTTTTATGTTCATAAGGAATAATGATATTTTCGTTTCAGATTTAATGAACAATTTGAAATCTTTAAACATCAATATATATACTAAATTTGTACCTCGTTAATATATTATTTCCGTTCGAAATCGATTTATTTTAGCTATCAGATACTTTCAAGTCGAGACTTTTGAAAATTTAACTTTTAAGAGAGTATCTTCTGTGGATAGAAGTTACTCAACTATCAGGGTCTACCACATTTACGAGTATTTAGCTTTGTAGGTGCATTGATAAAACTCAACTAAGATGATGCGACCTCCGGCGGAGATGTTGCAAGAGAGAAGTACTGAGATGGAGAAGAGAAACCTGTTCTCCATTGCAGCCAAGTTGAGAATCATTTGGCTTTAAGTTATATTCAATTGGCTTCGATTTATGAGCCGAATTAAAGCTCAAACTGTTCTCACCTCAATACCGGCAACTTACTTATTTCAGTTCTTAACTCAATTTAAAATTAATGAATAATGAATTTTGGAAAATGTAAAGAACGGAAGATATTAAATAGGCCTTTTTGTTTGTAATTTTAATTCATATAACTTGGAAATTTTATTTTGTTAGATATGAAATAGCGTTAATATTAAAACTAATCCAGTTCCAATTTATGACTGCAAAGAATATGTAGTCTCAGATCAAAGTCGAGTTTTTTTTTTCAATATAGTCAAGTTTTCCCAGTCAACATTAAAATAAAGTCTCGTGTCGGTGTGGCCGGGTTTAGGCGCAATTAATTTGATCTGGTCCCAGAATCACACTTGAACTTGCACTTGGCTTCTAGAGGATGCATAAATAGGCCCGGCTTTGGGTTGGAGTTAATCAGTTTTCTCTCGGCCAACTCAGAAATCGGATTGCGGACAAAATGCAGTCAAGCGGCGTCTCAGTATTCTTCGTATGGATGGCTCTGTGGTGCCTGGTTCCTTGCAGTATCGAAGCCTCCGATGGATTCCGTGAGTGTTTAAAAATATAATTTAAGTTTTTTTAATTAAAATTTTTATTTTTTCAACTCTAACAGCATCGCCTCTGAAGCGCTGCAAGGTGGAGGACGAGTCGTGCTTGGTGGCGCAGGCGCAGACCTTCTTCAAGGCTTTCAAGAAGGGTATTCCAGAGCGGCAGGTGACTGGTTTGGAGCCCATCGACCTGGGAACTATGCGCGTGGACAGCGGTGGCCATTCGGAGTCGTTGCAATTCAAGTTGATCATGAGCAATGCCAAACTCTATAACCTGGCCAACTCCGTTGTGGTCAAAAGCCTGAAGGGTTTTACCAAGGACCTTACCAAGCCGCTCAAGCTAACCATGGTCATGGATGCACCAGAACTGGAAGTGCGGGCCAAGTACGATGTGGACGGCAAGCTGCTCATCCTGCCCATCGTTAGCAAGGGCGATGTGACTATTCGAATGACCGAGGTCTTGACCAAGTGTAGGATTATGGCAGAGCCCGTAAAGCGTTCTGATGGTCATGCATACCTCAACATCACCGATTACAAGACGGTCACGAAGATCCAAGGGTGAGTGGCTATATATCCTTACAGTATCTATATAACTTGATCTTTACGTACAGTGGCCACTTTAACATGTCGAACCTGTTCAACGACAACGTGGAGTTGAGGGAAAGCACCTTGAAGGTCCTGAATCAGGAGTGGAACACCCTGGCTGTCGATGTCCAGCCTAAGATCAACGAGGCCTGCTCCAAGGCCTTCAGATCAATCCTGCAAAACCTTTGGAACAACATACCTTATGACGAGTTCTTCGAAGATGAATAAGTTTGGGCGTAAGAATACTTTCTTAATACCACTTAACAAATTTTTTTAACGTAAAAAATTAAGTAAATATCCCCAATCCCCATTCTCCGCCCCAATGAAAAAAACGATTCTTTGCTCCTTTTTGTATTTATTATACAAAACTAAAAAATAAATTAAAAAGCCTTAGGGAGTATGGATAAAATGTTAAAAACAGAGATGGGTTTCTTGAAGAATTGTAACTCGACAACACATTTAATATTTCTGATTAAAACAAAAAGCAGATTTGATCTTAGCTTTTCCTGATATGAGATCTACACTTTCCTGTGGTTGCATTGGCTTCTGGGATCCTTCAAGACCATCCCATCAGTATTATTGAAAAGACTTAACCAGGTCATCTTGTTGTTTTCGTTGATTCGATCAGATTCAGAGTAGTTGATATCCTACGGATATGTTTGTTAGTTCGGAGAACTTGAAGGAACACTCATAGTTAGCTAGGATGAGGCTATATCAATGGCTTATGCTCACTCATTTCCAGGAGCCCTGCTGTTCCTGGGTGTCTGCTGCTTGGGTCGTCCTAGGGATCGACATGGTGCACCCGATTGTGTACGTCAGTCAGCAGCAACTGCGGGTTTAACAACTACCCATTCCCATGCTGTGTTTGGTCCTCCTCGGGATGCTCCAATATCTTGCTTTCCGAAGTGCTGATGCTCTGTGGGATGCGTCGTAAGATCTTACTTAGTAATATCTTTCACCAGGAGTCCCTGCTGGTTGCTTTACCTGATTAAATACCTTCAGCTTGCGATGCTTGGCATCCTTTTCTGTATCCGGCGGACTCTCGGAGCCATCTGTGGTCTTGATGAAGGACGAGTAGAACGAGGAGAAGCTAGAGCCATCCATGTCATCGCTGTTGCCATTGCTGTCCGTGTATTTCTGTGGATACCAGAAGGTTATTTTCGATTTCCCATTTAGATTAATCCCACAATTACCTTGTTGTTGGTGGGATTGCTGCTGCAGGGCGGGTCCGAGTTGTAGTCGCCCATCACGGAGGGCAAGGGAGAAGAGTCCGGAACCTCCTTCTTGCACGGATCAGACACTGCCACATTGGAGCCAGGCTCCGCCTTCGAGGAAGTGGTTTGCGTGGAGGTTCGTGGCACCTGGGAGGGAGTGGTGACCGAGTGGAATGCCCCTGGCACCTTCTTCTGGAGAGACGCTGGCGGAGTCTGTGGAGCAATTGGAAGCGGGTAAGTCTAAAATAAAAGCTAGACAGAAACTAACTTACCGTGTACACAGTCTTGTTGTAGGCTGACTGAGATCCCATTGGTCGCTCTGGTATCTGGAGGGCATTGGCCATACCGGGGAAGGGCATCGGTTGGTACATCATGGCCGTAGCAGCCGCTGCCGCCGGATGTGTGTAGAATAGGGAGGGATGCGGATACATCACGCCGGCCATGTACTGGAGCGGCATGGCTTGTGCGGCGGCTGCAGCCGCCTGCTGCGAGGTGGTGGGCAGCTCTACGCCACTCTTATGCTGATGCTTGTGCATCCTTGGAGAACGTGTGGGACTGGTGGGCGTCAGGGAGGCGGGTATGTAGTAGAAGGTCGGGAAGAGGCCGGCAGAGGAGAAGCTGCTTTGGGCCATAGCCGTGTGCGTGGAGTGGACGGGAGGAGTGATGCCTACGGAGAAGGGTGGCCAGAGATTGATGTTTTGCGTGCAGGATGGATAGGAGGAGGGTCCTGCCGTAGAACTGCCCACCGAGGAAGTGGGCCCAGCTGCTCCTCCCGCTCCACCTACTCCTGGAGTTCCTGCACCGGATGTTGTTGTCGTCGTGGTCCTGCCCTCTGGTGTTCCTGCTACGCCTGGTATGGTTCCTCCTCCGCCTGCCACACCTGGTCCTCCCGATCCCACCCCTGCTGAACCCACCGCTCCTCCTCCGCCAGCACCAGCCGCATCCTTCACCGCATCTGCACCCAAGGTCAACTGCTGCTTTGGTTTGTTTGCTTCTCCCTCCCACGAATGGGAACCGCCTCTTTTTATCCCGTGCCCCGGGCCACTATACTCCAACATCTTTAGAGTGTCATTGGCGGACTTCTTGCTCTTTTCTCCAGTGCGTCCGCGCGACTCCCGGTGCTTCTTAAGCATAAACTTCTCCATCTCGTCGTTGTGTTTATTTAGCAAGGATTCGGTGAGCGTCACGGGTGGTGTGGCTGTGCCTGTTCCTTTGGAGGAGCTAACTGTGCTAGTCCCGGTGCCTGTATTGGTTTCATTGCCAGTGGTCGTGCATGTTCCTGTGCCTGTGCCAGTTCCTGTTCCTATCCCAGTTTCCGTACCAGAATTAGTTTCATTAGCCGTGCCAGTTCCTGTTCCAGTGCCTGTTCCTGTCCCAGTTCCGGTGCCCGTTCCTGTCCCAGTTCCTGTACCGGTGCCCGTTCCGGTACCAGTACCCGTTCCAGTGCCTGTTCCACCTGTGCCCGTGCCCGTGCCAGTGCCCGTTCCACCCGTGCCCGCAATGCTCGTATTGGTCACACTGCTCATGTGTATGTTACTGGCGGTAGTAAAGTTGCCCGAGGAGCCACTGCCCCCGCTGCCCTCGTGGACGGGGCTCATTGGCCCACTAGTGCCACTCGTACAAGTTCCCCGCGGCTCAGGCTGCTCCGTCTTGGGCGGATCGAGCTCCGCCGGCGCCGTGACCGGCTTGCTGTTGAAAAAACGCAGCAGGTTCTCGTTATAGTTTAGCTGATTGTAGCTGGGCGGAGTCTCGGTGGAACTCTTACTGTCATAGTAGTCATGGTGCGGCGAGATCTCGCCGAGCATCACGCTGTCCCGTTCAGAGACAGTCAACTCGTTCTCATGCGGCAGCTCCAGCTTCAGATCCGCCCGGGACACCTCGTCCATAAGGGTTTCCATGAAGCTGGCTAGCGCTTGGCAGCGCCGTGAGACCTCCTGTTTGACCGTATCCGACGGACGGGATACAGTCTCCGCCAAGCGCTTAACTATGTCCTCCTTAATCCGCGTATTGCGATTCTGTGCGTCCTCCGATATCTTGATCTTACACGTGGGCGCCGCCTCGAAGACGTCGCACTGTTTGGGTCCTGCAAGGGTGTGAAAATCATAAAATCGGATTAACTATATGGTATATATATATGCCTCGATTTGGAATGGTAAAACGATTTCGACTTGCATTCACAGAAGGCCATAGGTAACATACAGCAGACTCACCTTGAAAGACTCGATGATGTCCGACGACAAACTCCAGCTTGCGAGACCACGGATTGACGAAGCTGGTCCACTCGGTCTCCAGGAGAACGTAGCAACCGTTCTGAATCAGGAAGCGGTACGGCTTGCTGCAGAAGGAGGCGCCAGCCGTCTGACCCTTCTTCATCACCGTCTCGTAAATCTCCTTCATGACCGCAAGGTCTTCATGATGGTAGAAGTCCATGATGCTGCGTCCTATCAGGTCCTGGGGCAGATAGCCCAAAGCGCTTACAGCCGCACTATCCACATGCGATATTATCCCGGTGGCTGTGTGGCGGATCGCAAACTTGGGGCTCTTCTGGGAGAGGATCTCGTCGGGAACTAAGGGACAAGGGCGTTGGTCAAACCTTAATCTTCAAGACTTCAAACGACGAGGAACTCACCCTTGTAGCTGCTCTTGATCGGAGTGGCGCAGATGACGAGCAGCATATTCGTGCCATTGGAGACCATGTAGTTATCGGGTCTCGCCTCCTCCGGGGCCTCCCTGAAGGTTAACCCCAGCCGGAAGGGTTCGTAGCTCACAGAGCGCCCGATCACTCCGAATCCCCCGGACTTCAATCCCCTATAGCGTCGCAGCATCACGCAGAATGTGCTCTTGGCATCCTTGGGCATACTGCCCCTGGACTCGGCAATGGGTATGCCTGTGGTTATTTGACTGGCAAACGTGGCCCGGTCCTTGAGGTGCACAAAGTCGATGAAGGATCTGCCCAGCCACATGTCGCGGGGAAAGCCTAGAACATCGGTGATGCTGGGCGTGGTGTATAAGACGATGCCGTCATGCATGGAGATCACACAGCAGAAGCTATCCTCCTTGGGCCGCTCCCCGCGGTGGCCACCTGCTCCTACTCCTGCCATGGACTCCAGTTTTCCTGCACCTGCTTCCCAGGTCCTTTCGAATTTGCCCAGGCCGCTGTCCAGGCCGGAGGCATGACCCACTCCTCCGCAACCACCCACTCCCCCGCCCATCGAGGGCGGGACTATGGTGACGGACAGTGGCGAAGGAATGGGAAAGCTCTGTGCCGCCTCCGACTTGGTCGCATCCTCGCCCCTATCGACCTCCGACTCGGATCCAGACTGATCCTCTTCTCGTTGCAGCTGCTCCGTAGCCTCTGGCTCATTGCGATCCTCGCTGTGTTCCTGATCCTGCAGGATCTGCTGGTCTCCACATACACTGGCACTAGGACGCGGCTTTTCTTCCGCTCCCTCCAGAGACACCGATGCCGAGATCAGGCTCTGCACCTGCGTCTGTCCTGTCCCCTTGTTCTTCTTCTTCTTGCGCGACTTTTCCTTGTTCCGCTTGATGATGGTGTCGCTGCTGCTGGCCTGGGTCGAGGGCTTGCCGCCATAGCCACTGCTGCCTGAGGAGTGACTGCCGCTTAGCCGGGATTTGGAACTGCCACTGAAATTGTGTTGCAACTTTAAAATAACCCCATGGATATACCCAATGATATGGACTCCTTACCTCCGCTGCGACTGACTGTTGCTGCAGCTGTTCGAATACGCCGAGTCGGAGACCTTGGTGTTGTGTGTGGACTCCGTCGACTCGCCGCCCTCCATTGTGTTTATGTTCTCCAGTTTGACGATTTGCGTTTAAATAAAAGTAATATGTTGAGAGGTTTCTGGAGAAAGACGTAGGTTCACCAATAAAACAGGACTCTATATGTGAGCTTAAGCTTAAATATATATACAGGTAGTTAGTGTTAATGCAAAAGAAGAGCTCAAAATCAAAAGAAAACACTCAAAGCTTCTTAACTTTATAGATTTCTATGAAACTTAAGCTTAAATCAACCGAATAGGTATAGTTATATGCATTTCCATAATATATTTTCCTGCATTCAAGCTTCTCTATTAGGTGTCCATTTGAAAGTCTTTGTTCCATTTGGAAAGCCTGAATGAGTTGCCCAACCATATTGCAGAATCGACTTGCACTTTCATTGAGAACGCTGGGGTTGCATCAACGTGATTGGGAAATGGTTTCACTTCGGCCGAATGACGATAGAAATCACGAAATCTATTGCACCATTTCCATTGCATTTCACAGGCATCTGGATTTCGTGGCGATTGCAGCTTGACTTTCCATCAATCAATTTGCATATGTACAATGGGTATATGTATATAGAGAGAACTTTTCCTCAGTTTCCATTCATTTCCTTTTGGCATACATATTTTAGGATCTGATGAAAAACAGCAACTAAGGATTTCTAGTGCTTCGATGAACATTTTTAACTCAGAAAGTGTATAAAGAACTAACTAGCATTCAAGTTGCCTGTACAGAGGTTGCACTGGGATAATTAACAGAGGGCCAGCGTGGGAGGGAGAAGGCAAGCCGTTGCATTCACGTGCAGCTGCAGGCGTTGCGAGCTTCGCTTTTGTTGTTGCCGCCAACGGATGCCGTTATGCACTCAGCTGCGGAATAGCAAACACAAATGCACCACGACTAGTAGGCAAACACAGATAGATTGTTGCACAGATACAATATATACAATATATACAAGATACAAGATACAAGATACAAGATACAATTTCTAAGATAACCCCCTTGAAGGCTGCATTAGTTTGCCTTTAGCGTTTTCCCGCAGAGTTTACACTTTTCCGCTGAAATCCGCTGACATGGTCAAGACTCCACTAACAAGAAATGCCACTTAACCAAAATACCCACCAAGGAACTCGTATTTCATACAATTGCATAAGCATTTATAGCATACAAAGTAATTATGAAGGCAAGGGCGTTGAATTACAAAGATTGCATAAGGCCCAGGTTAATCCTCCCCAAAATGGAAAGAATCAGCAAAACCTAAAAAAACCACAAACATATGATCTTGATTAGGGTGAGCCCCAGTACTAAAATACCTTAGCAACATTAATGATTATTACTATTGGTGGCTTAAATACTACACACAATGTTGCCTTTAAACATTGCATGAATTTTCCCTAGAATGTTGGATGATACATGCCAATCATTTTCTAACGCTCTATCAAGTCGGTTGCCCTCATGTCATTCCATATATCAAATTACCATGAAGTTATTCAGAAAAAGGCAAGGAATCAGCCCATATTTACGCTTATGGGGTAGATAAATTACTTAAGTAAATAAACTGATAGTAAAAATCACAACAATTACTCCCAAGTGTCCAAATAGCAAAGAAAAATGTGAATGTAATCAATTAAATTGAAAAATTTTGTAGTAGAAAAAACTCATGAATCAGACTAAATCATCAGCTCTAAACTAATTGGTTCTAATCCATCTACCATTCTTCACCTATTTTTAGCAATCCCTTTCACGAAATCCCCTACCACCAGAAGCCAGCAGTCGGTCCTCCAAACCGATTGTATAATCCTCTAACCGAGCTAACCCAGTTTACAGTGCATACGTCAGTAAAGTTTGAACACATCAAAGCGGGCCAAACTGGCCGAATCCTGGAGGGATGCGGGATTACATTTGGTCGTGCGTCATTCGCGAGAATGTTAGGTAATGCGGAGCAGGAAGCGCAGCAGACAGAGGATAAGAGTCGCATAACCGAGGGGCAAGGATTAGCCTGAGTGGGCTGAGTGGAAAATGCAATGCAGATAAACAGATGGTGAGCTATAGATAGATTCGTAAATAAATGAAACCACGTGGTGGATAGTAAGTAGTGAAGTGTTTTTAAGAGACTAACTAAGCTAATTGATAACTACATCAAGGAATCCTATCACGATTGCACAAAAGCCCCTTTGGTTAACGTTGCGTATGCGTAATATCGGGTGACCCAATTAGGTTATATGACTTCTGATTAGCAAGTGTATCAAAAGCGCCTTCCCAAAGCCAAGTTGCATAGAGTTGCAGTCCCATATTGGCCCAACTTGGGCCACACTGCGTATACGTATCATTCATTTAGACCAGCCCATCTACGCTTGTGTTTATATTTATAACCGAGTTTCGTTCAGTAGGGTCAGGTATGGGCTGGGAGCTTTTGTTTACGCTGCAATTGATAAATTGTTTTTGCCTCTCTGTGCAACGTGCACTGTGCCGTCGGCACTTATTAATAAACACTATATATGTACATACACACAGACACCATATGGACGTTATGAACCGAGTTCTTTATGTAAGCTTAAGTTGGCTGTCCGAGTTGTTTTGTTTTTTTGCAATATGATAATGGGTTACTCTCCCGCCTGCTCGCCTGTTGATATTTTGCTTCTTTTTTTATATTGCAACAACGTGACAATTGCACTTACACTCTCGCTCACTCTGGCTAACCAGCTGGCTCTCTCTTGGTAGTATATCGCTTAGGATCGAGTTTTAGACTATATATTTTTCACTTTGCGGCTGATTTTGGATCAGCTTTAACACTCTCACACTCAACACCAAAGAAACAAAAAGTAGTGTGCTTGTTGTTTGGTCCACGAAAGGTTTTTTTGGCGTGGTTCTAGACGACGTTCTTTCGATTATAACAAATTTAGTCTAGTATGTCGTTTTAGTCGACCGCGTTTGCCGACCTTCTGGCTGGAAATCCGCACGAATACTAGCTGCTGCCAGCAAGCTTCAGTCGCAGTGCCCTCGTTCATTCGCATTCTGAGAATTTTCTCACACTCAATGGCTGCTCTCCGCTGGCGCTGAGAATCGGGGGAATCGTTGGCGCTCGGCAAATTTGCAAATCAACTGAAATGTTAACCCTTAAGCGAGCTTTTCAATGCATTTAAGGTACTTGGAAAAGTAAACAACGCATAAAACAAAGTAACTCAGGGAAGAATGGTTTCATATATAGTTTATATTTAATCAAGCTGATTTTATAGTTTTAGATGATAACCCTATACAATGTTTCTTTTGCTTGTTGTGCTGTTTGTTGTGGTGAAATCCGAGTACGAATACGAATGTCTCTCTGCCCACGCATGAAATCCGAAGCCAAACCACACGGACCAACTTAAGGTTAAAGAAAGCTGTGGAATCTCCTGGTTTTTGGGGGTGGATGATGGGTCGTGCTGTTTTGTGTGGGGGCTGCCAGCACGTTTTCTGGGGGGCGGGTTGCCGGCGGGCGTTTGGGCAGTGGATTTCGCAGGTCAAGTCACGCAGGTACGCCACGTGAGCGTCGGCTTTTCTATGCCTACGGCCTTTTCAAAACGCTTTTTGCACTCGGGCCTGCCCCACGATGACTTTTGCAAACTGGCAGCGACATTTCGCAACGGCATTACTCACCCACTTCCAATCATTCATAGCCAGCAGCCCTCAGCTCTCGCCCAGACACAATCGAAAGTGGCGCCAAGCTTTCGGGGCCCTCCACCCCCTGAAACCCCTTAAGCCCTTCAATTCGTCCCAACGGAAGCTCTACCTGGGCAGGTGTGCTCTGTGGCACGTACTGATTGAAATGCCAGCTACAGCTGATTTTCCCTTGGCTTTTCCATCTACGCTCAGCTGGCTATCGAATGGCATCGAATATTGGTAAACGAAGGCGGCGAGCGCGGGCTGTGGCCCACAGGTGGCGGCACACGTCCCTACCAGCGGGGTACTGCTTTTGCCCGTCAACTTCGGGGTCGTCGAACTCTATGCGGGGGAGTGTCTTGCTTTTGGGGGCATGCATGGTGAGGATTAAAAACAGAAAGCTGCATTCTCTTCTGTCTGTTTTTAAAACTATTTGTTATTATAAGATTTACCATATCTGTAACGTCGACTTACCGAAGTTACCTTTATATCTCTTTTAAGTATGATTTATATATATATATATGAGGTTATATATATTCATGTTAACTTAGTCTATCAACTTCCCTTTGCTTATACATATCCCTTCCGGCTCAGAGTGGTTTTATATATATATATTCCTGTACCAAAGCACTATATGCCCCCCTTTGAGTCCAAACCAAGTGCTGAAAGTTGTTATTATACTTTATCAGCTTTCCCATCGGTCTGCGGTGGCTTGGAATAATTGAATTTTATTAATTGGCGGCTTTGCCGTCGTCGAGTGGGTGTGAAAATCCATTTGACCTAGCCCACTCCAGCCAACCCTCCATTGTGGGCCACGTGCGTGTGTTTGCCGAAGTTTGCCCGAGTTTGCTGGCGTTTGCTGTTATCTATACCGGCCACACACGTGCCATAAAGTCACAGACGTCTGCCCGGGAATGATAAAGAACCTTCGAATTAGCCACCAAACTGCTGCTAATTTGATTTTGATGCTGGCTACTGTTGACTTTCCTCACATTCACCCTCTCTCATTTTTTATGATGTGATGTGATTTTATTTGATTGCCGCTAATCGGATTTTGAGGGGTGGTTTTGGGTAAGTGTTGCTTGGACTGTGATCGGGATTAGTGCTGGGTTCCCAAGGGTTTCCCTTTGATGGCCAATGGATGATGGTCCAAGGACCGGCTCATGAATATCAATTGCGATTAAAGGACACTAGATCACATCAGGTGGGTTGTAATTGATAGACTTATATAAAATTCATACTATGTTTGGTGCACTTCCAGAGTGAAAGGTGCCAGGAAGAGCTATAGTACATCTGCTGGCGAAAGACCATGAGCTTTGGCCACTCCTTATCGGTAGTGTGTCCCGCCGGCTGTTTCCCCCTTAGAGCAATCGCTGGACTCACCAGTCTTGGGGATCCTCCTCCATACTGCTTCCTTCTGCTGTCGGGCTTCATCATCATCTCATAGAGCTTTCAGTATAGGATTGGTAGGATCATCAGGTATCTGGCAGTGAAGAAGATTTCGAGATTAGCGTTTCAAGAGAAGGTCAAGAAGGTTGAACAGGTTCCCAAGAAAAGTCTGATGGCGATGGAAAACCTGCAAATTAAACTAAAAAGGAGCACGCAGGTACATTGCCCAGGCATTACCCGGTCATTCCCAGGCTCTCTGACTTTTAGCTTGCACCTCCGAAATGTATACTCGTAATAAGTTCCAGATTCAAGATTACAAAATCCATCTTCCTTGTACGAAACATTTTAGGACACAGAAATGCCCGGGTCTTACCAACCCCTATTGCTCTTAGCCTAACTCCGCCTCCTGGCGTCTGCGCATTGGTCACCCTTATCCCAGCATGCTCCTCCTCTACCCTGGAACTTTCATCCGTGGTGATTAATTAGGATATATGGGTTTTAAGGCGCGGAAAAAAGCGAGGAGGTCAGTTCTTGTAAGATGACGGAAGCGTGGAAATTTCAACGCCTTTGGGGTAAACTTTTGCTGGACCTTAATCCCTGGTTAGGATTAACATCTGCTTAACTAAGCAGAAAAAGTCAAAAGAAAGTCGCAAACACTTAATGGTTATTTGTCATTGATAAAAGAAAGTTGGGGAGTGAGGTTAAATGCAATGTTGGTGCCCAGAATGGGTTCAAGTTTCTTCGGTGTTTAGTTACACTTTCGAAATCGTAAAAGAGTAGGCTGATGCTTCTCCAATCACTGTAGATTTGAACAGCAACAGAAATCAGTTTTCTAGAATTTTTCGTAATGCTCACAGTGATCTCGTAGAAATTTTTGGTGTTGAAAAAAATTTAAAATTCGCTCCGTTTAAATTTGGAATTGGAATACGGACACGGGGATACGGGGATACGGATACTGATACATTATCGACATGAGTTACACTAATCTCCTTCGCCAACAGAACGTGGTCGACGACTGCCAACGGGTGAGCTGCAATCGCGGACCGGTGAACAATCTCTCCGGTCGCTGTGTGATCAGCCGGGACATCGTGATCGGCTGCCGGATGGAGCTCTGCGATCCAGACTTGCCCTACATGCTGGAGCCCACTTGGAGCGTGTACCTGCGATCCGGCAAGGATGGCAGTGATCTATCCCGATTCGTGCGAAGGGTCTCCTTCAAGATGTCTCCGCGACTGCCGCTGAGACTACACGTGGCGGACAGTGCTCCGTTCGAGATCAGCGAAGTGCTGGGCAGCGACTTTCCCGTGGAGGTGCAGGTAACGTATGTGGACCCGCGAATGTCGCCCACCACATACATCTTTCGACCCCGGGTGGTGCGTGAGGGTCACTCCGGCATCAGTGAAGAGGTGCTCGACAAGATGATATTCGTTAATCCCACGCCCACTATGAGATTGAGCCTGACACCTGTTCTTGTTCCGGTTCTGAGTGGTCCGCACAAGGAAACGGAATCCACTGAGTCCGAGTCGCTGTTTTCCGATTCGAAGAACGGTGAGCGAAAGGAACAGAATCGGGACCAGGTGGGTGATGTGGCGCGGCCCTCTCAACTGCCAAAGACGCTGATCAAGAAGCGGCTTAGCGTGGGCGGACCGTACACCCTTAGTCCGAAGTAGAATGGGCTGCGCACAGCAGAGTTAATCAGGAAAAGATTAGACCATTGGAGCATTGGTATTGATATGTACAGTAAAAAATTTCCAAGGACCTATATAATACTCAAGATCATGGATTAGAATAAATATATTTGAGAGTCGAAATAAGATTGTTATTACGGCACACTAGCAATCGGTATTAAAGTGGAAAAGCTTCAACATTTCCACCATTGATGACCCCTTTGACTCTTACCACATCACATCACTAACATATGCAACCGAGAACCAGCATCCATAGCCAAGGTCGAGTCCGCCCATTTTGTGTGTATGCCTCGTTCGGGGGTGGTTCTGCCTTATGTCCTTAGCCCCGCCTTCTTTCCAACGGGGGTAAGTTCCCAGTCAAACAGCATCTGGACTCGGCATTCAATCAGTTGCTCATTTGGCTGCGGCTTCTCAAACGGAACAGAACATACTTTCCCATTTCCCGGACACAAAGAAAAACTGGGAAATGGCCTGGCTACCAAGCAGCTCGAATGGAGCGGACAACGCGGACGAACGGAGCACTGCTTCGAGTGCATCCTCTGGACACAGCCAGCACAACGAGTCTCCGCGTTCCGGCAATTTAAATGGCAATGGTGTTATCCGGGACACAGGCAGGCATCCGCCCGCTCTTTTGAGGCATGCCACACCCCAGCTGCTGCCCAAGACGGAGTCCGTATCCGACGGTGACGGTGACGCGGAGCTCTCCGACTTCTCGCTCAATGACACCGAAGAGGACGAAGAGGATCTGCGCGACTATATCGTGCTGAACGGCAACCAGGCAGATGGCGAGGATTACCCATTTAAAGCAGGTAAAAATGGGATGCTTGTTTTATTTTTTAACTTATTTATTGAATATTAATTATATATAAATTTTATTATTAATTATATATAATATTATTCTCTTATACTTTGTCCTGCTCCAGGTAATCGTTCTCTGTCCAGTTCACCACGTAGTCACTCTCGCAACGGACTGCTAACGGCGCCGCCCAGCTCCGGAAGCTCTGTCAGCGGTTGCGGAGGAGGCGGAGGAGGGAATGCCTCCGGAGGCAATGCATCCAGCGGCGGAGGCAGCGGAGCCACTGGCGGAGTACGCAAGGTGTTTACCAACACAAGGGAGCGCTGGCGTCAGCAAAATGTGTCCGGTGCCTTTGCCGAGCTGCGCAAGCTGGTGCCTACGCATCCGCCAGACAAGAAGCTCTCGAAGAACGAGATCCTTCGCTCGGCCATCAAGTATATAAAGCTACTGACGGGCATCCTCGAGTGGCAGCGACAGGTGCCTTCGCTTCCAGCTAGGGGTCAACTTGAACCAAACAACAATGACAACAGAATGGTCAATGGTCATGCGACGGATGGGGAACTTGAGAACCCAGATATCCAATCAGTACGACACATAAAGTGTGAACGAGCCGAAGGACAGAGGAATGGGATTGGAACCGGGGGCAATGACCTGCTCATGATTGCCCCGGGAGCTATCATCAAAAGCGAGCTTCTCATGGAGGCATCGGTACCGAGTGCTCCACTGTCACTGCCCACTGCTCCGCTGGCCATGGTCGAAACTCGGATTTCCGGAACAGTTTCTGGCCTTAGGGCGACTGGCAGTCGAAGCAACAAGCGACGCCTCAAGCTGGAAGGCGGGGCCACCGATCTTAGCCTCAGCAAACGCCGCCGGACGTAGGAAATCCCTGGAAGCCGGCGGTGCCGTGCCAACATACGGTACATACAAAACACATTTTTTTTATCTATAGTGGCTAAAATGTATTTTTTGAAAAGAGATTACTGTTAGTTTCGGTCGTCTTATTCGATAATTTCGCGTTATGAAATCTGCTTTTCTTACCAATGAAGGCAAAAAACTAAATAAATAAGATGATGTTACGCTTACAAAAAGAAGTTGTAGCGAATGATGAGGAAAGTTAGTTTTGGTCGTTAGCTTCATAAAATAGTCATTCTTTTAGCTGTGCGTCTCCTTTTGAGAATGTTAATTTTAATTTTTTTTTTAATAATTTTTGTCAAAGCTCAATCAAATCTGATTGTTAATAAGATAATAAAAGGTTTGTTCTGGATCTGTTATTCCGCAGTCCAACAGTTCCATGGCGATGTGGTTTCAAAGGTGGCGTCCTCGTAGCGTTCGGAAGGTGTTTGGTGAACTTTATTTGTGATGCCGTCGAGAACACGCCATGGATGAATGCTATGAAGAGGCAAAACCGCACACTTTGCGATTTCTGCGGTCAACAGAGCTAGTAAAGCTGGTATTTATTCCAGCTATATGTCCTTTTCAGGACCAACATTTCATTGTCGAAGAGAAAAACTTTAAAAATGTGTATCGTAATATTGGTTTAAATTTAAAAATTCGATAATTAGCTGCATAACACAGCCCAAACTTTAAGCCCCCATATCTACTTTTATCATTATTGTTCAGACTCTCTTGGAATGCTAATGGTTTACTGGCTAAAAAATCAAAAAACGCATTTCTACGGAAATTTGGAATATTTTTTCCGGCTTTTAAGCTCTAGCTCGGTCAAAACATAACGCACAGCCAAAAGAATGACTGTTTTGTGCTGCTAACGACCAGCACTTTCCACCCCTATCACTCGTTTTTCGGTTTTGGGTAAATAAATTTTGACCCAAATTTCGCATTTTTGGTAAGGGGTACCATCATCAAAATTTTCAAAAAATGGCCCAAAATTAAGTTTTCCAGATTTGAATGCAAATCAATTGGGAATCATAGCAATCAAGTTACGAGCCCTAGGAGGTATTACATTCCTCATTTGGACCATTTTTGGCTGTGCTATGCCAAAAAAACTGATTATTTGGTGCTCAAAATCACGTAAAGGTCTTTTTGCAGCAAAGATTCCGGTTTCCTTGCCGTTTCTTAGCTCTAACTTTGTCAAAACAAGACGCATGTCTTAACCAATGACTGATTTATGCAGCTAAGAACCGAAACTTGAAACCCCTATACTCACTTTTATCATTATTGTTCTGATTACCTTGATGCGAGCTGCGATTTAATGCCTAAAAAATTGAGAAACCCATTTCTACAGAAATTTGGAATATTTTTTCCGGCTTTTTAGCTCTAGCTCGGTCAAAACATAACGCACAGCCAAAAGAATGACTGATTTATGCAGCTAAGAACCGAAACTTGAAACTCCTATACTTACTTTTATCATTATTGTTCTGATTCTCTTGGTGCGAGCTGCGACTTAATGTCTAAAAAATCGAGAAACCCATTTCTACAGAAATTTGGAATATTTTTTCCGGCTTTTTAGCTCTAGCTCGGTCAAAACAAGACGCACAGCCGAAAGAATGACTGTTTTGTGCTGCTAACGACCAGCACTTTCCACCCCTATCACTCGTTTTTCGATTTTGGGAAAATAAATTTTGACCCAAATTTCGCATTTTTGGTAAGGGGTACCATCATCAAAATTTTCAAAAAATGGCCCAAAATTAAGTTTTCCAGATTTGAATGCAAATCAATTGGGAATCATAGCAATCAAGTTACGAGCCCTAGGAGGTATTACATTCCTCATTTGGACCATTTTTGGCTGTGCTATGCCAAAAAAACTGATTATTTGGTGCTCAAAATCACGTAAAGGTCTTTTTGCAGCAAAGATTCCGGTTTTCCTTGCCGTTTCTTAGCTCTAACTTTGTCAAAACAAGACGCATGTCTTAACCAATGACTGATTTATGCAGCTAAGAACCGAAACTTGAAACCCCTATACTCACTTTTATCATTATTGTTCTGATTACCTTGATGCGAGCTGCGATTTAATGTCTAAAAAATCGAGAAACCCATTTCTACAGAAATTTGGAATATGCTATGCCAAAAAAACTGAATATTTGGTGCTCAAAATCACGTAAAGGTCTTTTTGCAGCAAAGATTCCGGTTTCCTTGCCGTTTCTTAGCTCTAACTTTGTCAAAACAAGACGCATGTCTTAACCAATGACTGATTTATGCAGCTAAGAACCGAAACTTGAAACCCCTATACTCACTTTTATCATTATTGTTCTGATTACCTTGATGCGAGCTGCGATTTAATGCCTAAAAAATTGAGAAACCCATTTCTACAGAAATTTGGAATATTTTTTCCGGCTTTTTAGCTCTAGCTCGGTCAAAACAAGACGCACAGCCGAAAGAATGACTGTTTTGTGCTGCTAACGACCAGCACTTTCCACCCCTATCACTCGTTTTTCGATTTTGGGAAAATAAATTTTGACCCAAATTTCGCATTTTTGGTAAGGGATACCATCATCAAAATTTTCAAAAAATGGCCCAAAATTAAGTTTTCCAGATTTGAATGCAAATCAATTGGGAATCATAGCAATCAAGTTACGAGCCCTAGGAGGTATTACATTCCTCATTTGGACCATTTTTGGCTGTGCTATGCCAAAAAAACTGATTATTTGGTGCTCAAAATCACGTAAAGGTCTTTTTGCAGCAAAGATTCCGGTTTCCTTGCCGTTTCTTAGCTCTAACTTTGTCAAAACAAGACGCATGTCTTAACCAATGACTGATTTATGCAGCTAAGAACCGAAACTTGAAACCCCTATACTCACTTTTATCATTATTGTTCTGATTACCTTGGTGCGAGCTGCGATTTAATGTCTAAAAAATCGAGAAACCCATTTCTACAGAAATTTGGAATATTTTTTCCGGCTTTTTAGCTCTAGCTCGGCCAAAACAAGACGCACAGCCGAAAGAATGACTGTTTTGTGCTGCTAACGACCAGCACTTTCCACCCCTATCACTCGTTTTTCGATTTTGGGAAAATAAATTTTGACCCAAATTTCGCATTTTTGGTAATCAAAAATACCATCATCAAAATTTTCAAAAAATGGCCAAAAATTAAGTTTCCCAGATTTGAATGCAAACCAATAGGGAATCATAGCAATCAAGTTACGAGCCCTACGAGGTATTACATTCCTCATTTGGACCTTTTTTGGCTGTGCTATGCCAAAAAAACTGATTATTTGGTGCTCAAAATCACGTAAAGGTCTTTTTGCAGCAAAGATTCCGGTTTCCTTGCCGTTTCTTAGCTCTAACTTTGTCAAAACAAGACGCATGTCTTAACCAATGACTGATTTATGCAGCTAAGAACCGAAACTTGAAACCCCTATACTCACTTCTATCATTATTGTTCTGATTCTCTTGGTGCGAGCTGCGATTTAATGGCTAAAAAATCGAAAAACCCATTTCTACAGAAATTTGGAATATTTTTGTCCGGCTTTTTAGCTCTAGCTCGGTCAAAACAAGACGCACAGCCGAAAGAATGACTGTTTTTGTGCTGCTAACGACCAGCACTTTCCACCCCTATCACTCGATTTTCGATTTTAGGAAAATAAATTTTGACCCAAATTTCGCATTTTTGGTAAGGGGTACCATCATCAAAATTTTCAAAAAATGGCCAAAAATTAAGTTTTCCAGATTTGAATGCAAACCAATTGGGAATCATAGCAATCAAGTTACGAGCCCTACTAGGTATTACATTCCTCATTTGGACCATTTTTGGCTGTGCAAATTTCGCATTTTTGGTAAGGGGTACCATCATCAAAATTTTCAAAAAATGGCCAAAAATTAAGTTTCCCAGATTTGAATGCAAACCAATAGGGAATCATAGCAATCAAGTTACGAGCCCTACGAGGTATTACATTCCTCATTTGGACCTTTTTTGGCTGTGCTATGCCAAAAAAACTGATTATTTGGTGCTCAAAATCACGTAAAGGTCTTTTTGCAGCAAAGATTCCGGTTTCCTTGCCGTTTCTTAGCTCTAACTTTGTCAAAACAAGACGCATGTCTTAACCAATGACTGATTTATGCAGCTAAGAACCGAAACTTGAAACCCCTATACTCACTTCTATCATTATTGTTCTGATTCTCTTGGTGCGAGCTGCGATTTAATGGCTAAAAAATCGAAAAACCCATTTCTACAGAAATTTGGAATATTTTTGTCCGGCTTTTTAGCTCTAGCTCGGTCAAAACAAGACGCACAGCCGAAAGAATGACTGTTTTGTGCTGCTAACGACCAGCACTTTCCACCCCTATCACTCGATTTTCGATTTTAGGAAAATAAATTTTGACCCAAATTTCGCATTTTTGGTAAGGGGTACCATCATCAAAATTTTCAAAAAATGGCCAAAAATTAAGTTTTCCAGATTTGAATGCAAACCAATTGGGAATCATAGCAATCAAGTTACGAGCCCTACTAGGTATTACATTCCTCATTTGGACCATTTTTGGCTGTGCTATGCCAAAAAAACTGATTATTTGGTGCTCAAAATCACGTAAAGGTCTTTTTGCAGCAAAGATTCCGGTTTCCTTGCCGTTTCTTAGCTCTAACTTTGTCAAAACAAGACGCATGTCTTAACCAATGACTGATTTATGCAGCTAAGAACCGAAACTTGAAACCCCTATACTCACTTTTATCATTATTGTTCTGATTACCTTGGTGCGAGCTGCGATTTAATGTCTAAAAAATCGAGAAACCCATTTCTACAGAAATTTGGAATATTTTTTCCGGCTTTTTAGCTCTAGCTCGGCCAAAACAAGACGCACAGCCGAAAGAATGACTGTTTTGTGCTGCTAACGACCAGCACTTTCCACCCCTATCACTCGATTTTCGATTTTGGGAAAATAAATTTTGACCCAAATTTCGCATTTTTGGTAAGGGGTACCATCATCAAAATTTTCAAAAAATGGCCAAAAATTAAGTTTCCCAGATTTGAATGCAAACCAATAGGGAATCATAGCAATCAAGTTACGAGCCCTACGAGGTATTACATTCCTCATTTGGACCATTTTTGGCTGTGTTATGCCAAAAAAACTGATTTTTTGGTGCTCAAAATCACGTAAAGGTCTTTTGGCAGCAAAGATTCCGGTTTACTTG